CAAATGTGATCTTTGAAGACTGATGTGGAGTAGGGTTCCATGTGAACATTGATTGGCCATGGGTTAGCCAAGCACCAGCCTTTGGCGCGTGATAGGGCTTTGGCCTCCCTGCGAAAGGGATCACAATATTCCCGAGCCGGGTCGTGGATACTGGGTGGCAACACAAGTGAACTTCCCGCATGAGTGAGCCCCGGAAGCGTTTCTTTGCTTCCTTAACGTTTGCTGTCTCCGTGGAATCGTTTGCGCGGCGATACGGTGCCCGCATAGCTGTCCGGCTTTCGGTCTGTCCAGTGCGCTCACGACGCCCTTGAAACGGGAAGGGAACGTTTTATTCGCACCCCGTCCGTACCGATAACCGCATCAGGTCTCCTAGGTTAGCAGCCCTGGTCTCTAGAATAAGGTAGATTATGGAAGTCGGCAAAATGGATCCGTAACTTCGATAAGGATTTCACTGAGGGCCGGGCGGTTAGCTGCCCCGCGCCGCGGTCTTGCCTTTCCTGCGGTCTCCATCTCGGTCCGCGCTTTGGCTTTTCCTGCGCCGCGGGTCGCGTCCGCGATGAACGCCAGCTCAGAACTGGAGCGGACAAGGGAACCGACTGTTTAATTAAAACCAAGCATTGCGATGGCGCCGACGCGTGTTGACGCAATGTGATTTCTGCCCAGTGCTCTGAATGTCAACGTGATGAAATTCAACCAAGCGCGGGTAAACGGCGGAGTAAATATGACTCTCTTAAGGTAGCCAAATGCCTCGTCATCTAATTAGTGACGCGCATGAATGGATTAACGAGATTCCCACTGTCCCTATCTGCCATCTAGCGAACCCACAGCCAAGGAACGGGCTTGGCAAATCAGCGGGGAAAGAAGACCCTGTTGAGCTTCACTCTAGTCCGGCTTTGTAGAGACGACTTGAGGGGTGTAGGATAGGTGGGAGGCCCTGCCGCCGGTGAAATACCACTACCCTTGATGTTGTCTTGCTTTATTCCGTAATGAAAGGCCTTCTCGCCTTGATTCTTCCGCGGAAGACATAGCCAGGTGGGGAGTTTGGCTGGGGCGGTACATCTGTTAAAAGATAACGCAGGTGTCCAAGGCGAACTCAGTGAGGACAGAAATCTCACGTGGACCAAAAGGGGAAAAGTTCGCTTGATTTTGATTTTCCAAAAAATACAAACTGTGTAAGCATACCTATCGATCCTTTGAGCCCGCGAGCATTGCGCCAGAGGTGTCAGAAAAGTTACCACAGGGATAACTGGCTTGTAGCCAAGCGTTCATATGCGACGTTGCTTTGATCCTTCGATGTCGGCTCTTCCTATCATTGAGATGCAGAAGTCTCAAAGTGTCGGATTGTTCACCCGCTAATAGGGAACGTGAGCTGGGTTTAGAACCGTCGTGAGACAGGTTAGTTTTACCTTACTGATGACTGCGCCGCGACAGTAATTCCACCAGTACGAGAGGAACAGTGGATTCGGATACTTGGTTAATGCGGTTGGCTGACCAGCAGTGCCGCGAAGCTACCATCCGTTGGATAATGACTGAACGCCTCTAAGTCAGAATCCATGCTGGACCGTCGCCACCCACCGCTGGCGCGCGTTCGCGCCCGCATATGCTGCCCAGCATCCTCGCCCGCATCGGCTCTGTTCGAAGCACAATTTTCAGCGCGCCAGCGATGCATCCTCCGCAGACGACCTTGACGCACCCGGGTATTGTAAGCGCGAGAGTGGGCTTGACTCACGATCCGCTGAGGTTCAGCCCGGCGTGCTTGATGTGTATCACACACAACACTATTCGGGGTTATCTAACGAGCAACTCCGTTGCCGCGTGCAACGATTTAGCACGAGCAAAGCGAAGTGCAAACGAGACGTAGTCGAGTTACCAGGAGACTTGGCGACTGGTCGTCACAAGCAACCTTGGTTGCGCAGTGACTACAACCACAACACTCTCTGGCGAAGCCATTAACCAAACATTAAATGAGTCGGCGAAGCCAGCCGTCTCTAAGGTGCTTTTAGTGAACGAGTGTCAACGAGTCGTGATTTTGGGCGCAGCGGAGCGAGCATCCAATAAACCGGATTGAGGTGTGACTAACTGTGGATTATGTGTATTCGGCGCAGCCAGCCGTATCTAGCAACCATCTCACGTACGAGCTATGCGAGGTGAGATGTAACAGCGAGTGCCAACGAGTCGTGATTTTGGGCGCAGCGGAGCGAGCATCCAATAAACCGGATTGAGGTGTGACTAACTGTGGATTATGTGTATTCGGCGCAGCCAGGTGTATCTAGCAACCATCTCACGTACGAGCAGGGCGAGTCGAGGAATAAGGGCGCAGCGAAGCGAGCATCCAATAAAGCGCACAAAGATGATGAGGGTAACCGCGGATCAAGGTCCTAACAAGGCCTCTCAAGCAGCGGTGACCGACCGTGTCACCAGCAACGTCCGTTGCCGCGACAAGGCGTCTCTCACGAGCAACCCAGGTTGCGAAGTGATGCCATATCTGACGAGCCAAGCGAGGAATAAGGGCGGAACGCAGTGGAGCCTATAAATCAGGAGACATAGGTGCGATCAAGGTGATTTAGGGTGGCGGAGCCACTCACTAAGCCTACAGAAGGCGCTGCTGAGTGAAGGCGTCACACGGTGGCGGAGCCACATACTACGCCAAGGCGGAGGCCACGCACTATGACAATTTTATACGTATAACAGCTACCGGGGTGCCCGCCACGCGGGCCCCACCGCCCGGCTGCCTCGGTCCCCCGCTCAGTCGCCGTCGGTGCCGCCAGGCCCGGCGCGGCTCCCCTCCGCAGCCACCATACAGGTACGTGTGGGATACTCATCTGTGTGGTGTATTGCCGTTATTGTGTGTGTTACTACATCATTGATTGTGTTGTTGCTCCGCTGTGTCTAGGCACTTCACTGGGTGTGTTTTTACTTCACGGCGATTGTGTGGTTCTATATCACTGTGCCCTTGTTCATTTTTATGCGTGCCGAGATGACAACCTCTTCTCCTTCCGCTGACGCGTGATGTCTCCTCTAAGAAGCGCTGAGCACGCCGTGATGACACCTCTGTCAATCCCCCGAACCCTGACGAAAACACACACTGATCACGTGCGCAGACCTACATGGACTCAGCGGCAACGCTCACTCATGCCCACGCAGATGGTACAACTCACAGCGGAGGTTATGAAGTCTCAACAGCACGAGGCATTGTATGCCTGTGCTGCGGACAAGATAACTCACGGTGATTCTGCGGACAACAAGATAAATCACGGTGATTCTGCGGACAACAAGATAACTCACGGTGATTCTGCGGACAACACAAGACGCGTCGTCACCATCAACCTGTATAATATCATATCATATCATATCGCATTTGTATTGCTAGTTCATGTGTACGTGGTTTTTACAACAGTGCGTGACCACCGTCTGACTGTCGTCTCATGCATTTTAGCGGTGGGTGGTATTTTCATGGCTGTGTTCTTATTGAGCGATTGCTAGTCTCCTTGCTGGTTCTAGAGGATAAACTACCCGTGAGTGTGATAGGTTAACCGAGGACTGCGATCGACAGGCCCAGCACGAACGCTGCGTTCAGGCAGGTGCAGAGCGCGTCGAAGCCGCTGGCTGTCTTCTCGCGAAGGTTGCTTTTGCCGTCGCCCTCCCCAGCCGGTTCAGTCGCGTTGACGGGCGCCTCGAGACCCTCCTTGCTTTTATTGGACGCAGCGGACGCTGAGGGGTTACCTTCTTCCTTGCTGGCAGGAACATCACCACTTGGAGCGGCGGTTACAACACTTGGCGCTGTCGTGACCTTGAGGGCACTGGGCGTTTTGTCCACACTCATTCTACTTCCAGGCTGTTCGGCACTCAGCGCTGCAGCTTTCTCCAAGCCACTTGACGTGGTCGAAGGCATGTCAACAGTTGGCTCCGCGGTCGCCATATTCTCAGTGGCCAGCTTATCGGTAGGATACTGTTCACCGGCTGCCTCACGTACATCCGTGGAAGCATCACCTTCGACGCCTGGTACGGCGGTCTCCGCACTGCTTGCACTAGCATCACCGGCACCCGGCGAAGCGGCATCCTCGACTGACCCCGCTGGTGGCGTGGTAGCTCCACGTGACTCTTCACTACTTCCCGAATCACCGCCGGCGAGGCTAATCAGTCGGTCTGCAACGTGGCTCATCATTTCGCGTCTGTAACCGATGCTTTCGAACGAGGCGCCCAGCAGGATTCCATTATGAATGTCCGCTCTGAGCTCGAAGTACGCGTGCCACAGCTGCTCTCTGTCAGCCCCGGATTCAGACGCTACATTGCCCTTCACAAACCTCAGGAGCCCACGCACTCGCTCCGCATTCGTGATCAAGTCACCGAACTGATTCAAAACCAGGTGCATCTCATCCTTAAGGTCATCGTACCTTGCGCGCATACTTTCGAAGACAGTTGAAGAGGCGGCAGAAGGGGTGATGGAGGCCAAGGCTTTGCCCACTTTGGCCATGTCCATCGACACCGATCCACGCAATTTCACGTAGGGACCCAGGTACCTATCCAGGGCCCGGCACGATTCCGACACAAGGCGCGCCATCTCGTTCAGAAGTTCTTCGGGCGCATGCACCTGGGTCTTGGCATCTTTTGGCACGAACGTGCGGTGCAGGTCCGCGTAGAAGTCAAGCATGAGTCCGCGCACGGCCGACGTGTTGGCAAAGACACGGTGCGCTCTTTTCGAAATACAAGAGCCTACGTATTCGGATATGTACTCATTTGCAGACGACGTAAGGTGCCTTTTGCTGTAGGCGTCAATCTCATCAATCTTTGACTTCGACCCGTCAATCACACCACGGATCACGTCAGTGGTGACCTGCAGTTTAGCCAACCCGCTTCGCAAATCCCCGCTACTGGAGTCACGCGGAATGAGTTCCCCAGAGGATACAACCGTTAAGTTAGCTCGCACATATTTGGTATCCTTCATCACATCCCTCAACAGGCTTTTGGTGTAGACAACGAGCAGCGTCAGCTCCGCGTGGCTGGCGTTGTGCGGCAGTGTCGGATCGAAGTGGTCCAATACGGCTTCGTCAGTGACCTCGGGTGCTGCCGCATCGGAATTGGCCACCGCGGCTTTCGCCATGGACTCGCGCAGGAGGTTTATCTTCGCCTCGAACTCATTGCGTTCTTCCTCAGTCATGACCCGGTGTGGGAGCACATCCGTCAGGATGCTGGCAATCTTGTTGAGGTTGTGGTAGCCATAACCCGTCTTCCCACGCCTCGCAAACGTCAGACGAATTGCCGCTTTGAGGTCGGCAACGGAACGCATCAGCACGGTCTGCTCATCCATCGCCGAGTAGAGCTCGTACCACAGCGCCACGTTGGCACTGTCGGTGTAGCCCAAGCACTGCGGGGAGGAACACGTCTCGTCGGTCTTTTCCACATCGTATTTCGTGAGCAGGACCGCAAGCTGCTGCAAATGAGCCCTCTGGCGGTTGATCCAGGTCTGGTAATCCTTGGTCTCCGGGGATTCCGGGTCAGCCACACCCTTCAGCGCCTCACTAATCGGGCCCGTAAAATTGTAGTGCCCTCTGGCGCCATAAGCCGCGCTCAGCTTCCTAATGAGCATCACCGCTTTGACGTCGTTCAACCAATACGGGGGCAGCGCTTTGAGCATCTTCAGTTGCATGTGGAGCTCTGAGCTCTTCATCAAGTCGTCGAGGTAACGGCGCAAGTCAACAATGTTGATCTGCGACACCCTCTTCTCGTAGCCGTCGAAATCTTGCAGCACAGTGGCGTATTGAAGAACGCCAGTCTTCACACTTTCGACCGGTGCAGGCTCGTAAGCCGCCGCATTAATCTTACGATTGCCTTCGGTGATGGTATTAACCTTCGCGCTGATGCCTTCCCAGAGCTCTGTATTGACGGCGTCGTTGGCGTATTTTGTGTCGAAGAGCAGTTTGATGACGTGGAAGTTGTTCTTGCTCGACTGCGGGAAGACCACCCTCAGTGCGTCCTCTGCAATGACGCTGTACCTCTTCGCATCGTCGGCAATGGCGTACGCTCTCCGCATTTCGTCCTGTTGCTGCATCGTACGGGGAATGAGAGGCGGGCGTATATGCGACGAATCGAACCTCCACGACACCGGCTTGTCAGTATTGTCGTTCGGCCCCGAACCCGCGCTCGCCGTTTGACAACAGACGAGCAGACCCGACAGCAGGGTCCACCAGAATGCGAACCTCCGATACGTGGACGCCATGGTCACAACGTTGCGGTTTCCAGAAGCGCAACCCAACTTTGCGCAGCAGCGGCCAAGTGATGCTGCCACCGTTTGAGGCGGAATGGCGTATGCGACGATTGCTGAAAGCGGCTTTGTTGGCCGCAGTGGTGAACGGGTTTTATATTTTTGAACCCTGTTTACCAGGGAACAGAATTTTATGACTCTATCCACAACAGTTTCTTAACAGTGGTGTCTACAGCCAATACGTTTAAGTGATGAAAGTTATACGATCTTATTGTGAAACCGACACCATTGTTTTCGCCAGATACTACAGCGGTATTTTCCTTCTCGTTGCACCACAGCTAGCAGGCGGATGGTAAAAGCGAGCATAAATGGCGATCTACCGCCCTCCGGAAGATGCCAAAAAATTCGATAAGGACGGGCTAAATATTACAAATGCCTGGGCGCCTGAACCGTAGATGAGCCGTATGATAAGAATTTTGCGTGGTATATTTTTTCCACGTTGGCTACCCTGCTGTGGTGCCAGCCGGCATTTCCACGTTTTACAGTGCCGTGTTCCATGGCCCGGTATATTTTTAATGACGCTTCACAGCACCTGCGTTGGCATGGCCAGTCACGAGCATCTCGCTCGCGGCGATCACCTTCTCATGGTACAGTCTCCCAGCGCCCACAGATGGCTGCCGTGACGCAGTGATGTACACGTGCGTCATCACGCTCCATCAGCTGACCCACATTTGGGCGCATCGAATTGCTACCACCCACTGATAACTGTGCAACACTTTCGATGTCAACTGCCGCTCTAAATTGTTTTTTTTAGCCGTGAGTAATGCTATACCCAATGTAGACATACACTCAAATCACGTTGAGCTAGATTCCCAAAGGCGTTTAACTTACTGGACGAAAAAGCAAGCAGCTTCCTACGACGTTCTATATACTCTTAACGAGCCGAGATTAATTATTTGGTACAAATGATACGGTTAGTCAGGGGCTATCGTTGTGGTCTTCCATGCCCCGAGGTTGTAAAGTTATTTAATTACACATGCCTAAACATTGCCATATTTTGCAGGTTATTTGGCTTGATGGCACTAATTATAAACATATCGATGCACGAATTAATAGCACATTACAGAGGTGTCTAACTTTTTACACTACGGTGTGTAACGAATCAACGGATTCGGGGGAGTATGGTTGCGATTTAAAAAAGCACACACTAAGAATAATAAATTCAAGGCGCTCAATCCGACCTGTACGCAGCGGAGCCCATTATTTATGGTTGCCTTTTCCCCCATGTTATTTTTCGCTAGCCTTGACTTGTAGAAGGCATCTGCGCAATTGCATAGCTCTTAAGGCCATATTAATTTATGTTGCATATAACACTACAATATGGCTCATGATGACGTAATTGACATGTCTCGCTTATCATCGATGGCGGAGGCAACTGAGGTAGTGCTTATGGTAGACAAGGACGACAATGAAGTAGGCACATGTACCAGGAAGGAAATGGTAAGTGGTTGAATCTAGAGTGTATATTTCTTTTTGCTTCACGTCATAGTACCTTTACCGTTATCCAGCGTCAATTCAACAAGTGGCATCGCACAACTTGCACGGTGCTGTTGTCTACCAGCGGCCCTGAAGTGGAGGTTATATACCATAAACGATCATCGCAGAAGGTTTATTGCCCGAGTTATAACGATTTGGCCTTTGGTGGCGTCGTTACGGTGGGCGAATCATACATGGACAATGCACTTCGCGAAACATCTGAGGAGTGTGGGTTATCCATTGCTGAGGAGAATTTGTACGAGCTTGGCAACTATGCGCGTGATGAAGAATGCATTAGGTGCCACTACAAGCTATTTGTAAGTTGACTTATATATAAGTCCTTGCCATGAGCAGATATTCTAGTTGTACGCGTTTGTTTATTGTTGTGTTATTCCGCTCGTACAATGTTTTTGTACGTGAACAACATCCCGTATCTGTTAATAAATGTGTATGGTGCGTACTGCCTGTCGCATGTTACGGTCTAACGATGTTCTGCAGGTGGCGCTATACAACGGTCCACTGGATAAGTTGACCCCACAACCAGGTGAGGTGGATGAGATACGGCGTACGCCCCTTTCCACCATCGACAATCTGATGAGCGCTGAAAAATTCACGTCGTCGTGCTCGTGGATCGTTCCACGTATCAAGGAGTTCGTGGAAGAGGGGGGTATACCTAAGCTTAAGGAGGTAAACATTTAGTTTATACGAAGCTGCTGTGCACCTGCTCAACAGTTCTGCTTCTACGAACGCATCGCATTACTACGGCGTCACGCGTCGCTACATACAACGCTGGCAACGTTGCTCTCGTTAATGACGAGGTACGGCATGTATCCCACGGGGATGAATACAAACACCTGATAATAGTCAGACCTCCCCATTGCGGCTTACGTTTTTTAGTATGAGTGCGCACCCCGGTTCCAGGGTTTTTAGTTTCAAATGCAGTTCCTCGTTCATGCATCCAAGCATTTGACCAGTTTTGTCCATGAATGCAAACATGACCTGTAAACCCAGCGTACGCTGAGAAAGTACGAATACCACCAGCCAGTCCATTTTGAATCCAACGTGGCGTATGGCAGCCTCGTTTATGATCCACTTGATGTTGTATTTCTTCGTTACGTACTCGCTAACGGAGAAATGCTGCGGAAAATCTGCATACTTCCTGACATCGCAGCCCAGCACTGTACCGAGTCAAAACATCTGTTTGCATGGTATCAACATACTGTTTGCGTCTAGCATAGCAAGGGCCTTTACCCAAGCGTGCTTCTCTCTCCCAGCAGAGTTCTTGGACGATTCCCCGTAGAGCCTGCAATCGTGATACGAAGTTTCAACAAAACCAACATGAGATCTACGAGATTGCGGTAGGAACGTATTCCTGCAGGCCCCCTCAATGGAAATCGCTCTGCGATGGTCTTCTTGACAGTATGCTGTAACTTTCTACTATTGGCTGATGAAGTGCGAGTTTCTTCGCGTTTAGTTTTCGTAGGTTCCTCAACCGGTCGCTTTGGTGGCACTGCCTCAGGCTGTGATGGTGTTTGACAAGGTTTTGGTGCGATAAAGGGCGCCTTGACGTCGAATACTGGCCGTTTAGTGGGTCTGGCGAACCCGCCGTCATGCGTGACGGCAGAGAGTCCTGCAGTTATGACAGGAACCCTCTTCTGCGTCTGGCATGCGTTTGCATTGTCCTGAGTTTGCGTTTGTTGGCACGGTGTCTGCTGTTGCACGTGAATGTTCACATCTGGTGTCGCATTATTTTCATGTTTGGGTGCAGCATTATTAATTTTGCCAATTTCCGAAATATCATCGGGTATGTCAATGCCATTGAATAGATTTTGCACGAAGACATCCATTTTGCATACCTCTAGTTGATGCTTACGGCATGTGGTAGACGGGTGTGTATCACGGAAGCATCTAATGTTTGGTTCCTGGGCAGCTTTCTTTCCCGTTAATCAGCTTTCGTCAGCTACAGCTCACATTTTGTGAAGTTTTGAGCCAAAAAATTCCGAAATGCTCATAATCGTATATGTGCAGCGGTACTCAAACTTTCTGCAACATATTCCGCCGATTTTCCCTTAGCCTATTCGACATGACAAATTCAAGTATCTGCATTTTATATATACGATTAAGATGATGTAATAGTTAATTGTAGAGTTCATGCCTCCCTTAGGATGGCAGTCATATGGTGTGTACACATTTGGTGGCGTGGCATTTTCCATTCACAACGTTAGGTACAGGCACTGACAGATGTGTACTAGTGTCTTTACTTGCGACTGGGTCATCTTGAGTAAGGCGGTTTGAGCAAGTGTGTGTGTCTTCTAGAGCCCTAGGGTGTTGACGCAGCTTACTCAACAGGGACACACGAAAAATCGCACGTTGCCTTTAGGTAGTCACTACTGGTATTCCATTCCACGTAACTTAAATATTGACAGTTATTCTGGACAATATGAATACGGGAGTAGCGAAATTTTTATCAGCAGCGCTGATAGGCCTTTCTGGCTTGCTGGGTTGTCTGATCCCCTATCTGGTGGTTTACTTTTCACGAGCGAATACGGACCTGAAAGCGCGGCAAGATGCGATTGATTCGAGGTTATGTCTTTGCAACTGTTTGGGTGCTGGTTAGTGTTTTGCTGCTGAATTTTAAAATTATTGTACAGGCATCATAATGGGCATGGCGTTTCTTCACATTCTCCCGGAAGCAGTTGAGCAGTGCGGGGAAGGCAGTATACTGTGGAAAGTGGGCGAAGGGCAATTCAACCCGGGATATTTCATTGCCTTGATGTCTTTCTGCGGGATGCTGTTCATTGAGCGGGTATTGTCTTCTGGGCGTACACCCTGTTCAGCCGCCTTCAATGCATGCCAAGTTCCCAGCGGTTGCTGCGGTTTTGAGGAGGAAAGCGCCTCATGTTGTGAGAGTGCATCCCGTAGCGCAGCGTGCGATATGGAAAGGGCACAGATGGAGCACATTGACGATATCGGTGGAGACGCTCCCCGTACGGTGGCAAGCGTTGGGTCCCGTTTTCGTCATACGCACAACCGTTTGTGGTCAAGGTTGATGCAGATTCTTTGTCCACTATGCCAATGCAACGGTTTGTGCATAACATTGGCACTTTTCGTACATTCGCTCTTTGAAGGTACGTACTCGAAGGGTGTTCATCTGATTGGTGATGTGTTTCTTGCTCAGCGTCTGGTATATCTGTTTACACAGCAATAGTGATGTCTATTGCTTGAGCGAATGTTTGAGATAGCCACTGCATGATCTTGTGTATATCTGGTGCATACCCGTTTGCCTTTTTGATGACACGAATACAGGCATTGTGGTGGGACTCACGGAATCTCATTGGAATCTTTGGCTAATAACAGTGGGCATCATTCTGCACAAGTGGGCTGCTGGAATGGCGCTTTCGTCCTTTGTTTCGTCGAACAGCAAGTTGTCTGCGGTAGTGATGCAGACGATTTTCTGTCTGAGTTCGCCGTTAGGGATTTTGATCGGGGGAGTCGCAGCTGGCCGGAGTGGGTTTCGCGTTACAGTTTTTCATTTTTCTTAGGCGAAGCTGCGGAAGCCGTTTTGAATTGTATCGCTGTGGGAACACTTATCTACATTGGCATGGAGATAGTGAACCACGAGTTGTTTTGTCACATGCATTGTCGTAAGACGGCATTTTGGAAGTGGTTGTGCGTGGTTACTGGAATGATGTTTATCTTTGGCACTACTATTCTTGAAGTTTCATTTTCGGGTGGATGCGCTCACTCACATCTGCACGAGGGTGGCGCAGAACACGCTGGTCATGTCCATTGCCACTGAGTGCGTGCTGTGGCAGCGCGACAATCAATAATTTACGTGATTTTTAATAATGCTCGCAGTTAAAAGAACGGAAGGTCGACATTCACGAGATCGACAGCGAAGTAAACGGGTAACACGGATGGATTGCGTTTGACAAGACGGGCAAGACTGAAGATCAAGGAACACAACCGACCGGATGGTACTGGCGTACCGAGATAACACTATCGCCATCGTGGAAAGCAGGATTACCAACCAATACAACCTGGTGTAGACGGAAATATTCATGAGGGAGTACGAGGACCTGGTGACGGAACATGGTGAGACAACGCTCAGCCAGGACAGTGTTCAAGGTGGTGCCTTACGTGAAGAGGGACGTGGTGGTTACGGACGATTCATAACATCGCTACTCGCCAAAACAGTTGCATAAACAACCTGTTGTTAACAGGACATTTGAGACGTCCAAGTGCGGGGAGATGCTTAGTGCACAGTGTGCCTATGTGGCTCGGCACCTGGACCCTCACCGAGCATGAAGAGCGCCCCGAGCCGTAGGTGGAAGCCCCTTAAAACAGAACAGAGCCACATTGTCAGAAGCTAAATACACTTTAGTGACTAACCCATTAAAATTGGTTGATTGGTTGGGTGGTCGGTCTATATTGTTTGTCTAAGGTATGTGTTGATGCGATGCTATGATTGCCGTTGGTTGTAACGGCGCCCTCCTTGCTCCTACCTCTTACTCGAATCTGCTAGTTTAGTTAACCCTCCCCCCTCGACGAAACGCTTGAGAGGTCCTACCAAGAGCTCGCAGGCTTTCGTGAAGTTGTGTTGCTGCATGAGCTTGTCCACGTCCGATAGCAGAGCAGTTTTGATGCACCTCGCATCGTCTTGCTCGGCTCCACTGGTTGGTATACTTCCGTCGTAAAGTGCCACCTATTTTACGATGTGAGTCGGTATCGAGGGAGGAAAATATTAAGTAGAAAGCCTTCCCATGTAGCGGCGCAAGGCGTCGCCAAAGTGTTCGCAACGCAATGATGAACAAAATCGGATACTGGCTTTTGCTTAAGCTATAGTGCCACACATACTACATAAATAGGCCGCATGATCACTTTCCTTCGGCACATCTTACGAACGTGACTTACATACACCTTGTAGTGACACCTGACGTGCTCGTCATCCCTAGCGATATAGGCAACTTCTACCAAGTCCCCTTCAGAGAAATCAATTCCGGATTCATCCCTTGTTTCTCTTAGCGCGCAGTCAAGATAGGATTCCCCAATCTACGAGCCTTATACTTCCATTCATCGTTTTCGCCTACCGTGACTACCCCGCCGAAACCCAGGTCATAATACCCCGGGCAGTAGTCTTTTTGCTCATCTCTCACTTGATAATAGATGGTAGGTTCATCTGGGTTGGAGATAATTATAGTACTTGTAGCTCTGTGCCACTTGTTGAATTGACGCTGCGAATAGTGAGTGTGGAAGCGTTTGCCATTAAGATGCCGATATAATATTTTTTTTCTGCCATCACTTACCATTTCCTTCCTCGTACATGTTCCTATCTCATTATCGTCCTTGTCTACCATAACAACGACTTCAGTGGATTCAGGCATAGAATCCAGCCGCGCCTTGTCTATGGTATCGGCATACCGCTGGGTCATTTTAACGCCTGCCTTCTGATCGCCCGTTTATATTTTCAATTGTGCGATCCTTTGGTTAGAGGTTGGCGGTCCATTCGAGCAATGTTAAAGTGGGAGCCATGTGTACCCTGAGGGTGGGGAACGATGGCCATATCGTCTAGAAGGCATAAAAACGCAACGCCATTGGATTTCGGCGAGCCGTAACGGCGGCTTCTATATTTTTGCCCGCGTCATTGGTGGATGTACATTACGTCGACGCGATAACATCCGTTGTCGCTACCTGTTCAATTGAAAGTAGTATGTCTGCCAGTTTTCAGGTTTGGCAGCTATGTGTAGCACGATAATGCGACATTGGGGTGTGTTGGCTATTAATTTGCTGAGGGTGTTATAGCCTGCCGTTTGGCTTCGTCGAATCGCGTGTTTTGTTCACAATGGCGGCTGGCGGCGTGGCTCCCACAGAATACATATCGCAATGGTGCCACGGCAACTACGAAGTGATGCACAGCTGTCTAGAGCAGCTGTGTAGAGCGAGCAAGTCTCATTTGCCAGAAAGTGTCGAGGAAGAAGCCACGACGAGCTCGGGTGGATTTTGGTCACGTTTTTGGCGCCGTCCTAATTTCAGGGAGACAAAGGGTGGATCGTCACCTTCTAGGCGGGACGGTATCAATTGGTTGTCGGGCCTTATCAACAATGACAGTGTTACCGTTGATGCCACTCGGGTTTCGAAACCCTTGACGTCTACGTCCGACCCGCCTGAGGGCGACGTGACTAATGACACATTGGATAAAATGCGTTCCGGAGTTATAAGCGGCTTCAGAAAGTATCCGTTTCACCGCCCTCACCTGGTCCCACGTCGCAACTCTTCCATTAATCTGGATGACGTTCGTGATTACGTTCGCAAAAAATTCGCCAGCGTTGAACGTAGTTTAGATCAGATTGAGTTGTTTAGCACGCTCGCCAACGTGGACCAGTATCTGTGCTGCGATATGTTGTACGAGGGTATTTGCTATTACGGAAACGAAAGCCAATGTATGTCGGAGTTCGCCATTATAGATGGGATGTTACATGCGCAGTCCAGATGCCAGCTGAAATGTTTGACTCTTTTGTTATCGTTTTTAAATGGAGGCAAAAGGCTGTCGGATGCAAATGTTGTCGCGGATGCAGTTTTTCCAGAGAGTGTATCAATACTGCGTGATCTGTTGTCTAGGGGTCTGATTAAAAACATCTGCCTATTGCTACTGACCGCCATCAAAGAATCATCCAGGTACAAGTCTATGCTGTCTGGCGAGTTATCTTCGTTTGTTAAGGCGTTGTACGAAAGCACGATCGATCTTGTGAACGGCCTGCTGAACTTCCTCGAGGCCTACTTCCTCCGTTTCCATCCTGCGAAGGATGAGATACGGTGTCTCGCTGCACTTCTTCCGAACGTATTTGACTTAAAAGCGCTGTTTGATGTATCGGAATACGGCGCCTTATTACGTTCCGTATTTGGAGGTTCGTCCTATGCCGCATCGCCCTGGTACCCTTACTCTGACGCGTTGGTGTCGAAATGTATTGGGGTGCGCGAGTTCGATGAGATGACCAAGAATGCCTGCAACGTTGGGAATAGACTGTCGCTTATTGTGCTATTAGCGCTACATCCGCAGCATTACCGTCTCCCCGCCGTGGCTGAGACCGGATCACCGCTGAAAGCGTCTTTAAATAGAGATGCTGCATTTCTGGGCCGTTTCAAGTCGATACCGACCCCTTTTATCGGCAACAATGATCTGAGCAAAGTACTGGAATTTGTGGTATTCGGTATGTACCTCAACGATACGGAGCGGATGGTTAAGTGCCTGGACAACGGCGTGTTTGCCCACATGAGCAGTTTCTGGGTGATTTCGACGCCGATTGAATACAGGGACAGTGTTGTGGAGGTTGTGGACACCATCTTGAACGCATTTTTGTTAAGCAACGGCGCGTTAAGCAAGGGTTGGTACGAAATTTTGGATCATGAGATCCGCTGCAAACGTAACGCTGAGGACCGTGCACGGTTGCCGTATACGGGAGCGAGCGACGAGGCACTATACCGCCATCCAGGAAGATCAGTTATGGAGCTTCTGACTCTTGTTGCAAAATTGGGCAACACTGGCAATAAACGGTACGCTTTTGAGATGTGGAGGAGTTGCGCGGAGTCGTATCGTTCTCTCATCCCCAACGTCAACTGCCATGTATACAAGTATAACGCGTTCGAGAACGACCTATACAACTGCTGTGATGGTTCAAACGTGGACAAGAAGACGGTTGAACGTCTGATAGTGCCTTGCGACGGTTTCAGCTGGTGGGAGCGCAACAGTGCGTTACTGGATTTGGTGACACTAGCTGCGGGCGACAGCAACACTTACGTTGAGACTTACCCTCGGCTGTTGTCTTGCTTGCTTGAGTTCGCCTTGCATTTGTGCACTGTGGATGATATAGAGGGTGAGTGCGGCAGCCATCTAGTAGGTAAGTTTTTGAGCACGAGCGCGTCACGCGAAGTCCGTTTTCCGTTTCTGCTAGAGCGGCTTATTTCCCAGATAGGCAGTCTTACTGAGGGTCATTATGGTACTCTGCCGAGTTTGATTTATGAGAAGTTGCTGGCACGTGATGACCAGATCGAGACTGCGGAGGCTGCCCTTATGATCGCTTCCACGATTCCAGCGCACTCTTCGCAGCAAGGCATGGGTGTTGGCGGTTGTTTGCGTAAGATGTACACCTTCCCTCTGATTAGCGGTGCTGCTGAGGTCAAAATTGCCCTGGCAACTGTGGGTCTTGGAGGTCGTTGCCCTTTCGGGCTAATAGAGACGTCCATAGCGGCTTTCAAATTAGTGTCGTTATGTGATCGCATTCCCGAAGGCCCACAACCAGTTGAGCATGCGGCTTTTCATTTGGATGTTAATATCCAACATAACATGGGCGATGGTGATCACAGCTTTTTGAGTGCGCTTTTCAGCATATTGTCTCGTAGTCGGATCGATGGTTTGGAGATGCTAACATCGTCTGTCTTGTCGAGCTTGTGTTCAAGCCACATCAAAGATTCGGATACTGCGTGCGCTGCTCTGCTTCGTATCTCAGAACTTCTGCAGGCTTCCAGGAATACTGCTGGCCACGGATATGCACCGAACGGTTATGTTCTTAGTGTTGAGGAACTGCGCGCTTTTGTTAGTTGCGTACGCAAATTGTTCGTATACGTACCGAGAGTTCAGCGTTTCCGCCACAACGGTGTCGACTGGTTGCACAGCCTGGTTCAATTTTCCCTGTGGATCTTGGACACTCACTGCTTCCGCAACGAGTGCGTTCACTGGTCATTGGTCTCCGACGTGTTTGAGTTCCTTTCGGAAGTTGCACAGGGTCCGCTCGACGCTTGTGGTAATACAAGCCGTGCTAGCCAGTACCTGCTTGAGCAATTCTTGCTACCTGCGAGCTCGTTGTGCATTTCCCTGGTGCGCGCTGCAAGTGAGGCTAAGTTATTGTCGGCAATATCTACTATGTGCATCATTTTCAAACGTGACGTTCTATTGATTGTGTCGCATCGTGCAGCGATGCTAATGTCCACTCAACGTGATGGGACTCATTGCTCACATTGTGGCTTGCCGTACGGCAAGGTTGCACCTCAGCGGCTACGCTTGACAGACAACGACATGGATTTGGACGCATCTTCGGCTTCACATAACTGGTGGTCTAACAAGATACGAAAGATTAACAGCATATTCTCGTCCGCGGGAAGTCGAGATACTGCAGATGAAAAGGGCTGTAAGTGCCTACAGTTTGACATGCATTCAATGTCCTTGCTCCTTGCCCACGACGCCGTTTTGGAAGCAATGAATACGTTGCGTTCGAAAAACGATAACGTCATAAGTACTGCAAAGAATTGCGAATTCGTCGGTTGTTTCGACCCCAATGCTTCTGAAGAGATTCGCATAAAATCGGTTTACCTGCTTCTACAGGTTGTAGAGCGTATGGACAGCGTTTCTTTGGTTGTGCCTGGCGACGTTTTGAGGGAGTTGCATCGTTATTACAGCCTACTAAATCCTTGTGAGGAGCGTTCTCAATTTGTGATGTACCGTATGATGGAGTCGGAGGATTTGGTATTGTACAACAAGGTTGTTACCATGGTTGCCAACTTCAATCGCATGGACGGTTCCGAGCACTGGTACTACTGCACAAGTCAGTTGTGCGACTTGAACCGTTGTGGCCTTGACAATTTGGTCTTGCTTCTGTTGAAGCAGTGCGCACTCAAGGCAGCATTCACTAAGGGCGGTAGCGATTTTGGATTGCGCCTCTTGGGTTCTGCTAATAATATCATCGCATTAATTAGGCTGGCATCGGGTGGTGGCGACATCTGGCGGTTTTCCGACTGGCGCCGCATGGATGCTTTGGCTGCTGTGGTGACATTCGCCAAGATTTATCCACACGTGTTAGATTTGGTTGCGAGACATTGGAGTTCACTCGCTGATGAGGCTAGCAGGATCGACTTCGTGCATCTGCCTCACGATTCTTATGTCATGCAGTGTCAGCGGTTGTCGAACATGCTGCAGCTGTTGATTTTATTGGCGGAGCGCGGTGCAGTGTCTATATCGTTGGATGACATAACGCATTATGTTAGACTGTACTCCCGTTTTGTGAAGTGCATGTCGGAAGTGATACTCTCCATGCGTGAGGAACTGGATGCCCTGCTTAACGGCATAGTCACTGGCAAGGGTGGCGTTGGCGTAAAAGACTTTGTGAATTTATGGAAACTAGCATCGTTCCCATCGAATTTATGTTTGGCGTTTGACCTTCAACTGTGTACGAAGCTGCTTAACCCGCAGTCTTGTGAGCAGCTTCACAAGGACACTCAGCGGTACGCGTTACGTCTGAACTCCTCCAACATGGTTATCGCATCCTCTATAGGTCTGATATCGTGTTTGTTGAACTTCTTGTCATACAGCACGAAATTGGGTATAGTTGGTCTTCCCGAGAAATCGAGGACTTGGTTGGAGGTCGCTTGCGTGGAGTTTAACCCAGAGGAGACCTGCGAATTGCGATTGGCACTGCATGTAGCGTTAATAAAACAGCTGGGTAGCATCTGGATTGCGAGTAGGGCTGATATTGTGGGTAATGATTCTACGCTATCGATATCAATCGTGTTAAAATTGATAACGTTCGTTTTGACGCACGAGACATCTACTCACCTTCGTAGCAAGATTTACGCATGTGTGAACATGTTTCTTGTGAATCAGCACCGTACGAACGGCGCAAGCATAACTGAGCTTGTGGTCGCTCACTTGCTCAGCCCATCGTCCGAGCTTTCAGAACCGTCAGCAGACGACAGATCCGCTTTGCTACATCTGTTATCATCGGATGCAACCGCCATACCGCATCACAGCAGCGTGAGCAGATATTACTCAGTTGTAGATGATTCGACCACTAACGAAAGGGTCATGCCGTCTTCTGAGGATATGTCCCCCAAAGCTACGGACAGAAGCAACAACGGCATAGCTCCCATGTCTTCTGGAGCCGATGTTAACTACGCTGTGAATGGTGTGCGCCGTATTTTCGTTGGGCAAGATTACGCCTATCTACAAGCACCTCATGTGGATGATATGAGCCTGAGTGATGTGGTTGAAATGGAGGAAAACCGCAGCAGCGAAATGTTGTTCGTTGCGGTTGATAATGGCGTGCGGTTCGACTACCGTGTGGAAGCTCTGGATCTGTTGAGTCTGATTTTGCGCGCGCTGCGCAAATTTGAGGCAGGTGCGATTGAGTACGATTTGGGTGCCGTTAGTTACGGTTCACTTGGATCGATAAGTACGGAATCCGTGTCTTCACTGTTACACAACCGTTTGTTGGACTTCAAAAGGTGCAAGCAGTGCCTATTGCATTCACCATATTGCCCGTTGTGCCTTAAACTACTGACAGGCACAGCTCGTGTGCTGAAGGCGGCCAGTGAATTGCAACAGTTTTCGGCGTTCTGGTATCACGTACAACCTACATCCCCGTCAATTTGTCTGGCGGATTTGTTTTTGTCATGTGATCTTTTGCTGGGCTTCACGAACTGCGACAAGCTTCCCACTGAGCTCTTCAACCCTTTTATTTCCATCTTGGAGAATCTGCTGGGCATGCCTTCTGTGAAGACTCGAAACGCGTTAATCCAATGGATGAATAGGCACTCTGAACTTTTGGGTTCATTGATCCCTCTTAACGCCAGCACTCCTCTTACCGACGACAAGGTTACACTAGCGAGCAGTTTGCTCCGCATCTACAGAGTCTGCGTTTTATGGATCCTTGCTGAGTATCGTCGAGCGAAGTTTAATTCGGATCCGTTGAACAATTTCAGTCTGATTCTAGCCGATTTGCAGTGCAAATTCCCTCTAGCAATGAGCATGCCTCGGTCGGTCCCCGCTTTGCTGGAGTTGCTAACTGCTGACTTGTCAACGTGTAGTGATTGTCATTGGCAATGCATTCTGCTGGGTTTACAGACTGTGTTTCCCGAGTTGGGTGCCTTCGAAGCCGATTTGGACTTTTCTACTCAGACTCCCATCAAAGCATTGGCTATTGAGAAGGCGGTTACTGTCGCCACTGTGCTTACGCGTTGTGGTTCCAGCTTGCTGGGCTTTATAAACCATCTGAACTTCTTAGACGCCAAGTCTAGGCGGAAGTCACTTGGTCGCTTCGCTTTGCGTGTTGCGACGGTTGAATGCGCAGCAACGCTGCTGGAGTATATTTTGGCTCTGGTTCTGACACATTGCCCTCCTTCTTCTTCTGCTACCAATTTGCTTGGAGCTTCTCCGAGCGAGCAGGCAAAGGACATCATGCAGAGCGGCTCTCTTCAGGATGAACATAGTGCCGCCGTGAGGGCATCTGAGGGTGGCTCCGAGCAGCCTGGCATGCTGCCCAGGTTGCGGAAGGCTGTTGACTTGTCTAGGATCGAATTGTTCCTCGACAAGATCGCTCGTTTGTGTGAGGACAACGGGGCTCGAATAGGCGAATCGGTGGGCCCCCGGCGCAAGCATGTTTTGGGCGATCAGTTGGTGGAATACCTCGCACCCTACGACCTGGAGCACGTGCCGTCTTTTGGCAGCATACAGCGGCACACATACACGTACAGGTCGCTGTACGCGCTTCTGCTCACAAGCGTCTGCAACCTTGCCATGGTTTTAGGGCAATATTACGGTTGCAAGTTTTCGTCGCCGCTGCTTTCACGTGACGATGTGAAACGTTAGTGGGCTCAGACAATTTGATCAATGTCATATGCGTTAATTGACTTATTTCAGTCGTAAAAATAACTTATTATGCGTGTCTGTCGTTTTGCCTGGGTATCCGCCGGTGACATGTCGCCGCAGCGTTCCGAACATCCCCGCAGTAAATTGTTCTGCAGGTTTCCCGGAAGACCAGCGTGGCTGGGGGATGAATATTAGGTATAGATAGCCGTGGAATCTAGCCGGCCGGTACGGTTATGTGTAATGTGTAGTAGTAGATACCGCAAAATTCGCTAATCAACGCGCGATTAAAGCAAAATCGTCGAGAGGCCATTTTAGCGGGTTTTATTTGGCTGTAATTTGTCTTGAAACATGGCTGTAAGGTGCCCGCTTCCTTTTCTTCATTGGATTGTATATTTGTACTAATTCTTCTGCGAGCTAGTCTCTCCGCTCCTACTGCGTCCTGGCAGAGATTTACTTACTGTCTACGAGTCATGTAGATACGGACACCTTGTGCCGTCGCAGGATGCGCGTATATCTCCCGATGCTACTATGCTTGCCGCGCTGCTTGCGCATCTTGAACGTTCCAACCCCCGAGAATGCGCTATTCTGGCTGATTTGGAGTCTCTAGAGAACCGTTTGGACGAACTGCTACTGTCTCAAAGCCACAGCGCGTCTCTAAAATCGATTGGAGCCAGCCCTCGGCTTCGCTTGCATATCTCCAACACCTTCGAAGAGCAGGACGATTACGCGAATCGTCACGGCTTCGTGCATAACACGCCGTCTTCCTTTACCATTTATATTCGGGCTTATGAGATCGATGCAGACGGCAACTTTGTTGACGGCGGTGAGGAAGGGGTGCTCAGTAGGTACTTCCGTCAAATCCTGCTTTGCACCCCGGATCGAACAGTGCTGTGGGACAGAGATGGAGTTCGTGATCTTCGCACAGATGTTCGCAGATGTTGCGCGACAGGCCCGCCGATGGAGGCATCGTCGAGTGCGCCCGGATTCGATGAGTTCGATAACCGTCGAGACGCTTCGGGTGGATTGCGCCGCGATAGGGTAAGTTCACACCACGGCGGCATGCGTCCCTCTCAACCTGGCGGACATGCTGCTGATAAGACTAGAGATTCTCAGGCTGCCCGTGTTGGCATGTATGGTGCGAACGATGGCAGGTGCCTCGATGGTGATCCGTTGTACAACAATCCGGGTGACTACGGCCAGATCGATGGCGACTATTATGCACCTGGTTTTGATTATTGGCGCCACCCGGACTCTAAAAAGACGAGTGATGGCGTGGATGAATGTGGTGGCGACCCAGGTCCCTATAACGGATATAATGAGCTTCAGATAAGCCAGGTGTGCTATTCGGAGTGTCAGGTGTCGCTTTACTTCTTCCCCACCCAGCTTACAATGATGTGCACCATCTCAGACCTTTTGGAAAGTTTTCTATTAATGGTGAACAATGGTGTGGCTGTGACGGATTCATCAAGGCAGATCGCATTTTACCGTATTATAAGCTTTTTATGGACTTACGCATTTGAGCGTCAGCTGGTCTACGAAGTAGAGGAAGGCACTTTCTTTCGCCTGGACGGTGCGCTTTCTCAGCTTCTAGAGATGCCCCAGGGTTCTGAAGTGGCAGTGCAGGATGTGCAGCGCGCGGTGATGGCTCACGTGATGCCTCCCAAGCCTATTAAGGTGACCCACGACATAGTGTTGTCTGGCGATTCTTGGAAGTCTGACAGTTTCGTTGATGTACACTTGGACAGCGCTATAAGGGGACCTAAAAGATTGGGAAAGACTGAATTCGAGAAGCAGGTGGATTCTCTGCTCCCCGAGTTGCGAGACCTGATCCACGTGAGGAATTTATATGATTCGTTCAGTCGTGATCCAGCTAAATTTGTCAAATTCGCTCTTAACAGCTCAAATGTGGCAATAGCCAAACCCTTATCTGACGATGTGGTACAGGCTGATGATCAATTAGGCGAGCCCTGGTTGCCGCGTGCTATCGACAAGTATGTGACGTTGCAGGACCGCTCTCTGTTCGATGTTCTCTTCGGCGCTTTCAACAACGCTCCAAAGAGCACTTCCGTGCGAGATGAAGTGAGTGATTCGAGCGTACAAGAGATGTTTTACGATGCGTTATCTACAGACCCGGATGATAAACAGGACGTTCACATGGCTCCGCCTTCAGATACGATCAGCATTATCGGTGAGGAAGATGCAAACCTCCGCCCCTCCACATCTGAACCAATATGCACAGAAGCAAGATTCGACACTTCTAACGATGCTGGTGAACCTGTTATGCAAGACGCCGTTTCTGCTGAGAATGGTGAGACAGCAACGGTGGCCAAGGCAGTTGCAGCTGCATACGCACAAGTTGAGGATAATCGCATGGGCGGTGTTGGCTCCACTGATATTTTCAACATTAGTGGGATGCAACCACTGGGGGTTAACGACGGTATAACGGCTGCGTACACTGCCTGCGTACCGATGCCGGCTACAATTCCCATTGTGCCCAAGGTCCCTGGCGGCAGTGATTTCCAGATCCCTTCTTTTGAGGAAGCGGCACGTTTAGCATCGTATTTGGGTGCTGGAAATGACTTTTCAAGATCTGTGGAAAATCCTATGGATGCTCCGCCTTCGCTGGTGCATCCCCTTGGAAACTACGTTTCCCAGGATGGGGTTGATACAACGTATATGAAAGTCAATTTGTCGGAAGCTGACGTTATGCAGCACCCCAATCGGCTGTGCTTCGATCGTAAGTTGAAGGAAGCGGCGGATTGCATGGTTCCGGGCGGCATGAAGTGCCACCCTTCGTACAGCGGTGAGACTCGGTACGCTGCGAACAGTGTTGTCGGCGAAGGTTCGCGCAGCATGGAAGGCGATTTCGAGGTGTACGGTCCCCATGGCAGTGACCAGTTGTGAAACTATAGTGGGACGGCTTACTGGGAAGGGGGTATATCCCGTTTGCGGGATCTCGGGTGCCGCAGCTGCAGTTTCCTGTGACTTACGGCTCCTAACGCTGGCGGGAGTTAATCCGCCAAATGTCAGAGTGGCAAAATGTTACAACGCATGTAAATATACGACGGCTGCGCGTTCCGGTGGAATATCGTGTGGCTGGCAAAATACTCCACACCTCACGATTCGGAGGTGATGATTGCTGAAATGTGGCATGTAGATTTGGCCAATATGACTGCTGTGCAGGCTTTTGAGCGCTGATGCCGCGTCAGCTATCACCGGCCCTCTGACTTTCGGGAGACCCAGCCCATTGCGTTATGGCGTTTTACATTGTAAATAGCACTGAACAACACCATGTAACATAAACTTTTGTGCCATTGCCACATATAATATCTGGCTGTTTAAAAAACTGAATTTTGCCTTAATAAGCTGTTACTGTTTGTTATGTTTCTCTGCGATTTTCCCTGCCACCTAGACTTCACAGTGTAGGTGCATTCAAGCTACGGTAGTATCGCCACCACGTGCACTGGCGCGTCTTATTCGATTTTGCACGCTTTTGCCTCGAACTGGCGCCAAAGTGGTGTTACTTGGTTCCTGGAATGTAAATATCCGTGAACATCTGCCTTGCTGGCCTCAACAAAGCATTTTTGTTGTCCTGGCGGTTGATGTAGTCTCCCCAGTCGCCCGACAGGTTGTTGTACGTGAAGTTGAGGGCCATCGCCCTAAGCGGCGCGTCATAAGCCGGGGTGTCAAACACCATCGCATCTTCGTTGTCTTTGCCGTACGGTATCATGTTGAAGCGCCAGGAGACCTGCGGAAGAACCCCTGTGTTGACCTCGTCTGACCTCGGGATGACGTCCTCGCAAAGCGCATCAAAGCTCTGTGTTACCATTGCGCGCTTGAAGGCATTCTCCCACAACTTGTTTAGTCTGTTTTGTTCCTTTTCGAAGTACTTGACTCTTTCGTCCCTGTCCTCTTTGGCCGAATTCCAGAAGCCTTGTTCGTTGAGGTCGTCTGCTACTCCCAGCTGCAACAAGCTTGTAAGATCGACAATTCCCTGGTACATGTCGCTGTAGTACTTGGTTATAGCCCGGGTTGTGCCGAAGAAGGCAACGAGCGCTACTAATTGGTACCTGATGTCTGGATTGTGCTTTAGCACCGATCGCGCTACTGGCCTGTAGAGCAGCGACGCGGCATCACTGACGGTTTTAAATGTAGCGCAGCATGCACGTTCTATCCGAGGTCTCAGTCCTCGTAGCAGGAGAACGAATCCGTTGTAGGTAGCATGTTCTCCGTAGTGATGTCTATCGGGCAGGAATGGCTGCCAGCGGTTCTTCGGAGGTTCTCCCCAGTGCGGCTTTGCGGCGCCTCCGCTCAGCCTTCTCAACGAAAATCTAATCTGCGAAATGTGTTATTTCTGTGAAGGGGCCTAGTACGGCTGCGTAGAGGATATACGAGTTCTATGCACATTACATTACAAAAAGCGTCCACATCGCTCATCGAAACTTTAGACCACTGTAAAGTTGCTATAGAGTCGATTTAATGCTCCTGCTGTGGCGAGGGTCTAAACAAAGAACAACTGTCATTCACCCATCACAACAAACTGAACACTAAAAATGTCCTCTTCCACCGCAGTCAGCAGTCAAATCAATGCATCTCACGCGCACTTCGATAAAGCAACGACGCCAATGAAAAACAAACCACTAATATTTATCACAGGAGTCGCAGGGCATCATAGCAACCTGTGATGCCCAGTGCCATAACCAGAGAAAAAGAAGTACGACAAAACACCAACAAACGAGGACGCATCAAGACCACTGTAGAAACATCAGCTTACCATTTGGCCGTATAGATTACTTGCTTCGTCGTGGGTATTAGAATTCTTTCAGCACAGCATCGTGCTGACTACTCAGCGTCGGAGGCTGTATGCAGTTTCCTCCGATTATTAGCACATTTCGGCTTCAAAAATTGCGGCAGCCGATCGCCGTTTTGCTACAAGTCAGTGTGTGAGGGAAGGCGTTGAAGTCGTTGCCAGGGTTGTTATAATGGGGAGTGCGCCCTAAAATTGTGTGTTAATGGTTATTACCCTCTCTTTCACGGCACATTTGGCGATTATTTAATGTACGTTATCTGCGGTCTGTCGCGGGGGACGTTTGCCTAAGCGCTCATGTGGGTGGACCTTTCGAGCCTTCCTTGCTGTGTCTAATCACAGACCACATAGCGATATCCCGTCACACGAACGGGCATAATAACAACTTCTGCCACCGACTTAGAGACATCTACTGAATCCTTTCCTACACGTTTGAGTACAGATGGTGAGGTCTTCCTACTTCGGTCGTTAGAAGTGAGGGTCTATTACGACCGTACGGTATCCACCACGTGAATGCTTGCACATATAGCAAGTTGACGTGAAAACTTCTTTTTTATACCAGCAAACGTTGAAGCAGTGCTTTATGCGCCGATTGCAAAGCGCTTTTGCTGTTTCCTGTGTCTCGCAATGTTTGCCAAACGCAAGCTCCTCGGGAAAAACCCGGATAAGGGCAAATCAGGCGCAAAAAGCGCGGGGCCTTTGGAGAAGGATACGGCCAATCCCACTCCCGGCAACGCTGACGCTGCTGCGACGGCGAAGGCAGAGAAGACCGACGTCGAGAGCACCAAGCCCGATGGTACCACCGACAAAAGCAGTTTCCGGAGAGGATTGCGTGATGGCAGCGCCGCTGTTAAAGCGAAGGCTGCGGCTGCCCCCTTGCAACGTGGTAGGGGGGGACGAAAAGGTGGCATGTCAGGTTTGAGCTTCAAAGAGGATGTAAAGTCTCACGGCGACGTTTCTATTCGTAAGGGCGTTACGAACACAACTGCCGCTCCTGAATCGCAGGTATCAAGCCCACCAAGTGTGAGCTCAGTCGGAGTGAAGTCCGGTATCGGTAAGCCGCATTCCGGCACTAAGCCGCGCCGTGGCAAAAATGTTAATAGACGCAATCGTCGCGGAGGTCCGTCCAATGCAAGAAATGAACCGTATCTGGACGTAGACGGCGAGAAATTCAATCTTAAGGAACAAGATGAAGACGAATATGTAGGCAATTTTGTACCGGGAACAAATACGAGGGGTTCTTTCCGTTCTCCACCTTACGATGGGGATTACGGAGATATCTCCAGTGATTCTTCCTCGTCAGATGATTACTATCGCAGTGTTGAACAAAGTCGTGGTCGACCAACCGTGAACATCTATGAGGAGTTAGCGAAACCCTTCACTGCGGCAGACGCTGGACGTTTCATGAGTCAACGCTTGAGTGCACTACGCAAGGGACTGTATGAGTACACCGATGAAGTGGATGAAGCCAAGAAAGTTGTTGAGTCCAAGAAAAAGGCGCCCGAGCTCCTTGATGCTGCCTTGTCCGGTATTACGGCAAACGTTGAGCTATTTGATATGCTCGCTGAGGAGGCTCGCGTCCTGGGAGGTCTGTGCAGTGCTAAGCTTTCTGAAGCTCAGAAAGGGCTACAAGAGATGCACAGCAGCAATACTGATTTCTCTGAGAGTTTCTATTGCATGTATCGCTGGCTCCTGTGCGATATCTTGCGCATCGGGGGCGTTGAGTGCGATTACAGTTGCGGTTACTTGGATGAAGTTGACGATGACGGCACCGATCTCGCTAAAGGGGTAAAACAAGATTTTTCTAATCGTGAGCAGACACTGCACTCATTTTTAGCTCAACAGAAATCCTTGACAGAAACACGTGTAGGAGCAATAGTGAAAAACCTTGAAAATGCACCAATTGATCGTTATATGTCCGAAGACGTCACTGCCTGCTTTACCCTATCTCCATCTTGGCAGAGTTTGCAAGCGATGTATCCGTGCTCATCGCCTAATCACTTCAAGGGCACCGACGTATTGGGCGACGTCTGCGATAAATACAAGAAGTTGTCAAGCGCCCTCTCTGTCTTTATGAAATTTAAGGAGTCTCACAAGAACGAATTTGTCCAAATGGAGGTTGGTGAACATCTGAAAGCCGTTTATCGGTTATACGCCACGGCTGACGTTTTGACTTGGGATTTATTTGGGGATTCCCGTAATACGGCATTGGAGTTTACCGGAAGTGAGTGGTATCAATGTGTTAAGAAGTTCTGTCCGGAATATCTCCCTCGATTGGTGCTTGACGTCGTGTACCCTGTCTGCCTGAAGGCCATTGAAACGTGGGACCTCACTGATCTATCGCAGTCTCGTTCGCTCGCTCGATTTTTCATACTTACCATCGAAAACTTGCCGTCAGATGGTCGTGCGGCAAGCATAGATAAGCTGAGTTCACACTTTGTGAAGGTACTTGAGTCACGTGTTGGCGTGCTTTGTCCGAAAGTTAGGCGCAACACGTTTAAGGACGGGTACATTGCTGGTTGTTGGAAGTTCCTAATTGTCCAGATCGCAAGAAATATAATGCAGTTCAGCGGAATCTTCACTGGCAAGACTTTGTCAAACGTTCTTTTCGACATTTTGTTCGTGGATCGCCTGCTACCGGCGCTAGACTTCCAGCTGGCGTGTGATGCGTTTGCGGTGGCGCAGTTTTTCTGTGTTGTCGAGAGTTTATCACCGCAGTTGCGCGTGAAGAACAACGTCAATGCCATTATAAAGTCTTCCGCGTATGCTATTGCTAAACGCAACTGGGACAATCGTCCGGGATTTACCGTCGTCTGGGACCAGCTGAACGTGAATTTGCGTAACGAGGACTACTCGGGCATACTGGACAGGATTTTCACGTAGTTTTGCTGTCAAAAGGACACACTGACTGCTGCTTAATCTCTTAAATCTTCACCAAATGGAAGGAGAGCTGTGTATTTTACTTCAGCCTCATGCGGCTGCCTTTGGCAGCTCCGCAACGTTTCGACGTGCAAACGACTCTGATTAAAAATAGTTATAGCGTAGTTCTTTTCACGACATATTTCGCGTGTTACGTTTTCCACGGCACGCTTCTGTATATCGACCATGCTGCTTTTGTTGTCCACGTGCTAAATTGCATCTTCAGAGCGGGTACTCACCCTCGAAATAGTGCTGCCTGAGTTTGTTCTCGTCGATTGTGGCTCCAATGTATGTGCATATTTCGCGCATATCGATTTCGGCGTTCGAGACACACGTCGTTGCGCCTGGTGAGGCTGTAACGTTGTATATGCATCCGTCTCCGTTGGACATTTTGCTCTGTCCCAAGAGAAGTTTCTTGTTAACCTTGTCCACCAGCTGCGGCCTGACTCCCCCGTATCCCACCGAATAGCGCAGATCCTTGAGTGTGAGCGAAGGTACAATTTTCCTCGCATCTTTGAGGAAGAGTAACCTTGATAGCAGGGGCACCTCAAATAAGAAATTGCGGAGCATGTATTTGCATATGGTGCCGTCAAACAGGAGGTTTAGGTACACCGCCATTACCCGTGTGTCCAGACGCAGTACCCTCAGAAAGTCAGGCAAGCTTCGTATGTTGTACCTCTCAAGCAGCGGCAGTGGAAGCGCAGTCGGTCCGAAGCGCGTCTGGTTATTAGCTCCAATGTCTGGATCGCCGTGTATGGCCGCAAACGGTAGCGCAGGGTTTTGTACGGTGTACACCTTGCCTTGCAAGACGTTGGGGGCGAAATAAAAGCTTCCTGCCACTGGCAGTACGCTGTATTGCAGTCCGACGCCCATGCGCTGGGCGAAAAGTAGGGAGTAACCACATGCGCTGAACACGACGAATTTCGCCGATAGCGTGCCATTGTTCGTGACCACCTTGTACGTACTTCCTTCGCGCGTTACGTTTTTGACCTCTGTGTTAAGCATGGGCTGCATGTGTTTCCCATCGTGGTTGGCAGCTTTGACAAAGTGCTCCGACAAAGCCATGAAATTGCAAGTAGTTAGCTCGTCCTTGACGAAAAGAGCATTAACGTCCTCTGGCCTCATGCCCCCCTTTAACCCTCGTACTACGTTCGGCTCAACTTGGTGTATTTGGTTCTTATCCAGCAGCTGAAGCGTGGGGAATATTTCCTTGAATGGCGTGTATCGGTCCTTGATATACTGGCACTCACGGTCGCCAACACCGATTACCATTTTCTGCCCCTTTCGTGCGATACTACAACTTGTGAGGCTGCAATAAACGTAACGTACTTATAGAGGTCGCTTTCTGGTATTTTTGTCAGACAGTTTCTGAGCATGTTGGCGCTTTTCTTGACCTTAACCGCGGTTTCTGGCGTGTAATTCGTCTCGATATCACCTAAAACACATATACTGGAAAGTCTTTTCGCCCACCGCAGTGTATGGTTTGGCTGTTGTTTTTAAGATGGGAAGCCACCAGCGCGTATCCGCTGCGGCGTTCACAGAGTGCGATGCGCTTGATATCTGTAGGAGGATGATTTGTATGATCCGTCCTGCTTACTTGTGAACTGCGAGAGGGTGTAGTAGAGCGCTGTGCCCGTTGCACCTCCGCCGACGATAACAACGTCGAATTCATTGGATGAACTCGGTCTAACTGCTTCAGTCGATGCAAAACGACGGTTTATCCGATGAGCGCTGTGCGCTACGCCTGAAACATTTGAAAGTCACCGCTTGCTTGCTTACCTGATGTGCCATAGAGGCTCCTCGAAATCGAGAGGATTCCTGAATTTACCCTGCAGCTTCGCATCTTTTGAACTGTAGTGGTGTCTTCAAATGTGCTGGTTGTTTAATGACACATCCGTGTCACATAGTTCGCTGTTGACAAGCAATTACGCGTCAGCAATGCTTCCCAGCCATATGACTCCTTCGAGCTCCATACGATGTTACGGTTGGTCGGAGGAGTGATTTAGTAAAATTATGACGCCAAAACTACCAATGTTGCGATTTTTGGCGGTGAGGTCTTCACGTCGTCCTACGGCGGCGGTGCGGCCGCCGCTCCCCTACGACCCACTGCGGTCCGTACTGCTGCGGCGTAAGACACTCTGTTTACGTACACATGCGCCAAATTCTATACTTAAATGCGATATGTATACGATTATATATGCGTCCGACTCAAACTGAGCTGTATTTGCTGCGTTCACGAAGGTGTAGCGTCGGCAAGCAAAAACTCCTCTTCCTCGAGCGCCATTTGGCGATCGCCGCGTTTTCGAGCTCTTTCTTCCATGCGTTTCCTGCATCACTCATGTGTGTTGTGTGCGTATTCAACCCACTTGTCCATTTCGTGCCATGTTTCCTGCAGTTCGTCGTACTCCGCCTCCAGTCGTTTGCGATATGCGATTGCCTTCTCCTTGGCGTCGTGGAACCCGTGTTCGTCCACCCTGTGTGTTGTTATGCTCGTAACTGTTGCCTACCTAAAGTAACAGTGGCAGTTGACGAAGAAGTTTTTTTCGTAGTTGCGCCGGTTGAACTGGACATACCAACTTCCTGACGGATGCCACCTACGAGGAGTTGTTAAATGATCATATAGCACAATCTAGCCCATACCTCACCCCTCTCACGTTGCATTTGTATGCGTCCCAATCCACCTTGCTTGCAAGTTTTTGCGCCTCGACGGTGTTTGAGTAGACGAGTTTCCTTATTGCGGAGTTGCACAGCAGGGACTTTGGCAAAGCGTCATCGTTGGAGAGCCACCCATCACGTAACTCCTTGTTCGTATGCTTCTCCTCGGGGTGTATTAGCCTAAGCATGTGCCCTGAGAAGAGGTTATACAAGTATTTGGGAGAACCCGTTAGCACGCACAGATGTCAAAATTCTCACACAATCACACAGTGAAGACACTATGTTAGTCGGTGACTCACTTCTCTTTTGCGTGACCCGTTTTGTGCCGAAGTTGACGTGATGAAGGTGTATCCAGTGGCCGGGCTCCGAGAGCTGTATGCGTGCGATATTAGTCGCATTACGCCACGATATTAAACGTTCAGATAATTTGAATATATTCAGAATCATTATCCACTAGGTGAGTTCCGTAGGTTGTACTGAAACTAGACTCTGCCGTGTATTACACATCGCGAATCCTGCCACCGTAGGCAGCCTTCTATACGATATTAATGTAGCCACTTGTTTGTAGCGAGACTTTTAAAACTTCAAGAGTTAAGCAGACTCCTGATAACGTTGTTGCGAATGTTGTATATTGCCTGTATGAAGTCACTCTACCGCTGGACACTCGTACCTGGTTGAGTGGCACGTGATCTGACGAATCGCCAGATTTCCCTTTTAGCCTTCGTATTATGACGTTGTGATCCGATTCCATTATGATTCTGCTGATTTATGATTGAAACGTATATTTTGCGAACCCTCCGTCGACAACGTCGTCAAGGACTAGGAAGACCGAGTCCAGCTTGTTGCATACGACCTCCTTCTTCATCTGGTCGCTGCGTACCATGTGTTGGGTGACATGATGAACTCACTCGGTGACTGCGAACAGACACTTTTTGACAGTTGTGCATAGCTCCGAGAGCAGAACTTCGTTTTCCTTGCTTGGACCAACAACGATTATGGCAAAATCGGCAGCAATGTAGTAGCTCACGAGGTGTCCCTCGATCATACGAATGCCGGAGGCACCTTCTGTAACACCGTGTGACATAACCTCGATTATCATACCTCGTGCTTTTGCCAACTCCAGCTCCTTGGTTAGGCTCTTCTCAATGACCCTCTGACGCGCCACGTCCTCCCATACTGCCACGTGAATATGACTCAGCGCCTGTCTACCTACAGTTTTTTTCTCCATCTGAAGACGCAGGAGCCGCGCAGTGCTGCGGATAGTAGTTGACCGCAATGCGCTCCCCGTGCTGGTCGAGGAGCAGTATTGCATCCACTTGCGTTATAGGGATATACGCCATTTGTATAAAGTTACCAAATGCAATGTGCTGGTTGAAGTTCGCCCGCTGCGGCTGCGGCGCGATAGGCGGTGTGACGTGTCTGGGATGCAGTGTGTCAGATAATATTATCGTCGGCGACCAACCTCTATTTTCTTGGTTACACCGTTTATACACATACACACTGATATATATTTGTATGGTGTGTATGTAGTTTATTCGTGTTGACCGTTGCGTTTATTCAGACGTGAAATTCGCATTCCACCGTTTCCTCGCTATTTTGCGGTTCGTGCGACATACCGCGAGGAATACTAACCTGCAGTGTTCGTGACAGGTTTCTCTGCGAAATTACGCAGAGGGGTGACTTTTGCGCTTTAGTATTCGTCGGACACTCCTCGGAGGCTTTTACGTGTACTAACGTTATGCGTTACTGCTCGCATACGTCAGAATGCAGCTTTTAATCTGTGTAGTATGAGATGTGTGAAGTATTCTATAAGCTCAAATGCCGACAGTATTTACGTGCTCTATATTTGTGCCGTCAGGATTTTCTTTTAGGTTTTACGCGCAAAGAGCAAAATCGCGGCGAACAGACACGCATTGATCGTTTCATCGCTGTTAAGCGCAACATTGGCATAGGTGATGCACAATTTCACTCCTAAATACCGCATCTATGAGTTCTGGCAGCCAATGATGGCGAGGCCGTTTCATAAAAGCCAGCTCCATTTTCATGAAACCGACTAGACGCATCGACATGGATTGCTATGGTGGCAGCTGAGGTACAAACAATCAATATAACGTCCCATGCATGAACCCGGTTGTAAGGGTACGCCCGCGGCTAACGCACAACCCGCTGGGTAACACTGCAAACGAGACCCTGGCCCCACCTACGCCACGATGAGTGCCACAATAACAAATAACACTGGTGATGCCTGCCGGAGTTGGTACGCAATCTGCCTGTCGAAGGCAGCAACAACCCAGGTGCCACAGCTCCATATGATAAAGGCCCAGCACGCGTCGCCACAGAAAAAACGTCGCAAAAGACGAAACGTATTTGTTGAGACAATTATTTTGCACTTGTTCGCCAGGTGGACGATAGCTCCGCCCATTATGCAGAGTTTTACCTCATACGCCACAAGTGCTGAATTTGCCTTCTCCTCCAGTTGGCGCGGATTGATGGTCTGAGCTTGGCCGCCTTCGGTCCCTTTACGCGCAAACCACGTGCCTTGCGTCCAGCGGATGTAAGGCCGCGCATCTCGCGGTGCTTGTGTACTGGCTTGCAGATGTACTGCATCCTGGGGTCGTTGCGAATAGCATTGTGGAAGGGATCGACAAGGATGACCTCGTAGAACTTGTGCACGGCGTCCTGTCCCACCCAGTACGAGTTGAGGACTCTGAGGCCGCCGCACCTCCTGCCTACACGCTCCTCAGCCAAGCTCCTGAGGTTGCGCTTGGACTTCTGCTTGCGGATACCCTGGTGCTTGGGCTTTCCGTATACGATTCCATTCTGCACGTTCCTCTTGCGGTCACCCCTCTTGATGCGAACGCGGTAGATGACGAATCCCTGCTTGGCCTTGTATCCCAAGCGGCGCGCCTTGTCGGGGCGGGTGGGCCTGGAGACGCGGTGTACGGCGGTAAGCTGCCTATACTCCCAGGTCCTGATACGAAGCAGTGTGCGCATGGCGTCCGACTGCTTCTTGCGCCACAGCTCTTGCATGTAGCTGCGAGTGTATGAGAATGTGTGGAAGGTGGGTACGTTGCCCCGCGTAGGCAAAAGGGACAGAAGATGGCACCGCTGATTCCACGTCGCCCGCGCATCGAAATATAGTTCGAATAGGCGTCGCTTTCAACGGGCCATGGGTACCGGTTCCCCCTGTGAGTCTCAACTTACCGGTAAGCACCCATCTTGCTTGACCTGTGAGCGACAAATGTGCGTTCTGCAAGTCCGATATAGTGCTCAGTGGCAGATGTATCCCTAGTTTCCTATTAGGGATTATTATAAGTAAGTAATAGCGTCAGGGCCGCGGCAGTTCGTTCGATGCTGTTCCATGGGGATCGAGACCTGGCTCCCATGGGGAGTGGATGGGGAAGGCAACGCCGTTCTATCCAGGAAGCTCAGTTGACAATATATGGTTTTATTAGCAATTTATAGTTATATTTTAGGGTTGGTTGCCGCTGTAGACGGCCAGCTGAACTTTGTTATCAGCTCATCCTTGGCGCGGTAGTAGCTGTACCTAAATGTAGCGCAGAGATGTTTTCTCAAATCGCCTATTCCATCATTTTAACGCCATTTACGGTATTATAGTTATGGTATTATGGCCTGATTAGGGTCTCAACTATAAACATCGGTTAGTGTTGTTGTGTGTCTGGCAGCACGCCGTCACTGTCTTCGCCTTCAGGTTCCCTTCTCAATTGGCAATACGTCGACAATACTACACATGCGTCTCATATTAAAGCCGTTTCCTATTGCTGGGCCGCATTGGCGCGTTAGGGCGCCGCGCCGTGCGCCGTTGTGCCTTATGCGGCTCTCGCGTTACACATCGCACGCAATATAATAATAACAATGCAATGTCAATGTCGGTAGGCGTTGGGGGCTACGAGGCTGGCGCCGTCCCTTCTACAGCAAGTGTGAGCCAGACTCTAGACACAGTAGCAGGGCTTCTGCGTTCCTACGATCGCATCGATGGATATATAAGCCAGCTACGCCTTCCGGAGGCTGCGCGATTGCTTGGTGTTTGCTATACTGATCAGGTGTCGCTCTCTCCGGATGGTGAGTTGGAAGAGGAGATCCAGGTGTGTTGCGCCTCGTTGCGTGACAAGTGCCTTTCGGAGGTCTTTCACCTCTCTAATGTCTCCAGCTCCGAGTATGTGCGCGTCGAGATCGAGCGCTACCACTTCCGGCGGCGTCTGTCGGAGTTTGAGTCAGGTTCGGCGGACGCTACTGATTGCAGCGCGCTGTTCCAGCAGCTGCTGGAGGACGCAGAGTCCGACGCAGACGGCATAGTTGAGGAAGCGGAGAAGGTGCTGCACGCTCTGAAATGGGCGTGGTACCGCCGTTACGAGATGCTTGTGAAGCTGGTGCTTTTCGTGGCTCGAAGGTGGTTGTGTTTTTCCGGCGGCGATAACACTGACGGCAATCGACAGTCCATCACGCTGCAGCATGAGGAATACCATATCTACTACCACGAGTTCGACGAATGCGTCGTGCTTCTGAACATGTCAGAAACGTTTGTGCGGCTCATTGAACAATGTGCATTCCGCTACGTCACGCCGGTCATCCGTATGCCGCCGGGCTCCGACTGCGACGAGGAAAACTCCATTGATTTTGTCCATAACACGTGTTTGGGCGCTGCGTTCACAAGCAAAGAGGGCGTAAAAATCGCTATTGATGGGTACAGCTCAACTTCTGAGATGCCAGCAGGGGTGGTTGGGCGCATCCGAAGTGTGGAGTCGGTATTACGTCAGCTGTTGCGACTTGCCGAGAATTGCGAATGGAGCAGTGGCGTCGCTCAGAAGGATACACCACGTCAAGTAGACTATGCTACCGTCGAGTTGTCCAGTTTCAACTGCATGTCAGAGCTGCATACCCGCGTTCTGACTGCGGAGCTGGTCTGCAGGCTTGTCGAGTCAATCTACCCATGCTGGGAGCTTGAAGGTTTCGGCTTCGAGGATATACTCCACTCGTTTAGGGGGCTCTGCGATGCTTTGCGCTACGCTGAACTGATGCGTGACGATACGTCATGTCGGTTCATTGAACGTTTTTTCAAGTGCGTCTTCGACAGTTGGGATGGGCATGCGCTCGTGTTCGGGCGTTTTTGCGGGCGTTCGCAGAGCGACGAAAGCATCATGCAGGCAGCTACGCTGTCTAAAGCTGACATACGCCGTGGTATGTTTGTCCGGCGTGCCGACAAGCCGTCTATAACCACGCTGCTGGGTGGTTTGATGGATGCCGACTTTCGCGGTGTCAACATATCGGAGGTGTTCGCTTCGTTCGACTGGGCGAATAAGATGGAAACATGCTATGTGTCTAACCACATCTACACCCTCGCCGCGTTTCTCTTCGTACTCACGGCGAAGCCCATGGCGATCTTGCGCCAAGGGTTCGACCTGTTGGGCAGTGGCATTATATCGCAACGTGTCATTTCGTCATGCGTGAACCGGTATTCAGAGATGGTATCGTCGGTGGTCACGACGTACGTGCTGATGACGCAGGATTCGTTTAAGCAATTTGTGTTGAGCGTTGCTAAATCGGTGGGCAAGGACGAGGATGCGAAAAACATTGGAGATTTGAGGATGCCGCTCACGATGTTTTTCATGTTCATGTCTAACGTATCCTTTATGTCAAGCACAAGTTTGGTGCTGCCGTACTTCGCACAGGAGATTGAGTCACGAGCCCAATTTGGCACAGACACTACGCCGGGTGAAGCGGATCGCGTACTGATATCCGATTTGGTGAAGCGGCATTACCATACCTGTAGTTTGCATATCCATCTGTTGAAGGTGCAGGACTACCTCTTGGCCCAGGTTACGGCGTTCGTTCAGCAGGTCCTGCAAAAACTCCTGAGCAGGGTGTTGAACGCCATCAACGAGGATTCGGACACCTTCGGAGAAGATGCTCTGCAGCTGTTCGCTTTGGTTTCGTCGTTGTGCGAATCAATGCTGCCTTCAACGGTACGTTTGGATGGCTCAATTAACGCCTTAACTTTCCGCAGCTACGTCTCACAACCCTGTGCCTGATTCTCGATCTGTACTTCACCACGGTGCCCGACCTATTCCTGGACTACTTGGACCTGCTGAATTACCAGCCATCGGACGGGATGCTAGCAATAATCACCACCTTCATCGTGAGACTGGAGGGCAGCCTTTCGAGCTACGTGTTAGGTAAGTTTCTGCCATTGCGGTGTTAACAATGCACAGATTTGAACAAGGATCGTGGCGACTTCGTGTACTTCGAGAAGTTCACCGCTTTCGCTGGAGTGTTCAGGCAAGACTTTTCGGGTGTGGAAAACCCGAGCAGCACGTACAACCAGCGTGACCTGAACCGGCTATTTAAGCTGTGCAAGTATATCCAGGGCAGGTCCGGAGTCCGACTACCCTGATGCAGCAGGTGCTCAACTACCAGCATAATGCGAGACCATATGCTAGAACAAAATGGTAATAAAGTAATTATATATATTTTGCTGTTCCGTCTGGTTCTACATCGACAACGCTATCCCCATCCCTGCCAAAAAACCGGCGAGGTGCGCCACGTGATCGATGTTGCCCCCAGCGAAAGGCACCAAGTTCTGTATAAGCGCAGATGTGGCTACTTCGACCATCCTACGCCTCTCGGCAGATCCGCCGAAGCGCAGGTGGCAGGCGCAAATGGCGCCCATCAAACCGTAAATAGCCGCCGAAGCTCCACATGCGCGTCGCTTCTCAATTTTGCGTCTGATGTAGGCGTTCACTGCGGCTTCTACCTCCGGGTCGTTTGTTTCCTGCCGTGCCTTTTTGACAAACGGCAGCAGTGCGCCAACAGCGCCATCTACCAGATGGAACAACGTTGTGTTGGCGTAGGACAACATGAATACGGGGAATGACGCTCCGTCATACCGGTTTCGTATGCGATCCACGACCTTTTCCACGATGCTGGAGGTCGACCTGCCGGATTGGCCTACCCTCTGGACCACAGCCTGTGTCATTTTAACGAGGTCTGCGGGCAACCCATTTTTGTAGGCGAAGTTGTATATATAGCTGATGTAGTTTGCGATAGTTCCGGAGGCCAGATATACGGCCATGAGCCGTCTCGGCCCTAGCAGCGTAAGCGCCTCGGCACCCACGGCCCAGAGTGACTTGATGTTTTGCAGCATGTGTATGACGCCATTATGCAAGAACAGAGACGTGAAGAACCTGTAATACTGTCCTTTGGAGAACACTTCGATCGGGTTCATGTCACACCGCGTCCTTAGGCTGTTAGGTCCTACCCACCACCCCAGTGCATAGGCGAAGCTGATGGCTCGTGTTATGTTGGCGATTGGATCATGGCTAAATGCGATAATGCCTTTGAACCCAAGGTTGCATGCCTTGAGATACCACGTATGCAGTTCCTTCGAGACTATCCGGCAGCCGCGTTCTGCTGAAGACATGGACTCCCTGCAGACCCGGGCAAGATACGTTCCTGGATTCGTGAGACGTTGTTTCACGGTTTCCTTTAGGCTCCGTAATGCATCCTTTTGATTGTTTATCCAGTCGTAAACCGATGGAACAGTGGTGGAGATGGCGGCCAGTGATACCGTTTGCCCGTTATTTTTCCACTGCGGCTGCGGTGGGTGGTCGCGACTCGTTGTGACCTTACCCCAGTCCCGCGTAGTGTCCCGCTTCAGCTCCCGCAAATCACATTTTGCTGCACCTAAGTGTGCATTATGAACGCGTAACGCGTTGTTTGCGGCCTTGAAACCGAGATCTGTGTGACTCAGACCGCGGCCATCATCAAGTCGAAATACGGTCAGGTGTCTGGGCGCCTTTACGAAAGCCAAGGTTCTTCCATACCCGCCGTATGTTCCAGCGATGTCTCCGGAATAAGTTGCGCGGTGCGACTCGGTCAGCGGCGAACGAAGGAGCAGCAGCCCTGCAAGAAAAAGCACGAACATCCTTCGCTGCCGTCTCGTGTTAAGACGCCGTTCCCACGACCATTATGGCGGCATTATGCGCTCTCTTATACCTCACGCCACCTGTCCAGCCGTCGTATGAACGCCGGAGCACGCGGAGGACCGGATGCTTGCTCCGCGATATGTGTATTCCTGGTCTCCATGCTGGCGCCCTGCGGCCATGCCACGTAGCGCCGCCGTGATTTTAGTGTGTTCTATGTGTGGTCATCTTCCATATTGCGAGAGTTGTGTTATGTGTCGGTGTCTTACTCGCGAGGTCAGCGCGCGAGAGGGGGTCGGCGTACCCAAGCCTATTGGCTGCAACATGCATCTGCCGTAGCAGTTTACCGGCGTTGAAAGCGGCGCAATTTTACACTCAGTTGGGGCGGTAGAGTCCTTATTTCCCCTGCGCGCGATGAGCTTCAGGCTCGCTTGGCCATCTGGAGCACCCTACAGCTTGTAAGTAACCTACGACGCCAGTGCGCGCTGCCGGCATCCCCTTAAACACACTCAATGCCAGCGGTTTAACGGCTTGGATGGCTCACAGCGTTTCGTCAGAGTAGCGGTGTTGGTGGCGCCAGCCGCGGTCAATCGCTCCATTTTCGTTGTCCTTTTAGGGACTAACAGCAAGATATCAATAAGTTTTCGTTACTTTAGAAGCAAGGAGGTGCGCGTGTTCGAAGTATAGCTCGTTTTTCGAGCGGATGTTTGTTTTGTATGTGGGCGTTGCCTGAAAATGCACTGTCGGAGCGATGGATCAGGACACAGTGCCCACGCGAGAAACATCGCAAGAGGAGGATCGGTTTTGGATAGACACGGACCGCCAGTTCTTCTCAAACCCCAATTCCTCGCTGCTTTTGTGTCTGCGCAATCATGCCTGGCACTGTCGCTACATCGCGCGTCAGTCCCGGCAGCTGCTGCGCGAGCACGAGGAGGCGTCCAGCGACCACTCGAACTCATATCGCGAGCCTAAGCGACCCAAGTTAGCGTCGGAGAATGAATTCCAGCCGGTTTCGGTAAGTAGCGGTAATGACGCCTCTGGCGTTGAAGTCCAGGAAGAAAGCGCGGATCACTCCGAAGATAATGGTTTGGTAACGGTCACTTTTAGAGTCAAGCACAAGGGTGGGGATTTGGCTGTGCTTAGCCCCAGCAGCTCTTGCTCGCGGATGTCGCCGCTGCAGAGCGTTAGCGGCGCTGATAGCGTCTCGTATGAGAAGCGAGGTTTTTCTATAACGACGCATCATCATATGGGAAGTTACGACGACGATGTGTATTATAACCCCGTGATTAACGCGAAACATGACAACAAGTTGAAGTTGCCCGTAATTCTTCCTTGCCAGGCGCCGGATGCCATCCGCATAGTGCTGTACTGTCCGACGGAGAGCTCGCAACAAGTCGACCTTGCGACATCGAAGAGACCGGGCTTCAAAACTAATATGCTGAACGACATGCTCTCACCTGATCAGGTACCTGAGATTGTTTACGGTCCTGCTCCCGTGTGGTCGCGTCTGAAACAGCCGAGCTTCAAGGATGGCAAAGAAATTTGTTTGTCTTATCCGCGATTCACTGCGGTGTTGGAGGAGATCCACGGGCCAGTGGCGGATCCAGTGTGGGAGTGTCACAACGATGTCCCGCATCGTTCTTCTGCGGGAGTCGGTGAGATTATGCATTCTTTGGCCTTGACGGATGTGTCTCCACCCTGCACCATAGATTACAGTCCGAAGTTGTTCAGTTTCGTGGAAGCCAAGCCTTCTCCGCTCTGCAGACGTTGCCTTGGGATGCCTAAAGTGGTCTGCTCCTTGTGTTCGAACATGGAAATCGCAAACAATATCCCCGGAGTTTGCTTTAGCAACCCAACAATCGTCGACCACAAGTATGAATTGGTGTACAATGGATTGGACATATACCACGTCCGTACTCTGATGGGAACGGAAACGTTTAAGCCACCCGTTGCTTCTGAGGCTCCCGCTGTGCGCCCGTTGAAGCGTTCGCATGACGATGACGTAACCGCGGTTCTTAAGGAGTACGTGGAGACGCTGGAGGAGATCGATGCCACCTTCAGTACGCTAATCGATCGCGTTCAGTCGGAAAAGAAACCCAACTTCGACTATTGGTCGCAGGTGGAATCGCAGATGATAAAGAGCTATATCGAGCAGTACAACAACAAGATGATGGACAATCGCTACAACTACAACACTCAGCGTCAGAGTTACGACGTATTGCGCATTCGCCTGACATGTAGCAAGAGCTCCAATTTACCTGCGCATTGGACGGATCATGCCTTGTGCAGCGTTTGCGGCAGTGACGAGGATTGGGACGACGATCCTATTCTGTTCTGTGATTGCTGTTACATTCCGATGCACTACTGTTGTTTGGGGTACAAGCCCGGCACCATGTCCGACACAATGAAGCAGAACATACGTCGTCATAAGCTGTTACATACTAAGGAGGATGACGAACCTTACGTTGACGAGGATGAGTGGCTCTGTCCGTGCTGTCTGTTCTTAATGGACCAATTGGCATTTTTATCCGAAAGCACTGCGATGAAGGCCATTCGTGTAGCTGCGGGTCCGAGAAATAGGCAGACGTTGGATTTCTTCCGCGACAACCCCGGCGACGACGACGCGCTGCCGATTGATGCTGCACCGTTGCCTTATGTCGTTGGCTTTGAGTACGACAACCCGATGGAACGCATCGACCTATGTACTCTGTACCGTCGTAACCCCGCAGTCGCCTTTGCTGCTGAATTTCCTATCGGCAATGAGAAACCAGCCGGTGATAAGGCGGCTACTGGCGATGGCGCGGATGCGAGTGCGCAAGGGGCTCCTAGGACATCATCTCACATGGAATATTTGGTGCCTCCTAAGATTACTTTCAAGTGGCTACGGGATTGTGGCAACATACCCACTACGGTTGCCTTTAATGTTCCCGACGAGGAGATTGGATGCCCATTCGAGAAAGATCTTAGGGGTTACGAAATGGACCTTCTGGGTCGCACCATCAGCCAATTCTGGTCGTTTAAGTGTATGACTAAGACACAACTGGAGATTGCACGTGACATATTCGACGATATTTTGGTGCGCCACATGAATGAGGGTGACCTCGAAGGGATGTTGAAACTGTTGAAGCATGTGCCCAAGGAGGAGGCGAATACACATAACCTCATCCACCAGGATCGCGCACTGCAGCAGCAGAAGACAAACACGCAGAAGCGTGGCCGCAAACCCGTTGATGTCAAGGCTGAGCGAACCCCTCAAGTAACGGCAGCCATGAATGCGGAGGTAGTGCGTGGCCCGGAGCAGGAGATCGTTCGTGATGATATATTCACCTTTAACTGCAAGAATCCGTTGAAGAAGCTGGTGATCTGCACGCGCATCACTAGAAACTTCTTTGTCAACCTGAGGATTCCCGTTTGTATTTTCTGTGGTTTCGACGCGTACTACCCTGGAGGTGGCCCAATGAAGCGTACGTCCAACCCCGGAACTTGGGCGCATATCCGTTGTGCTATTGCGGTAGAGTGCACAATAACACCGAAGCATATTGATTACGACACCTTTGTGCCTAAGGTAAAGGCGCTAAAGTGCTTGGTATGCCACAATTTGAGTACCGCAATTGTGCAATGTTCCCATGGCAATTGCTGCAAGGCAGTTCACGTGTCCTGTGCAGCTGCATCATCGTATTGTCTATTTTCCTGGGATCAGAATGGCAAGCCGGATATACTATGCCCGCAGCACGCGTCCGGTTTGGCGCCCACCGTCCTTTTGCGTAAGTTACAGACAAAGGTGCAGTACAAGAACCTCAAGAAGATGAGCGCTTATGAGACCAATCTTGACGGAGTTAACCCTAAGGATGACGTTTACCTAAGTCACTTGCTTGAGCCGAACTACCGTTCTATTGCTTCGGTGATCGAGCAGATTTTCAACTTGAAGCCTCGCACTGGTTTCCCAATACCCTTGTACGGCGACGAAGTGGTGTTCAAGCAAACCGTTGTTGACAAGGATTCTGGTGAAAAATCGACTTCTGAGAGATCTAGTGATACTAGGGGGAAATTAAGCAGGAGGGCTGAGGTACGCCTTCCATTGCGTGACAAGTCGGGCAAATTCAAGGTTGCGGACAAGTCCCGAGATGCCCCAAAAGTTGAAGCCACATCCGTTAAGGACGTTACTGCCGAAGTGCAGCAAACTAAAACAACCAATGAGCCCGTTACCACTGCCGAAGTGTCATCGCAAAATGTAACAAGTGAACAGGAAATCAGCAGTGTTCAAGCGCAACCTGATGCTCCCGTAGAGTCGTTGAACCCTACAGAAGCTCCAGAAGTTGTTGAAAACTTTGAGAAAGGTGAAACGGTTAAACCAGAAGAAATGGAATTAGTTGTCGAACTATCTGATACCACCAGTGATGTTGCGTCCGCGGATTTAATAACAGAGCCAAAACTAATCGCCAACACCCCTTCGAATGACCAAGTCGATGAAGCAACTCCTGCGGTTGTCCATGACCCGAACTTTTGCCGTGTCACCAAGCTGGCCAAGGAACATTGTTTCTGGTGCAGTATCGGTAACGACGATGCGGATGAGCCCACGCATTACAAACCGTTTTACGACGATCGCTGCCCGACGTCTGAACAGATAGGCAATTTGTTGTTTCCGGATCTGGATGCAGCTAAGAAAAAAGGTGCGGCTATGGTCGATGATTCCGCAGGGGAGGGCTCCTCGCAGCTTGAAAACATCCCTGCAATCGTCTGGAGTGAGATTTGTGCTTCTTCACGCATTGTGGATGAAAAGATGCTGTCGTATATTTCGGACGATTTCATCGGAGGTCAGCGGCTCATTTCAGAGGTTGTGTCCAAAAGCTGTCGTGCATCTCTGCTGGGTTTGACGAGGTTGTTGAACATTCTGTATTTCAAATCGCAAAAAGGGTCAGAGATGTGCACCATTTTCGATAACCTCCTGCGTCATATGAAAACGATGCAATCGGTGGATGAGGCTCGTCGTAATTGCGAAATCGGCACCAACTCCGCCCCTGAAGTATACTCACCACTGCCGTCTTTCACACCCGAGTACGGTGGTGGCCACCGTTTAAACCACCCTCCTGTGGATCATCGTAAGGAGTGCCGTGTACGTGTGAAAGCAGTATTACGCACTTTGAACCAAACAGTGTTCATGCGACTTGACCCTGAGCTGCTTCCGGCTTCCATTATTAGGGTAGTTGGGTCCAACAAGGCCAACACCGATAACGGTACTGAAGTTGAGGCATCCCGTCATTACGTTGTTTGTTCCGGGTGTTTGGAGTTCAAGGTCATTGAGCAAGAGATTAATGAGGATAATAGCATCATGCGCAAGCGAGTAAATTACGCCAATCACTACAAAACATGCCGCATGTGCAACGCACGCGCGTGTAGTGATTGCCTATCGCACATGAAGTCTGCTCGCATGCGTACGAAGGTGAGTTTGGCACCAGCCCCCCTAACTGTTGCTCCCGCGCCTACTGACGCATATATGTCGGCAGCCACATTGCTTTCGCAGCCCATCTACCCCGGCGTTAACCTGAGAATCCCACGTAATACGCCTCCCATGCCTGATGAAGAGCGCATCCCTTCGGTACGTGATGCGATGATTTCTTTGCCCCTTATGGCCCGTGGGCCGATGATTGATGGTTTAGGTCCGCACCCTGTGCGCAGCATGGGCGTCAGCACTCCGATGAGTGTTGACGGGCGCATGCCCGCAATGATGGCTCCAAATATGACTAGGGGGCCCATGAGCACCCCTAGTCCCATTAGACATGTGATTCCGCGGCCGCAAATTGGTAGTCCTGTGCCATTGCGTGGCGCAAGCATGGTAGATATGGCGGGTATGCCTCCCACGAAGCCTGGTATGATGCCCATCTGCACCCCCATCTCGAAGCCGATGCCGTCTCCTGGTGTCTGCGGCCCATTGTACAACGGAATGGGCGTGAAGACAGTGCCTGGTATGATGGATCGTACTCCTGGCATGATGTGTGGCGGCCCATTCGGCAAGGTTGGGCCCATGATAAAGAGCCCGCCGGTGAAGAACGGTCCATATGCCACCACTATCGGTGCCCCTAGTTACTGCCGTGATGTTCCGCCAACAAACGGGCCGTTTGTGGGTAACGTTGAAACCCACAGCGGTCCCCAGGTAAGCCCTCCATCCCTCATTGAGACACCCGATGACCACACCGAGGGCACGTTCCTTTGCAGCCGTTGTGAGGACATGGAAAATGACATAAACGTGCCGCTGCTGTGTTGTGCGTTCTGCTCTCGTTTCGACGGACTGCTTGTGCCGGTGAACAGGGAGCACCTGTCCTTTTACCTCAACTGGACTTCCGAATATTGCAGCTACGCTTACGTCCACCTTGTCTGTTTGGATTGGCTATCGTATTCAAAGGTTGTCAGCGCGTCGTTACGTAAGTTTCCGAAAACTCTGCTTGAGTCGCCATGCCACTACTGTGGTGTGGCTTGCGGTGCTACTCTTACCTGCACTAACAACTACTGCAACGTCAGGTTCCACGCGTCATGCGGTGCGTGGTTAGGTTGCAAGGCGGACATGGGTAGGAAGCCTGAGGGCGTGACCACGGCATCTCGGAGGGTGTATTGCCTGCGTCACACGTTCCTGAACATCAGCCGCATGAGTCAGGTGGAGCGCAAGTTCATGATAGCTCCTCCCCACCTGTACGAGCTGCTGATCTCAACGAAGCATCACTTGTCAAGGTTTTACGGTGGGGTGTACATGTCACGTTACTGCGTGCCGAACAAGATCAGGAACGAGGCGCTATCGCGGCCTCCACTGAGCCGCTTACCTACAAGCACGACTTCGAGCGCCAAGCGTGCCAAACCGCCTTCTAAAGCGTCTGCATTTCCGATCAACAACGTCAACGCTACGATGAGCATGCTAAGTGGGATAAACTACATGAACCTCGGTTTGGTACTTTCCAAGAGCACCTTCGGACAACCCGTCAACGAGTACAGCATGCTGCCGGACAACATCGCACGCGACCGCCTGATCCAGGCGCTGAACTGGACAGCGTACAACGCCATGAACCTGGTTGGTGGGCGGCGTGACAAAAAGGAGATTAGAGCCATCATCCACCTGATCAAGGCGGGCCAACTGAAGCCGATCCACGGCAGCAAGCGCGGCCGCAAGCCGAAGTCGCTCGACGGGTCCAACTTCGACAACCGCCAGAAGATGCCGATGGAGGACATCCTGACCTATTGCCATTCGGGCCAGCTAGACTCTGGGGAGTTTTTCTGCCCGGTATGTTTCTCCATCTACTTCGAGCGGAGCCCGGGAATGCCCGGCGATGAATTGCACTGGATCGGGTGCGACGGGTGCGAGCGCTGGTTCCACTTCGTGTGCGCCGGCGTGTGGGCCGAAGGGCAGGTGGACCCCAACTCCCCAAGCTGGTTCTGCTTGGCCTGCACGCGGCAGCGCACCTACAAGGCGCCTAAGTGATTCAACAGGAATAAATGTGGTACTTATTTAAAAACTAATCTGTTTGCGTTGTTTGGGTGCTATTCGACTCAACCGCGCGCCGCTGCCAATCGTGCGTGTGCATGATGGCATCCTTTATTCGCTGCAGCGCCTGCTGCTGCTGTTCCCCCGACATGTAGGACCTTGTGCGCGCCTTGAGGTCGTCCAGCACCTCCTTATTCGTGTCGTCGATGCGTACCACGGGCACCACGGGGTTCAACCGCACGTAGTTCTTCTTGGACATCAGCGCCTGGAGCGCTATGTGCACCGTATCCGTGTTAGTGGCTGAGCAAACTAGGTGGTTGAAGATTTTGTGGTACCCCACCACTGTTTTGGTCTTGCCGTTCGTTGGTTTGTTCACCGAGCGCAGAAGACAATCACTTGCATCGGTGGCCGGTATCGGGTCATCCTCTACCGGTGAGTCCAGGTTTGGTTCATCCTCTACATCATCGAATTCGGCCCTGAAACACCCGGACTCTACAGCAGACGTCTTTTTCGATTTGTCTGCGACAATATTTTGCGATAGTTGTGCGATATCCTCCCTTTCCCAGTCACCGCTACCCACGCTCACCAGCAGGTCCACGGGGACGTTGGGATACACTAGTCTGGCCTCAAGCAGAGCCACCAAACTTGGATTGTTAGCGTACAGCGCCCCGTCCCCGTAGAGAGCTCCGTTGCGCTCCATGAGCGGGAAGTAGGTAGGGGCTGCAGTGGTTGCACGCAGCGCGTCAGCCGTCATTATGGCACACGAGCCATCGCGCATGGGATTTTCTTCTCCCGATACAGTTTCCGGAGGGTAGTTGTAGTTTCTCCATACGATAGGGTTCAGCGGGAAAACATCTAGCTGCGTTGATAGGCAACAGAACTTGGGGCCCGCAGGGTCCACAGAGTAGTCTATAAGCTCGGCGTTACCAAACACTTTACGCAGGATATCGTACAGCGTCTTCTCGTCGTAGTACGCATGTCGCGTGATTAGCCTTCTACCGGTAACGTGGTACGAATCCTTGTTGAACACCTTCACCATGAAGTCCTCAAACACGCGCCGGATATCGGCTATACAACCCTTTTCCAGGGCAAGCAGCGCCCCGATGATACCTCCACAAGATGTACCGCATACGAAGTCAAATACTTCATGTAGGGGCCTGCCGAGAATTTTTTCAATTTGCTCTAAGATCTCCAAGATTACTACCCCCTTCGTCCCGCCGCCGTCAATGCTGAGCACCCGTAGACCGCGACCCTTAAAAATATCTTGCTCGTGGTGACCCAGCATGTTCAGCAGCTTGTGCGCGTTGAAGAACGGCCCGATGATGGCCCGGGGTACTGCCCTCTGCCTTGTCCAGCTCTCTTGACACCACTTCGACTGCTCGACACTAACGTTGCCGAAGACATCACGCCTTCGGGATCGCATTTCCTTCAACTCAGACGGTGACATGCGATTTATGTGCTTGTACATAACGTTCGTCGTGTGGCGTGCATCCTGTCTTCTCCTGTCTATCAGAGGGGTAAAATCGTCCGCTTTGTTATCCAGCGCCTCGGTGAGCGAGTAAACCGCAGGGAAAGTCGCTCTTAGACGTAACATGGCATCGACGAGTGAGGTCGCACGGCGTATTTTAGTCAAACTGCGGCTGCCATCCATGTATATAAGGTCTATCAGGAAACCTAAAACCACGGTTTGCAGCCGGCGTGCGATGGCCGCCTCTCTTTTACATGGCCTTATCGTCGTGAGAACATTATCAGAGGATGAAGACGAGTCCTGCTCAGTTGCAGGGACATTATCAGTACCCTTTTCGAAAATTTTGTCCCAAAACGAGTCGCGCAATTTGGGCATGACCTTCTGGAGGCACCCCTCAACCGTTCGTCTGAGCTTCTGCAGCATAACGTAACCCACCGAGCTATTCGTCGGCGAGTCGATGTTCGAAGAAACCTGCTCAAAGACGTCACTGCGTACAGTGTAGACCAATGAACGATTGAGCACTTCGGCTAGCAGGTCGAAATCCAGGTTTCGGGACAACTCGTTTAGCACATCCGGGTCCTTCGATCCCACCAATGCCCACAGCTCGTTTACAACCCGTGATATGGTTCTGAGGGATTCGTTGCGATGCATATTCTTGAGGAGATTCTCCGTCACTATGGTTCCATTTATTTCTTTAGATTTGCCGACCTGGACGTTGGATATCAAAACGTAATTGCCCTTCTGCGTAGTTTTGGAAGGCTGCATATAGAGTCTGCAACCTCCATTTCCTTTATTGTTCTCCTCCTTACACAGAAGCAACATCCCGTACACTATATTTGCAGCTTTGTTACGCGGCCTCTCAATGGTAACATTTGCCAGATTAGACAAATCCACCTTTTCACCAGCGGAGTCACCCAGGTTGATGAGTAAGTGGCGTTTTACAGCCTCTTCCATCTTAACGTCTTTCGGCGTAAAGAAGTACGGTATCCACAACAGCCTCGGCTTGGGCTGCCCCTCCTTACCTTTCCACCACCCGCCGCTAGACTCTAGCAACTGCGGCGGCACCGGTACTGACCACTGGTTAGATAGGTTAGATCCTTGAGCCGGCGCGTCAATAGGTACGGATGTGTCAAGCTTAAGGGGCGCCATTTCGGGGGTGACCGGCTTCAGCTTCTCGGAGTCACCCTGCTGCTTTAAATTCGCTGAATCGACATCAATACCGCACATAGACATGAGTTCACGAATGATGGCCCTTGTCTGCAGCGATAATACATCCATAGCTCCCGAAGGTTCGCCGGAAACAGTCAACCAACCCCCATTGCGTACGTTATAAGCAACAGCGTCGTACCTTTCTACAGGAACTTGGGGTGATTCATCGACATCTGTCTCCAACTCCCCATCTGACTTCACAGAAGATTGTTTCTCTTGTTTTTTTGATGCCTTGCCATTCTTGTCATTCTTGTCGTCCTTTTTCTTATTTTGGGTGTACATGGTGATCAGAAGGCTCTTGAAGCGCTCATCCCTAGCCATGGATTTACGCAGCATTTCGTTGCTACGACAAACCGTCAGCAGAATTGTGAGAAGAGTAGTCTCCATGGCCTTCCATTGCATTTCTTCCAATCGCGGATTTGACCGGAAGTAGCCATGCACGACACTCCAAAAACTCCGCTTATAGCGCTGTTTGAGCACATTCATGAAAGTTTCCAGGATGTTGAGGCGCTCCAATCCGTTGATGCACGCGGGTTGACTTTCAATCAGAACTCGCAGCGCGTTCAGGGCGACATGCTGCTTAGGTGGACCCTTGGTGGAACCGATCCTCGCGAGGAGCTCCTCAATGAATCCCATGACAGTGGAGTCGTCGGTCAAACCCTTGCTTCGTACAGCACCGAGATCATTTACAGTCTCCGCGACGACAACATCACCGCACGGGTTGCAGCTTAGCAGGGATTCCTTGTCACATCGCCGCCTCCGTCCCAGGATGCTCTGATTGGAGCTTTTCTCGTGCCTAGTTTCACCTGGTCCCATTGAGCTTCCTTCATCTTGCCCGGCACCGTTGAGACCTCCCGGAGCGGCAACGACAAAGCCCTGTGCATTTGCTTTTTTTGACGCAGCGAACAGATAGCCCGGGAGGAACCTTGCACCCTGCAGCGTCTGTCTCCCGCTCCACATGCCCAGACATGTGAGTAGAATAAAGAAACCTAGCTTCGCATGTATGGGCCACATAGACACATGTCCAGTATAACAACCAGCATCAGCTGCGCGAGTTGCTACCCATGAGCATCCTACCTCCACAAAAACCCAGATGCGCTCCCGTACCCCTTCTCACCACAAACCGCTTTCCCCGTAAAGTTTTCTACTCCACCACCTATAACGATCCGGCACTTACGGGGATATCCGGAACACCCGTCTCGCAAATAGGATAGTAGGCCACGATAACGTACCGGCAGCCAACTATGACAAAATTAAAGGCCACAGAGATAATTTTATGTCCTATATCATATACGAAGCGTATTTAGACATTCATGAGCGCCGAGGTAAATTTCCGACTATCAAGTGACGCGGCCGTACCACCATACCCTTGCATGTCCAAGGACCAGAAGTTCGTTATTCCAGTGGAAGCTTCGTTGGAAGTTTTTTGCGTACCGCAGAATATTTATTATTATAGTGATTAGTCGCTATTATCCGATCGTGAGCCGGCTCGCCTCGCAGCTAGCGCACGCGCGCCTCGAGACCCATCAACGGCCGTGTGAAAACACACGGGGCCACCTAGAGTAAATATAAACACAGATTTTGCTTTTGGCTTATCACTAGTGAACGTACACACGTGTAAAGATTAAAGCGGTTCCGCTACAGCGCTGCTCTGGCCAATGCCAGCCGTGCTCACTCCTTCGCCTGGAAATCGCCATCTTCCTCATCCGGTACCGCGTACAAGCGAATGTTAGGCTTCAGCGGATCCTTGACCAGCGTGTACTGACCGTCCGGCTTGGCCGCGATCATGGCACAGATGAGGCGGACCACAGCCCACGCGTTGCGCATGTTCAGACCCATCTGAACGGCCAAGTTCTCCGTTGTGTAGGTGTGAATACCGAGGATAGAGTGATGCTCCGCATCACTGGGCGTACGGCGCGAAACGTAAGCGAGCTTCAAGGTGTCGCATCCGCTGATCATGGCACAAGCAGCGAACCGCTGCATCTTCGCCGTGTTGTTGCGCATCTCGTTGGCAAGCAGCGCACCCTTCTGAGTCTCGATCTGCGTACGCCACGATTTGTGGGTCTTGTGCGGCACCTCATTCAGAGCGCAAATGTAGGTGTAGCCGGCGTTGGGTATGCCCCGAACACGCGCATGGATTTCACCACGCGTGATCACGTGTATCGGTACGCGCTCCCAGCCCTGACCGTGGTTGTTTCCTGGGATGTTGAACGTCCTGTAGCGGTAGGCCATCGTAGACGGGTTGTCGCCCTCCTCCACAAATGGCGGCTGCTCGAATTCGTCAGTTAGCTCACCCGGCACAAGCACTTGCTGGCGTATACGCTGGTTTACCTTCACGGCCTCATGGCCAAGTGCTGGAGGGCGGTTAATCTTCACCTCGGAGTCCGGCATGGGAGGTTCTGGCGATGTCTCGTTGACTGTCAGCATGTCAACAATGGAACCATTGGTCTTGTCCACTATGATCTGGTTGCCGATCTTGGTCACGTTTAGATGCCAACTGTACTTGGAGCGAGCTGCCGTCATCAGCACTGACAATATCTGATCCGTAGCTCCCAGAATAATCTTGTCTGCAACCGGCGCCGCACCCTCGTCGGCCTGCGAGTCGTTTTGGCCGTTCGCCAGCAGGTAATCCACAATGCAGTCGTCGTCGTTGGTGGAGGTCCAGTAGTAATCGCACTGTGTGGTCGGAATTTGGAGCAGCATTTCGGCCTTGGCCGATATGTGGTCCATACGTTTGTCGTAGGCACCCAACTTGCCACGCCACATGACGTCGGTACCAACGACCGGCGCTCCTTGGAGGTCCAACTTCGAAAGCTGGTTGAACGGAATCTCCGTAAGCAACTGCCAGCTGGGAAGTGGCTCGATACTCCACTCGTTGAAGGTGTGGTGGCGGGCGTTCGAGCGATTGGTGCGCTGGTGCATCATACGCTGTTTGCGTACGTCGGGGTGTTTCTGCTTGGCCGACATAATCATGGCCTCCTCTTCCATCTGCTTCTGGTTGAAAGCCTGAGTGGTCTGCTTCGGCACCACCTTGCGGCGGTAGTGTTGCATGGTCTTTGTCTTGACCAGAGAGCGGCCGTCGACCGTCTGGAACTGCATCTCCTCATCCAGAACCACTGGCGGCTGCTGGCGGCCGAACCTCCCCGCATCGCGGATAGACTTTTGATACGTGAAGAAGGTGAAATCGCAGATGCGGACCTGGCGGTCCAGCTTCAAATTTGGTTCCAGCGGGAGTTTGTTGAGTCCGCCGAGGCAAGTCTCCACGGTCTTCGCATCTCCCTCGTCGGGACCCCAGCCCGTGGCGTTAAAGTTTGCCACAATATTTAAACCGGTCATTTTGAACGTTTGCCGGCGCGGGTATGCTGAACTCTCAGCGCGAGAGACTGTGCGACGGCACTACACTACACCCGCGGTCACGCGTTCACAAGGCCACGTCAATGGTAAAAGCCACAGGAACGCAACCTTTGCCTCGCGTAGTTTAAAGCCGCGGTTGTAAGCTTCCGAGGCGATTGTTGTGTGTGCTTCCCCGCAACAGTCCCGAAGTGCGGCGTCGTCATGTAGGGTCGCGCATCCCAACCGAGGGCACAGATCGTCAAAAGCACGTGGGTTAAGAACGTTGTTAGACTACATGTTAAAGTCAACGCGAACTGTTAAATATATTGGAATGCGTTGTCTACGCCATATCCCGGCAACTACCGGTGTTGTCGTGAGGTGTCCACCTTCCTTTTACAACGGCTGCCATTATTATCACAACACAGCGTAACCCAGAGACATGTCTCATCTTCTCTTCGGGTGGCTAGTGTGGTATATGTGGAAGGTGACTCGTTACTTCACCACGGCGCCGCAGATTCCACCGTGTAACTATTGTGTAGCGTGGCATTGAGGGGCTTAGTGCCGACTCATTCCACCCGCATAGTTGAATGAGTGCATTGCTGTGAAATGTGCAACGATAATGGTAGATTCTACTTGTCTTGGATGGGCATAATGCGATACTACTCAGCACGATTAGACACGATCCACTCACATGCCGATCACGTAAACAAACAACACTATATCATGGACCTAAAACATTACGCTCCAGTGAACCATGAACTATTGGTGAGATACCGGTCACACTGCCAACGAGTTCCGCGTTTCGCGTAGCAACGCTATCAGCGTGCGCAGGCCTAGGAGGTAGCCTTCGTCAACGCATCCAGTGTTGTACGAAACATGCGAGAGGTCGATCATGTGCACATTGGCCAACTCAGCAGCGGTACTGATGGAAACTGTGCCGGAGTCGTACACGAACAACAGGCTGCTGCCATAGAACGCCAGCTGCGTCTGCCTCTCGAAAAGTGCACGAAGTTCGTCCAGCCGCTTGAGGAACTTCTCGCATACCCGGACCGAGAGCAGTGGGTCCTGGAATCGGGCGAAATAGAGTCTGAAGGCATACAAGAGCTTGGCGCGTGTTTCCAGCGTGTTTGCAACGTTGCCTTGTAAGTAGAACAGCTTCTTGGCCTCACGACACCAGTGGAACATGCCGGAGATGTGGAAGCCGTGAACGCTGCAAGAACGCTTGTCTGCCTTCGATTGCTTCTCTGCAATATGCTTTGAGTCTGTGATGTTATCGCCATACAGTCGAGTGCCCATTTTGAGGTCCATCACACACGGGTTACGCATGCCGTGGATGGCATTGCGCAGGCGCACGGCGGCGCGGTGTGAGTGCTCCGTAGGCCACGCCGAAAATACACGTTCCGTGTACAGTCCAGTGCACTCTACCACAAACTTTATCAAAGCTTTCACCGAATCCGCGCCGTCCGTTATGTCAGGATCTGAACAGACCAAGCTGCCACTGCTAAAGCGCCTAGTGTTAGGAGATGGATCAGAGTCTATGACTGGCCTGAATCCTGTAATGTTGACATCCACCTCTCCATTGGAGAATGGCAACCTGAGGTACGGATATGGACGATCGATAACCTCGAGAGCGACGCCATTTATTCGGTAGAGCCATCTGTAGAACGCCACCTCCCTGGGACTGCAAATCTTGCACAAATCGCCACTCGGCGCGTTCACAGGGATCAAGAACTGGTTCGGATGACCACCTGCAAGAACGAAGCTGTTGTCGGTCACGGTGCCGTGGTACTCGGTCCACTTCAAATCCGGCGGCTTCGCAACCTGTGCAGTACGTGCCGACGGCGTGCCCGACAGAGCGAGGGGACTGTGAGCCCTTGAACGACTCAACGAAGTCGATAAATCCAGCACAGAATCGGCCCCGCTGAACAAGAGCTGCCGTAGTTGGCTACAAACAAATCGCGTCACTTTTCTTACTTTGGATCGGTTGTAGTCGCATCCCCGTGTAATGCTTCTGTCGGTCTCGTACTCGATCAGCGTGCGAAATATGGCATCGGAGCAGCTCGCATTTATGGCGGGGTTATATCCGCCCTCGAACGCTAGTAGCAACCGTCCGTTGCTGTGGCGCTCAGCGACCTTGCAAAGTTCCAACGCCATCCACCCGTAACATTCCGGGGTCACTCCGCAGCCGCCGAGGAAGTCGTGCATCGCCGCATCAAACCCACATGACACGAGAATGAATTCCGGTTTGAAGTGTTCCAACTTCGGCACCACTACCTCCTGAAATGCATACACCATGTCGTGGGTGCCGTAACCTGCAGTCAACGGGATATTGACGTTGCTTCCCAAGGCATTTGTTCCACCAATTTCGTCATAATTACCGCTGTATGGATAGAACGCATGATTTTGCGTGCCGTAACGGTGAATAGATATTACGCAAACCTCAGCGTTATCGTAGAAAATGTCCTGCGTGCCGTTCCCGTGGTGCACGTCTATGTCCACTATCGCAATCCGCTTAAGCCCATGATTCCGCAGCAAGTGGGCAGCGGCGATTGCTACATTGTTGTACAGGCAGAATCCCATCATTTTATCCCGGGTCGCGTGATGGCCTGGAGGCCGCGTCAGGGAGAACCCCTTGCGGACACGCCGGTGCGGTACGTCAGCTTGCGTCTCCGAAACTTTTAGAGTGCTCAACTGCCGTGCCACATCGTCAATAAACGCAGATTTGTGAAGCGTTTCTGCCGGCAATGGGACACCATTGTCACTCGTCTCCGTACCAGATGCAACACTTGCACCATGTTGTCCAGCAGCCTCGCGATCTTTTTTCAGCTCGTGCTGTTGGCTGGAGACTTTTTCTTTATCATCGCTATTCCGGCTAACATCCGCTTCTTCTGCTACCGCCGTATGCAACGGCATGTCATTGGTATCGATGTTGGCCTCTGTATCCCTTTTGACCCCGACACGGCCTCTTTGCTCGTTTGCTGTAGTGTTCATCGCACTCTCTTGTTTCAGATCTGAACGCATATCCGACTTGCCCATAATGGTGTCAGCAAGATGTACTATCCCTCCTACGGCTAAACGGGCGACACGTTCGGACTGGCTTGTAACGTACGTGTCCTCGTCGACCGGGTATGAAGTACAATAGTCTGAGTCGCTGTGGCAGCATACATCGTCTGCGGCACATCCAGCATTGAGCTCCTCCACATCATGACAGAATCCCATCAGACGCATCACGTGGCTTTCACTGTGGCAATAGAGGAGCATCTCGAGCGTAGCCGGTCGGCACGCATACGTTCGCGTGAAATCGACGAGGAAACGCTCACCATAGGATTCCAGGTTGATCCTCTCATGCCGCAGCAGATCAATGATGGCTTTTAGACGGGTGGGATCCTCTGGGTGACCGCGGCCGCTGGTGTCGCAGTGCCGGCGAGAACACATCGTGGCCTCGTCGCAGCATATTGCGACCAGCTCCGGAGGGTCCATTTTTCTCCGCACAGTCGAACCGAAACAATGAGCCCAGGACCCACAACCGCTTCAAAAAGCGACGAAGGATTCTTCCGACCGGGAGGCGTTGCGTGCCCTCAACCCACCCCCTCGGAGGATCTCAAGACACGCACATTACACAACATCATACAACATACTTTAAATTTAAATGTATTTTGTATAAAGTTGCCTATGAGAAGCTTCCTACATTATCGTGGACCGCAATCGACAGGATTCCTGCGCAAGATGTGTTCGCCGCGTAGACCACTTACCAGCAACGTAGTCGGCGCTGTTGTTGTTACGCAACCAGACAAACAGCCTCAAACTCTGTAGAAGCGCTACATTCGCTTCTGTTGACTGCTTTGGGGCTATGCTACAACGCATCAGCTCTATGAATGCGCGCATTTGAACGACACAATTTCCTTTATGAGAGAAACCTGTGTTTCAATGGTGAAGACTGTCTGACAACGTACCTCGTGATGTCACTGCGCCGATACAAGCTCGCAGAGGCTTTCTACGGCACCTGTCTAGCTCCCTCAATCCCGCAACTGCAGTTTCAAGGTCAACCCTCTTGCGTCTCCCACTACACGCAAAAAACCCTTTAAGATTCCTTAGCTTATATTCTTCATGTGGAGGTTCTTTTATAACCTCAGGCAGCTTCAAATCCCGGGCATTCGATGGTGTGGAAATTGGTCTAAACCTCGACGAGGTATTGTTTGCACCAATACATCGTGAGATGGGGGCGGGTAAATTGCCTGAGACAATCACACCAACAAACTGATGGTTTCTGTCCAAGTCAGCCTGCGTAGGCAGATATATACGACTGCCAGCTGAAATGGAACCTCTCCCAGCCACCTTGACGCAGCAGGAGAGCAGCAAGTGTTGATCGATTGGCGTTGTCTTGCGATGCTCGGCAAACACACACGTGTCTAGTAGATGCTTTACGTATTGATTCGATGCACTGTACGGGAAGCAATTAACCCTCAAGATCTGCATCGATTGGTCAACATCAGCATCGACCCTGTGCAGCCCCGCAGTAATGCAGCTCAACAACAAGTGCCTTGATTGCATGTAGCTGCCGTCCATCCGTCCTACAAAAGACTTGGGGATCCACTCTTCGGGTAGTTCATGCCTATATGCCATAAAGGCGCCATTTGGCGATTTTTTCATATGAAAATCACTGTGTTGCTTTCTGACATACTTCGCCAACGCAATACTGCCATTTGTTACAGAAGCTTCGTTAGCACTTCCCTTGACGTTTGTATGCTTTTCATGACGAGAGACGTGAGATCCGGCAGATACCGCAGCGCCGTCATTAGGCGAGTGGCAGACCTCCATCACATCACGGCTGCGGTCATCCACCTCATCTGCGGCTCCGAATTTTGGCAAACAAAAGGGTTGGTCTACGCCAATCAGGGAATAATTGGGTCGCTTGTTAGCTGGTCTGCTCAGATACTTGCGAATCATGTCACTAAGCGATCATTACACATACGGACTGCAACTTACGCCTGCTGCGCCTCCATGAGTTGTTGCCCACCCAAGGTTTCGGGGTAGTCCTGCGGAAACATGCACTGCCCGTGCTGCGCATACAGCATCTCGCGCTCTTGAAGGCCGATTCCAAGCGCGCCATACCGATTTAACAGTATCCAGAGCTTACGAGCTATGGTACCGGCAGGCATAACAACATCAAAACCTCCGATGGCGTCGCCCCTTCTAATTAGCCATATTGGTATGGAGCTTGCTAAATCGCCGTCAGTGCATGCCCCTTGAGAAGTTGCGCTTGGCTGCTGGATATTAGACACGTGGTCCTGAGATGATGCTACATTCGTATGTTCGGCATCTGAATGGGCGTCCATAACGACATCGTCCATGTTCGAAGCAGACGAATCTGTTCGATCGACGGTTGCCGGGCGACTCTCATATGGGTACCTTACGTTGAGGGTGTCCAGTAGCTTCGACACCAGCTGGCCGTAGTTTCGCCGACGCAGGCGAGGTACATTCACCTTGGTAACAATAGCAAAATTTTCGGGCTTTTTGAACGTTGTCAAGTGGTTACGCTCATTTGCACAAACGGCTTGTGCCATGAATGGCTGCGATTTAAAAGGCTGGCTTCTCATGCTTTCGAATTTGAACGAGGGTCGAGAGTTGCCGTGTACCACGGGGGGCATCACTCTCAAAGGTAGAATGTACGATGGCGGCATATCGCACTTCCCCGGATCCAATTGTTTCCACTGCGAATTGCCCGTTGTAAGAGATCCGTCGGCCTTCAACGTTCTACGCAGCAGCAAAGCGGAAAGGGGACCCAAAACTTCGAAAGTGCAGAGATCCTTGATCATCCGACAGACTACTTCAGTATCACTAGCTCTAGCTGTCTCCATAAACTCTTCTAATGAAGCTGGATGTACGAAGAACCATACTTCACGGTAGTCGGCCCCCGTATCCGATACTGCTACCGTTGCCGATGGCGTGATCCACACGAACTGGACAGGGCAGATCATGTGATAACTGTCCCCAGTCTTAGCATATGCGAATGCCTGAGACCTGTACTCGCCCTGCATCAATCGATCTTGGAACATAATAGACGAATCGGCAAACATGTTTTTAAATGCACGTCGGAGGGCAGGCATGCAACCTGAAACGCTCACAACCAGCACGTAGGACAGATCATGAATTACGCAGCGCCTCATCGAATTACGTAAACAACGGCGACGGCACTTCTGGGTGGTACGAACGGCCATTCGGTAGCCCCAGAGCCTCTCCATCTTGAAACGCTTCGCGTGGTACATGTGCGTCTCCAGCCAATTGTTCCGCTCGCATCGAGTGCGATACTCCTCGAGCCTATTCAAACGCCTGCGGACGTCCTTCCTAAGTCGCTTCGCGCATTTTGGCATGCTCTTAGCCATTTCGCGAGCTAGGTGGAGCCTGAGCCTCTTAGGAACCCGAAACGGATTGTGAGACATGGCTCGCCGCCTAAGCGCGAAGGGCAACCTCTGGAATACTCGATCCTGCTTTTCACCACGTTTCAGTGCCGTGAATAGTTCCTCTATCTCGACGCAGCGTGACTGCAGCAGCTTCTTCACGTTCACCATCTCCAGCATCCCGATGTCGCCCGGGACTGTGCCGCCAAACGGCACAGCCGCGCCGCCACCGGCCGACGAAGATGACATGTGTAACAATTTACAGCTTGTGTATGGTTCCTATAGGGACTAGACACCGGTGGAAGGCGGGCACATTGCCCACTTGTGTAGCGGGGAAGCCGCGCTTTAAAAGAAACGAAGCATAGGGTTTAGCCGAAGATTCTACAGATAAAAGTGAACGTTGTTACACACCCAAAGAGGCTACACCTGTGTTCAACATCGCAATAAAATGGGACCTGCAGCGCCCCTCGCGCAGCACGAATGAGCGAAGCCGGCGCCCTTGTGACCTTCCTGCTCACTCTTTTCTCAGCCTTCATTGCTTGTGACGCTAGAGTGTGTCACATACAATACCAGGTAGTCAATGTAGTAACGTATTTTGACTTGTCTCAGACTAGCCTCTCCTTTGTTACACGTCCGCTGCACCAACCATGGCGGCAACTGGACCTGGCGAGCACAGCTGCGCACTCTGACGGAAGCCTGAAGCTGCAGTTGGCTCCCGAAAATGAGTACCTTTCCGCAGTTTTCACCTTCCAGGTGGCGCAGAAGCTGCGGCAGGGGCGGCCTCTTCTCGATGCCGGGGTACCCTCCACTGACATGCAGCAATCCGCGCTGAGCCACTTCGTCGGGTACCTCGGAGAATCGTTCGATGCGGAAATAAGACACCGTTTGGAAGATGCCGTGGATGCGTGTCAGGCTTCGGCTTTACCTGTACCGGAATGCGCTAAACGCATTCTCGGGGAGTTCATGGCACCACTATTGAAGAACTTCACACTGCTGGAGGTCATGGACCCCAAGACCGCACTTGACAGGGAGCTGCAGGTGCTGTATTCTGCTGACCTGGCGGCTTCGTACGTTATCCTGTTTTGTCCCCTCAAAGTGAGGCACGAACTCTACCGATACCTCTGGGGGCGAGGTGCATTCCTCGACGGCAACGTCAACTGGTTGTGCTGCCCGTGGGTTCTGAACCAGGGAGCACATGATGAAGAATACCACAAAGTAGCAGTCGACTTGAAGCAGTTGTCGGATGAAGAACTGATTGACATTATCAGGCTTCACAAGAACTACCTCTCCACCGACTACGTCAAACAACGTTCGAGAAATTCACTTAAACGTCTGGACCGGCATTCGCTGCTTTCAGTATTTCAGTCGGTGATGTTACGTGTGCTTTGGGGGCACGAGGCGATATCGGAGACTCAAAAGCCCCGCCCAAGCGACGATATCATTAACTCGCCTGAGGACATGGAGCGAATGGCACGTGACCTTGCGGGAGAGAAGGAGCGAAAAGAGGAGATTCGCATGAACACGCTTTCTGGGTGGTTGGAGCACTATAGAGACAATGGGAAGCAAAAGACTTCCGGGGAAAAGCTGAAGCATAGGAAGCTGGAGCTGAGGGAGACACAGTACCACAGCCAGATGAAACGGTCACTCGAAATCGTTACTAACCACCTGAAGAGGTTCAACGAAACCTTCAGGGGGGCACCTGGAAACATGCCGTTCACGCAAGCAGCAAGAATGTATACGTCGGAGAAACTGCCTGGAATCGGGAACATAGGGGACCATATCACCGTAGATGGGATAAGGCGTGCGTTTAACATGCTGATCGACTTCTACCGCAGTAACTTGGCCACCGCTTCTGACATTTACGGCTATTTGCCCGGCAAATCATCTCTCAGGTTGCTCAAGTTCCTGCTTTCGTATGAAAAACACGACCTCATGGCGCTCCTGTCAGCAATCTTGCTGGCTCTCCCGGAATTCAAGCCCATAGAAACACGGCAGGATTTTGCACAGTACACCTTGCTTCCGCTCAAAACAATTGCCAAACTGTGCTTCGTTGCCATGATGCGAATCAACCCAGATATCTCAAATATGGACGACGTCCAGCTGGATGACGATGAGATACGTTCCAATTCTCACATATGGGATGATACGTCCGTGAGCCGAACGCCATATGCTGGTGTCGGGAGGAAATCCGTCGATACTGTCCCATCTGAAGTGGCGGATTCCGTGTCTTGCGGCAACGCGAATACGGACAGTCAAGACGAAGAAATGTTCGACGACATACCCGGTGACAATACTGCAACTCTCGAAAAAGATGCTGCAAGGGGGGAATTTCTCTTAGGAGCAAATAGAGAAGCAAAAGACAATATTGCGTCCATGGTATTCACAATCGATGAGCTGGACCCCATCGCAACCTACATAGACAGTAAAAACAGCAGCATAGTGGATGCAAGTTTGGGCGGCGAACGCAAGAAGTGTCTAATGCTGAATACGAGGCGTTCAAGACTTGTCACTGAGGCTATATTAATGCATCTGTCAAACTACGACGCAGTGTACGAAATACTCAAAGACCGGGATATTGAATTACCTCCCCATAACGAAACTGATGCCACCGAAGAAGCAATTAGAAAATTCAAGCTAGCAGCAATCATCAAACGCGCTACAGACGCCGAACTGGAAGAATTGTATGGAAAAGTTCTCGAAAGCTCAAAGATGCACGAAGAGCTTAACATACCGGAAGAGATATACAAACTGACCTCTCATAGCGTCCTGGACAGACTGGAAGAAAATGTCAACGACGAAGATGTTTATGTGAGGCTCAGTGAACTGCTACAGCGAACAGAAGAGGAGGAAAATGAGGGGTCGCGACGGATGCAATCGCAAACGGATTATGATTATGGGGAAGCAGATAGTGAGGCTGTCGACACGGACTACGAATACGACAGCGATGTCACCGGATATGATACTGAATCGCGTGGAACAACTATAACGGAGAGAGAGCATTATCTGAACTTGTTGGAAGGCGAGGACCTCTCGCCCTTTCTGGATGACACATTCTCTAGCGACGACCCTAATACGATGACCGATTCTGAACTGAAACGACTGGGCGATCAAGTCTTAAAGCGCATGGAAGCTTCGGGTAATTGTGAAATAATACATTACAATGCCAGTGGCAAAGGAACACGGCCCTTTAACCTGTATTGTCTTCCATTAAAAATGGCAGTGGCCTACCAGCCGCATGCTACATCGAGAAACAGGAATACCAAATATGCGTTTCGTTTATTCGCATCGCCGGAAGGCATTGATGCGGAAACTGTCATATCGACGGATTTAGATGTTTTAGACGATGAAGAACAAGAAATTGAACGTAGTTACGGAGTCGGGATATTTCCTAAGCGCATGCCAGACCCGAAAACTTTCTCGTGGCAGTTCCCAGAGGAAATGCCGAATTTTAAGCTGTTGCGTAACCGGGTGTCTCAGGACGATGTTGAGTCACATGTCAGCCCATGGCGACAACTGGGGCTGAATTCTGATGTGGCTTCCGCTGCAGTTGGATGGATTCGGAAATGCATACTAGACACTGTCAGCCGTTCTGAGCAGCCTGGGCTGGAAATATACCCAACAGAAATCCAGAGCATGGCCATCAAGCACATGTTACAACACAACGGAGATGTCGCATTGGCTTCAAATGCTGCCAGTGGCAAAACCTTGGCGTACCTCCTGCCCATAATACAGAAGCTAAAGGAACATGAAAAGGCGAAACTCCGCCACCCGAATGCTCCTAGAGCTCTCATCTTAGTCCCTTCTCGGGAGCTTGCTGACCAGACTCTCTCCGTTCTCAAGGGGATAGGCCATATCGCTAAAATCAGCAGCGAGGGAGTAGCAGGAGGGCACTACAAGGGGCGGCAAAGGGACCACATGAAGCGCCTCGTGGACATTGTGGTCGCTACTCCGGAACGTTTGCTGAAAATGATAAAGCATGTCAGGTTGCATAAACTGCAATTCTTCGTTCTGGACGAAGCGGATACCCTCCTCAACGAGGGTTTCTGGCCCGACATTGCTAAGGTTCTAGATTACATCAAGCAGCCCTATAGGCTGGTACAGGTTGCTGCATCCGAGAAGTACCTCCTGCATTTCAAAAAGGTTCAACAGGAGCTAGCAAAAGTTCCAAATATGAAGGGCGTCCATAACAGCACTCCCGAAAGGAATGCCAAGTACCTCGAGAGGCTTACTGGGTGCCAACAACTGGTGGACAAGGCCTGGGTGGATCGTCCAAACCGTGGTGTGTCTCACGAGTTTCGGTATCTTAAGGGCGAAGACAAGGCGCGCGAACTGGTTAACCTCCTCAGGTACGACGTTGCTCGCCGTTGCCCTAAGGTTTTGGTCTTCTGCAACAGCATCCCAAGCTGTCGTGCAGTGGAGTATATCCTCAGGGACGCTGGACTACCGGCTACCAGCCTGCATGGGAAAATTCCTCTGATGCAGCGCAGAAAATACTACGAGGATTTCAACAATGGTGCCAGCGGCATCATCGTCTGCTCCGACCTGGCCAGTCGAGGGCTCGACTTCAACGCCGACGCGGTGATTATGTTCGACTTTCCCAAGAATAGTATGGACTATCTCAAGCGGTGCGGGCGCGTCGGCAGGATGATAAACAACGACAGCATTGCTCCCAAAGGCTACGCAATCAGCCTCGTGAAGAAACGTGACCGCAACCTGGCTATGGCGATAGAGCGCAGCATTCGCATGCCATTCTTCCCCATATCCAACCTCAGCCGGCATAAAAAGGATTACAACCCACGCAGCGGCAGGCTGCGCCACCTCACGCAGGCCGGGGGGTATTTCAAGCTGACCAAACTCATTCGACAGAAGGAAATAGAGGGCACTTATGACTACGCAAACATGGACCAGTACTTGGAGCAATTCAAGGCCAAGGTGCGTGAGATGTACGACAACACGCTTAAGAAGATCGTGCTACGGCGCAGGCGCATATGCAAGCGCAGACGGATCCTCGTCAGGAGGCTGAGGCTCATGAAGCGCTACAACCGGGCCATTCGGCTGAAGCAGCGAATCATCTCGACAGCTGACCATAATCGGCGTTTGAGGAAGTTCAGCGCCCACGCGCCCATGAAGGGTGACGACCGAAAATGCCCACCCTTAAAGGACCTCAAGCCCATCCGGGGAAAAATTCTGGAACTCAAAATCATGGAAGACAAGATGACACGGCGCCTGCTAGAGCGAAACGACAAGCAGCTGCGCAAGTTCATCAACAAGACGCAGTTGATAGCTCGAGCGATGCCAAAGCCGGCGGAGGACACCGAGGAGGCCGTCGACCGCCAGCTGCCTTTCACCATCATTCAACGAACTAAAGAGATGCTGGGAAGAAAGGTTAAACGCATATGTTCGCTGCTGTAGCGCGTTGCATCATTTAAATGTCTATCTTCTTCCAGGCAGCAGTTGCGGCTGGGCCTGATAACAAGGCCCTGCATCTACATTGACTATCGCATAAAACGCCGAAACGCACACACGTCACACGTTTCAATGCACTGCATCGTAAGTAGCAGCGATTACGCACATAGGGTGTCCATAAGTAGTGTTGTCTTGGCATTCCCTTGTCTATTTGCATGTGAAGTCACAAGCATCACACCTGCAGGGTGGAAGTATACCGCATTATGGTAACATGGTCTTGAGAACAGAGAACGAATGAATGGATAAGAAAATCAGGACGGAATGGCTGCTTTTTGAGCCGGCCCTACACGGGGCGCCTCATGCCGCTTTTCCGGCAATGAGGAAGGGATTGAATGCAGAGGTTCCTGTGTTAACGGAACGTCTGCTTTTGCAGCTGCTTGAATAGTGGTAGGTGTTGCAGCTGCCGTTACGGGTGCTGGGGATGCATCCGCACCACATAGCGTATCAAGCTCCTGCAGGAGTTCAGATTCATCCACATCGGCGAATCCCTGGGCCAGTATCTGACTAGCCTCCATCATATCATCGTTGCACCGCTGCTTGAGTTCCATCATAGCCTCGATATCTTCGATTTTCATGTCTTGCGATATCTTGGCCACAAGCTCGGTACCTAACTTGAGGTGCTTATATACGTCAAAGTTGACCTGCAGAGTAATGTGGCGTGCGTAACACGAAATATTCTGTTATGTACATTCGTAAAAGGCCAGCACATAGTCGTCCCAATGGCTTCGATAGTCTATAACAAAGCTAGCGGACGTACTATTGGGAGACAACTATCCAACCGCATGCGCAACACCCATTTATACTGCCTTAAGACGAATCACCCAAATGAACACGTGTCAATTTGTGGCGTGATGAAATAGACGGCGCTTACCTGAGCCATCTCCGTATCCGAGATCACCGTCAGCACCTGGTAGAGGTAAGTGTCCACCTTAGACAACTGCTCGTTTAGCAGGGCCTTCTTGCGAAGACACATCAACGCCTTATCCTTTTCCCCGGAGCGCACATGGTTTCGAGTAGTCTCCTCAAGCTCCGCCAGGCGATGCGCCAGGGAGGCGCGGTGCTCCTCTAATACATCTGCTTATGGTTATCGTCCTAAGCAGTAGACCAACCCCTCTGGCCCTTCAGTTGCACTATCTGCGACGTCACATTCGTATCGACGCGTCGTGTGCCGCACCAAGAGGCGACGCCGCCCATCGCGCCTCTCAGGAGCGCTACCGAGGATCAGTCTAGGCTCCAGCGAGGACGCGCAGCAAGGCGACGGGACATCCGAAAAACCTCCCAAATATATTGAAACAAACCGGCGCAGAGAAGTAACTGCGTTGGGAGGACGCGACGCGAAAGAAGGCTGCCGTTGTCTGTGCACAGAGGCACGTCGTCCCATGTGTAGGGGGATCAAAGCATCAGTGGCGATCACGGTTCCATCTACCTTAATATAATGAAACGCAAGGTGCAGGCTACGGCCCCAAAGGGCTCCGGCGATACGCGTAGGTTGGGGTGGAGATGCCTAACAGATAGCAGCGCAACTGTCCGATATGTATTGCACGCAAGAGATCTCGAAGATTCTTCATAGCGTCACGTTGGAGGTTAGTTAAGGCAGCGACAGACTTACTCTCGCGCAGGAATTGACGAAGCTGGGACTCAAGGAGGATGTCTTCGTGTCTTACACTCGTATCGTACTTTACCTGCTCCTCTGCGGCATTGGAGCGTACAGCGCCGCCTTCATCACTGTGGATAAGAACAAGCAGCACCTAAAAATAGCTGTGGTAAGTGGAATATGTGCCAATTTAAGCTGTTACAGGCTGCCTTCTTCATCATCCTAACCATCACGCTGCTATTTGACAGGGTGATGTTACGCGGCACGGCGTATCGCCTACGCGTTACGGTGAGACCGAATCACTCGTTGGGAATATGCACGTGCAGGACAACCTTAAGGTGTACATTTGGTCCGGAGTTAATTGGTACGAAGGCATGTACGATATAAGTAGGTCTCGCCCTCGGCCTCCAGCAACTGTGCACAGAGTACGCCTTCCCCAACAGCCCTAACGACATCGCCACATACCAAGTGCCCCTGAGCGAGACTTTCTTTGAGGACGGGAAGCTCGACGAAGAGTGGTACCACAACAGCATGGTACGGTTGTCCGACGAGATCAAAGCAGCGTCGAAGAAGGCGGCTTGAGTTTGCGATGGCGCTTGTTCTCAGGAGCTGCAGTTTACATGGACGCTAGGAGGCGCTCAACAAACCTTTGGGGTTGCCAGAGGAGTAGAAAGCCTGCAGAAGTCCGATAGCCTCGTCGGCGCGGATACCCTTGACACAACGCAACGGTGCCATGCCGCCGTAACTACACTCTTAAATGAAGGCTATTTTTGCACATACCCTTCGTGTAGCGAGAGAACGGATCCACAACCGCCGAATTTCTCGTTGCGGCAGCCGTAGTAGACTTCAGTGAGCCCTGTGGAGTCGTTATGTTGCATCAGACACGCAAGATCGGCTTTGGAGTGTGGATGCATGACAACGTACCAACTATCTGAAGCGCGGTTACGCACATCACGCACGGTTCACACGTGACGAAGAGTGCATAGCGAGACATGAACGAGTGCAAAGACTCCCGGTCGCCGCATCCAACCTTGCCACCAGGCACCAATTCGAAAACGGTGCTTATGGCTCCAAACTCGCAATGCCAAGTTGACTGCTTCAAGTGAACTGCGGTCGAATAGAACCCACGTTGTGCGTCTTGTTTGTGCTGTTGCCCGCTCGAGCTACGACTGACCGTGCTTCTTTGTCGACTATGACGCAACCGACGGCCACCTCACCGCTCTCCAGCGCCAAGCGCGCCTATGATGTTACCGTAACGAACATCCACATGGTGTGACACACTCACCTCCGCAATGGCTTCGGCCATGAACCGGTCGACATCCTCCTCCGAGAGCATGGATGAGCAGTGACGGCAGTGTTATGGAATCAACATTTAGTGACAACTCTAAGCCACCAACTACTTTTGTCCGGTGTTTATATACAAACTAAAACTATGGATGGCATACAAACTAATGTACTCGAACCGCGAGCGTGATGTGTAGGAAACGTTGTCTAGGGCAACATCGCCTTGCCGTAGTTACCCCGAATATCGAAGGCATAAATAGTGATGTCGCAATATAGATTATCTTTCAGTTATATTCGAGCTATTTTGTAATTGTTCTATTTCATGTGATACAATTGTATCTTATATTGTTGCTGTTTTTGAACAGGTGTATCGAGGTCATTTATGTGAATAATATTTTTAATGAAAGTTTAGGCTGTATCGTGTTGAAGCAATTCGGAATCTCTATGCCATATCCTGCCGATATCAAAGCGGCATGCACTACTAAAGTGTCTGTGATTACTTTTATTGGTAGCGAACGTATGTTACCAATGCCATAGCGACATCTGCTTTAGGCATTTGACGAAAGCACAAAGCAGACCAAACAAAGTAAAAACAAAGATAAAGAATTCTCACTGTGTACATGTGTATTGTGCGATATAAGACGACATTTATTGTACAAGTCTTTTGACTTTAATATAGTGACTTCAGTACGACCAGGAATGAATCCAATCGGCGCAGGACAGAATGGCGTTGCCCAGAGAATTTAGTTCGCCTTTCGGTGCACCAGGTTTTTTCATGTAGAAGTGTCCAGAGGCTTGGGGGAAGAAGTTCAAGCATATATCGATGCCAGTGTGGTTAGTACTCATGTGGTATATATCCGGTTTGTCTTCCGAACTATCGTTGCGGCCAACGTAGTGCAAACGAACGTGTTCACCCAGCGTCTCCTGAAGGGCGGGAGACAGTGGCGCCTCCGCGAAGTCAAACAGATTTATTGAATCCTTGTGGTCGAAACCTGTGGCCTTTTTCTTGCGTGAGAGGAGCTTTGGGTTATCTAGGCGCAGCAGGCCGTCAAACAGATTGGTGCGATTGGACATGTTAAACTGCACAGGGATGCCCAGCTGGGCGACCTCCTTGAAGTTAACGTCAACACTATCCAACAAAACGATGCTCTGTAACAGATTCGACAGAGGTTTTATCACGTTGTAGTCCCGCTCCGACAAGGCAGCCTTCACGCTCTCGTTGTGCTCAATACGCTGGATTCCAGATATGATGTCGTCGAGCATCAACGTCTTCTGTCGCCCCAGAATACTTTCCAATCGGCCCATGTTGCCCATGCTGCGGAACCTGTCGGGGTCAAGCTTCGGGTCGACCGGCTTAAAGTCATGCAGCGTACGTTCGACTGTATCCCGCATTGCCGTGTAGACATAATGAACCACCCGACGGCCCTGACTCCCCAAAGCCACCAAAGATATGCGGTTAACGTTGAAGGCTGTCTGCATCAGCTTTATCAACCTATTTAGGGTCAACGAAAACACCAAGTCGTTGTCGGAAATTTCAGGCACAAAAACTAACGAACGTGATATAACCCCGATCTCGTCCGCTAGATAGCGGATATTCTGGTCAGTGTAACCAAATTCGTTGGGAATCAGAATAGTGCCAATCTGAGGCTCGGAGCTGATGGGGATGTCGGTAACCTGGCTGCTGAGGCGCACATCACGGGCACGCTTCACCAAGAACTGTTCGCGTAGAACAAGCGTGCCTGCTTTATCCTGTTTGATGCTCGATTTGGGCACAGATACATACACCCGGGGGTCCACTGTATCGACTTCCGCATACTTTGGCGTGAAATCGTCCATAGTGAAGACAGGTGATTTAGCGTCCGAGGCGCATACCTGCGCTACTACACGCGGATACTCCGCTGCCTCGTAAGCGTCAATGTCGTTGAGCAGATCGCTATGCTTATACTCCTCCATATACATCTCAATCGGGTTCATCTGCACAGTCTCCATCGCGGCCAACTCTTCGGCCAGTGACATTTCGCATGTTCCATCGCTCACACCAACGCTGCTACAAGGCTCCGACGTGAACACCGTGTATGGGCTGCTGGTGCCCAACTGCCGCTGGCTTTCCTTGTAGTTCTTGTTATAATTGGTCAGCTTGGTCAAGGCAGTGTTGAGAGCGTCCTTATCGAACGTCGTCCAAGAGAGCATGGGAAGCGTAACAAAATAGCGGTATGCATCGTCCTCTATCACAGTATCTTTAAGCGTATCGTGGTAACTGTTATCAGGGGCGCACTCCCTAAATTCGTCACTCTCTTCGTCATTAGCGTCGTCATCTGCAGTTGTGGAAACCGCGTAATCATTGTCGGTCAGGGCGATTTCTTCAATGCTGGGGATTCTTCGGCCATACTCGTCCACCTCGCCTTCGTTCGGAACATCAGCCGAAGGTGAGGCTGACTCGGCTGCAGCTCCCGTCTCGCCATCTTGGACGGCTCCGGCCGGCGAAGGTTCGGGAATCGTATGCGTGTTACGGCTCTCATTTACTGCCTCCTCATCAAGCAGCGGCTGGTTGACATCGTAAACCCTCCCTAAGGTCTTCTCCATCGTTGTGATGTTTTTCGGCGCGTACTTGCGTAATCCATGCGGATCCACCCTCTTGTAAATGGCATCTATATCGGGCACCTTCTCTGCGCAGTACTCCCGCAAGAACATTTCATCATCCGAATCTAGGGGTCCGTCCGTCTGAAACCAGTCAAATTTGGACAGCGGGACGCTATCCCTGGGATCTTTGGGTATATCAGGTTGAGCTATAAGTAGGTCGGTGAGCTGCTTGTCAAAGCCATCATTCAGTATTGCCTCTCGGTACTCTTTCAACATCTCTTCCCTTGTGGGTTCCTTGCCACTTGACGCGGCGTTCTCATCGCCCTGTGCATCAAGCGGGTTCAATGGAATCTGCTGCTCGATGTCGTCTGCGTTGTTGCTGCCTTCCGTATCTGCATCGTTTTCTTTGAGGCCGGAGAAGACCACACATGAGCGTGAGTTCCTCAAAGGACGCGACACTAGTGCTCCGATGCACTGATTCGAGGACAATCCAGCCCTAGCTATATGCCCAGGGGGTCCACGGTAGGTGAAGCACTCCGCAGCGTGTCGTTCAAGCAAGACGGCGCAAATCGGCAGCAGCGCGCACGCGCCGCATGTATACATCTACGCTACATGGATATTTGAAAATTGTTGGCCGTATAAACATTCCAATGTGCCGTGATTAACGCGGAAGGCGTGGCTCCGGATGACATGCCACACTACTGCTGTTGCAGAGGTACTCCATAAAGCCCACACATCCGTCACTTATTTTTGTCTTCCACTGCATATACCTTTAAACCATTTATACACACCCTACAAAATACACATGGCGGCTAGAAGGCTACGAATCCTGCCCATTACGTAGAGTTGTTGCGTAGAATAAGACAGAATCCGAGTTATTATACACACAGTTCGTGAGATTCTAAAATAGAGGTTTAATGTGGTGTTATCCACTTTGCATAGTGTTTCTCTGTTCATGATGAATTAACGGAGCGGACCGACGAATCATCAATTGATGCCTATTACCGTTCGCGGTGTAAGCCTGTTGCAACACCGTGGATGCAGAAAAGACGCCATATGCGGGTATGAACCAACTTGTGAGGACATTTAGGCCGAAAATACGCTGCGAAGAACGCTTATTCTCGAAACCGATTGTGGACATAAAGCGCATCAAGGTAATGCATATCAGCCTGGAACACAGCTCTAACAATGTGTGCAGTGCAGCGGAGGAAGGGGCGGAGATGGTGCAATCGTATTCAGCAAGCATGGTCCGCACAGGCTGGTCGGTCCTGGGCTCCCGGTAGGTGGAGCTGGAGGGAAAGGCGGAGACGTCTATATCGCACCCATGAACAAACAAGACAATAGAGCAGATCTGAGGCATATACCAGGTTTTGTGAGAGCTCACAATGGATCTCTAGGCGAATCAAGGGCCTCAGGAAAACCTGGAGGTGACGTGTTAATTAAGGTCCCCCTAGGAACCCTGGTTTATGAACTAGAGTGTCCACCGGAAGCAGATCTGGGCAAAGGTTGGCGGCAGGAGTGTGACGGGTGGAAACGAAGACTAATTACCGATATAAATGAACCGGTATGTTGCATGTGTGCTCACCAATAACTCGCTTCAGTCCCACGAGAAGGTCCTCCTGGCGAGAGGTGGCAGCGGAGGCCACGGCAACACCATGAGGTTGGCAGTCCGTTAACACTAAATAACAATGCGAAGGACTCCATACGAGGCCCAATACGGCTTTTTGCCTCAAGAGGCATATTATGAAATTGAACTAAAATCTATCGCTGATATAGGACTCGTTGGACTACCGAACGTGGGCAAGTCTACCCTACTATCTGCGGTGAGTATTCATACTCTGGTTAAGCACGTACTTTTGTCTGTCAATGACCTTGTACCCACTTGTAGTTCCATTAGGCTTGTCATTAAAATGAGACGCAGATGACGAGGGCAAACTCAAAGATTGCGGCATACCCGTTCACCACGCTCGCGCCACACATTGGGCATGTAAAATACACAGATGGTAAATAGATTGTGGTGAAATATTTCAACATGTAGGGGCCAGTATCAGCGTTGCGGATCTCCCCGGCATCGTTGAATGCAGGCTTGATCAGGATTTCTTCAGACACATCGAACGTACCAAGGCGCTGCTCTACGTCATAGATGTCTGTAATACGACTCACAACTCGATGGAGGAAAGTTTTGAGGCTCTGAGGTAGTTGTTGTGTCCAGGCAATGCAAATGCTTCAGGGAACAAGTGGAAGCCCATGGGACTGGCCTTGCCGATAAGCCGTACGCTATTGTCGCAACAAAGATGGACATAAATGCTGATGACGCTGCTAGATCGGTTGATAGATTGTTTTGGCATTTGAAAGCCAAAGGCATTAGAAGTATGGTTCTGCCAACCAGTGCCAAATTCGGCCTGGGAATCGCCAACCTGGTTCGTGCTGTTAGATACCTTGTGGAGAAGTTCGCTGAGGAAATAGCCGGCAAGGTCAATGAAGACGATGACTCTCCTATGCCGAATCAACGGCATTAATCGGGCTCCTTTATGTAGCAGTTGCGTGCTATTGACGCCTATGCGTCTAGTGTTCCGCTCTGTTAAATACACGAATGTAACGTAAAAGTGTATACATGCATTATATCAGGTGTTAAAAGGTGTCGGAACTCAGAGAATCTTTGTTCCCCTTGTTGCCGAACTTTAAAGACTAAAGACAAGACCTGTATCCATTTAATCTATCGTTAAAAGATTCTCCTATATCAACCGCATTGCTGGATGTAGTACCACGACCCGTGCTACAATTTGAATCAAGGGTGCCCGTGCTTGTGTCGTCATCTTTCAAGCAGTCTGCAAGTGGTAACGCGTAGTTTGCATAGTCATTGTTTAAATCGTCTTCTTCTCCATCCAAAACTTCTTCCAGCGCTGATCTTATGTTTACAGGCAGCTCGGTAAGCGCTTCGCAAGAGGGCTCATCGTACCACTCCTCCGTGGGCGACCAAAACTTCTCAATATCGAAGCTCAGCTTCGATTGTTTAAATGCTCTACAACCTGCAGGAATGCTATACTTACGGTTTTGAATGTGCGTTCGGTGTGGACTGTCAACCGGGACGAAAAGTTGGTATTGACGATTGAAATTGTCCGACAGGAGCAAATTCTGCAGCTTTCTGTACCCGAAAGATAGGGGGTTCAACTCCTTATTAAACTGCATCATAAATTGTTGCTTAAGCTGGGCCAAGACAAGGCCATTTTTGCGGTTGTCGACCAGCAGAGAAACAATGTGCCGAACCTCTTCCAGAGAGGAACATATTGGATGGCGCACCTTCTTCACACGGGGAAACATCTCCTCAGCAGTCTTTTCACATGCTGTAACAGGGAGAAGTATGCGCTGTGCGTAAACAAAAACGCCACTATAAATTGCCAATTGCACCAGGTGAACCACCTCCCCCAGACGCATTGATTGGAATGCGTGGACCTTTTCCCTCAGACGCTCTGCAAAGGCATATCTTCCTCCCGTGAATGCAAGCGTGTTATCGGAACCTTGATCATCTGCAATTAGTGGACATCGAGAATAAAAGCAGCGATCATTTACGGCAAACGCATAAATAAACCATCTGGTATGACCGATAGATGAAATCATACCTGTGTTTGTAGTGGATTTATTTGCAGTCATCATATCAACTGCGAACTTATTCAAGGCGCGCCAGTGATAATTGGAATAAGGGTCTACCGTGCTGTGCGTATCCACAAATCCCAAAAAGCTGGGTGGAACCTGACGCAGATATACTACCCATCCCATTTCGCCTTTCACTCGCTGCTCTATCTTCATTTCAATGGTTTCTTTGCAGTGTAGAGAAACAAAAGCTACCTCGGAAGCACTCCAAAAGTTGTCTGCAATCGACCGCTTCATCTGGTTTGCCACGTCTCCGAGATAAGGTTTTATACCTTCGTTGTAAAGGAAGAGGACAGCCTCCTCAAGACACGTTTGCAAGTTCTTCAGGAATTTTGACAAAGCTTGCTCATCGGGGAGTAGCATTGTGATCATCTGCTTCAACCAAGTGTTCTCTATATGCGGTACCAGCACGCCATTCGGGCTTTTGATCCAAGTTAAACCACCACGCCGTTCCATGACCATGTGAGACCCGCTGTAACAAGGAGTACGCGCATTGTCGCGATCTTGCCATCTTTGATAATCGCTGCCTGGCGGGGAGTCAGAGTGAGCACCGTCCAACGGTATGCCGAGCAGCCATTGCAGTGGGTCTTCAGTTCCATGGCATTGAGCCTCATCGTTGCCGAAACTCCTCTTGCGTGTGTTCCTAGAACGGTGATTCTGGGTGGATATGGCGCTGAGTTCTGCAAGACAGGTGCGATTGAGACTCAACGCTCCAATGTTAGGGGCAGTTCTCGTACATTTGGCATTCGCTAGCATGATTTCATAATTCCTCAAATACGCAGTGAATTCATCATCTGAAACCTTCTGAGTCTCAAATGAAGCCCGCCTATTGCCACCTTTGTACATCGTCGTTTCGGAGACCATGCAAACAAAACGCAGTAACGAATCTGACGTTAACCAAAACAAATTGGGGATGCCCTTAAAGTTAAACGATCCTTTAAACCAATACGGTGCTGAATATTGGCCCTTAGTCTCTGTGGGCGTTCATAGGTGAGGCTATGAAGCCAGAGAACTGTCAACTTCGATTAATGACGTACTGACCTGCAGAATGTGTTCTCTTTGATAGCAGTAATATATCGACAAAATGACCACCAACTGCCCTCTATATAACGTTTAAATTGTCAGCCATACATGTTGAAGACCTCCTTTATCAGAATTCAAAACCGTGATTAATTTGGGTGATGCAATCATAATCAGGGAGGCAAACCTAGTGCAGGAATAGACGTCAAATTTTGAGGGTCCCAGTCTGTTCAACAGTGAGGTTTCATTTCTACATTGATATTTTTGTGGTACATCGTATCCAAACAGAATCAAACAGAACATCTATGTCTATGAATTGTAATTTTCAGAATTTCACAGCACCAATAAACTATTATTACAAAGAATACGCGTGAATAGCAGCGCTTTATAATAGATATGCAACTGCATTAATCGGCTATATAGTTGGAATAGCGAAATAAGAACCTCCAACTGCGGCATGCAAAATTCATTTTATCTGAGCGAAAGACACCTAATGGAGTACACGGCAGCACGTGATTTAAGACATGCTCTAAGCTGCATTCAACTTTTTAAAGATTTTAATGTAATGAATGCAAGGCAAAGTAGTTATCGGGGTGGTTTGTAACGTGATAGACAATGGTGATAAAACGAAGAACACAATGGATATCAAAACGGCGTAATATATAAGAGAAAAAATGGATGGCGGTACACATCCGTGCATTCACGTTGAATACACATTTACAATACCATTACCATGAATTGTGCAGTTGTACGTTTGTCGAATTATAACCGCGTGCAAGAAAAGGCACTAAACATATCAGAATACCGCTCTCACTGAAATAGTCCTAGAGGATCTCAATATATCCACAGTATTAAGCGACGTGTCATACACTCACCAAAACTGAAGGAATCTTGCTTATATGTCCGTGAAATGGCGCTTGCTCCAGCTTGTCAGACCGTTTTGCAATGGAAACTGCAAACACGATTCAACGTTAAAGTCCTGGGAAAATGGAAATCTGAAATCAATTTAATAACCCATTTCAATGTGTAAGTACTCTAGAAGGTCGCGGAAGAATCAAAGCTCCGGAAGGTATGTCGTATCCATAACGTATATTCATCGTCCATGAAGCGCCTTAGTCACGTACACATTTGCAAAATATCACACTAAAATGGCATTTTAGAACATGATAAATGCAAAAATACGTAATAATAAAGACACATTGCGCTTTTCACGAACTAACCCACACGTGGAAGGCAGCTTACCTTAAGAAGATTCCTAGCGCAAATACATACACATTAATATATTTACTTGATGTTGCTGCAGAACTGCTCGTCAGCTAATAAAACCGTTTGTACCGCTGAAACTGACGCAATGGGAGGGGGTGGCTAGGCGGATATACTTGACAGCTAGCCTACGGTAAAGAAGCAGCGTAAAAGTAATGTGCAATTGCGAGATTCCAAATACCGAACATAATTTCACACCGTATGAGTCCATATGTGGTTAACCTCATATTCTTATCTCTATTCTATGGCCCTTTATTAAAGTCCAACTCAAACTGCAAATTGCGCCCATCGCAATTTTACCTCACATACGAGAAATTGCGGAGAAAAAAAAAGACACGTAATGCAAGTCAATTTGTAGGTGTATGAATATCGGTGCAATTGAGTGGATTTTTCCCCGCAATTGCTGCGGCAAGTTACCCTAGGCGGAATCACAGTAAAAAAAAAGAACGCTAACGAATAATAAGTAAACACACAATTATATTAGACACATTTCCATGGTTAAGTCACCTCATATACGTCCATATAACTGTGTTGAAAACGAGAGGATGGGCGTAAGGATGCGGCGAATTTTCTTTATCGCCTCGATTATCAACTCCATTTTACCATAAACTGTTTTTCGAATTTTGTCGATGAAATTCTGCAAATTGAAGCAGCGTAGCACTGTTTGTGACTCAAAATGGGCGCGGCGTAAACGATGTAGTAGTGAATCGCACCTAAACGTTTCCCTTGTACTCACTTGGGCAAATGGTACAGGAAGGACATTGGAATCATGAAGCTGCACACCGCAGTCACACCTATAGTGATTATATTCGTCACACATGTGGTCATATGTGTGCGTAACAAGCAGATACCATCGTCACCGGCGCAATTGAAGCAAGCGGAACAATCGCCGGCTTTGCCATCCCTTAATAATTCACAATCCAATAATCGGAAGTCGGAATACGTGGAACACGCAACTGACCAGAAAGACCATGTCGCCGGTGGTGAATTCGGCGAGGCAACGTTATCGGGTAAAGAAGACAAACACCTTTCGCAGGGTAAACCGGGGACAGATGTTAACCCGGACGAAATAAATACATCTGTATCGCTGCTAAAAGATGTGAAAGGAGGTTAGCGTTGCATACACACTACCATTGTATCTTCAACATTCAAATTGTGCTAATACGTGCGTAGTTATCCGGAGTAACGCGGAGCAATGCAGCCTCTTTGACGAGTTCATCAGGCAGCCGCATGAATACATCAAAGGCCTCGGTAAAAACGAACAATCTTAGCGCATGTATCACAGAGTATCTCGGATGTGGTTATGACGTCACAAAGTCGAGACCATTCGGCGACGACGAAAGTTTTGTGGACACTGGATACACGCAGCCAGTAATCCAATTCCAATGGAATTGCGCTGATGGCGGCAAACCACCAACAACACCTATAGGTGTCTGGGTGCGAAAAGAAGCTTCCTGCCACAAGGGCCACACTACACGCGAGATAAAAACTGAAGAAACGTTAGGGGCCATTTTTTCGGAGGATGTAGTCTCATCCGTAGGCGCAGGAGTTGTTTCGGCAACATCCAAAACAGAGAAGAAAGACGTCAAAAAACTTAAGAATTTCGTAAAAAAGCATGGGTATGCGTTAAAGTCGAAATGTGCCGTCTTTAGCACAGGCATCTTCTTGTCCGAAGAATGGTGAGTGCTGCATTCTCAATTTATGATCTGCAGGAATGTGACCCGGGGCTTCAGAAACGCCATCAGAGTTCTCGTAGACTATGAGGGCAAAGAAAAGTGTTCTAAAACAGATGACTACCGTAGAGATGGCTCATGTGCCGATTACTATGACCTGTGGAAAGCCTTCTTCAACAGCTACGGCACCCATGTTATATTTAGACTTACCATGGGCGGCAAACTTCTACGCATAGTTGAGAATTTGGAGAAAAACGAAACTAACGCAAAATCAAAAGAACGACAAGCAAAAGTCGACATTCAACTATCAATAATAAACGCAAATGCGTCGATGAATAGTAACAAAGAGGACGATGTTCGAAAGGCGCTTACCGAGCAAAACAGCAAGTGTTTTGTGATGGGAGGAGACAATCTCGCATCATGTGACAGCAGCGACTCTTTCGATCAGTGGATGGAGAGCGTTCAACGTAATGCTATGCCCATCAACATACAACTTACCCCCGTATCACAATTTATACCCAAGGAGATAAGAGGCCACTGCTGGAGGGCCTTCAAAGTGTATAATGACGTGCATACGTAGACATATGAGATAAAATTAGGGATAGAGGGGTCACTCCTTGTTTCAGCCTGCTATATGTGGTTGCGTATCTATAAGTCTACCTTCGCGTTTGTTGGAGGCTGGCATCTCGCACATCACTCGTTCCACTTATCACGACATATGGGTCTCGGCTATGTTGGACACTTGTGTCATTTATTTAGCCGTCATCATATTGCGTCAACGATGTTACCCTCATTGGTGGACTATATATAACAATGGTGATAGTACGCTTTGGCAGATTATGTCTGGTCGAATATGTTCAGTGGGTTGTTGCGAGTATACGTCTCTTAACAGTAAGAGCTGGCCCGTAAATGTCCAAAATTTGTGTTAGATTTTGCATCAAACTTATCACCAATACTGAAACGTGGTGTCCGTTGTCACGTCGGTCCTCCCCAATGACGATTCCAGTTGCAGCAGGGAATGAAAATTCCTTTGGAAATTTGCTGCAAGCTAGGGAAATGGGGTTTTTGCTGGCCTATATTTCCCCAACAAAACATAAAACAGAAATTATGAATTCTCCCTTAATTTCACATATCCATAAAATGTATCTTTTGGTGTTATCACTTTCCATTTAAGTTCGTCATTATTTGTTTTGTGACGCAAATTACATAGCCATGGCCAAAATATTTTGCATCATTAGGTCCCGGTGGGCGCTTTTCGCGATATATCTGTATTGGAGTTGGCATATCGATGCATTACGTTGTAATTTTGGAGATCCACATGGATTACTAAGCAGCAAGGCTCTCATCGCTTGTCACGTAGACAACGAAATGTTTATCTCCGCAAAGGTGATATGTCCACGCCAAGTAAATGATGCCCCGTATATATGGTATCCTCGCCCAATTTCGGATAAGCGCGGTCATATTAACACTTACGTTACTGGTGATGGCAAGTTTCGTTCCGTTCCTATTTCCGATGTAATGCGCTCCGAATCCGGGAATGCAGTCATACGGTTCGAATCAAATGTTGCCCAAACTGAACTGCATTATAAAAAGCTGCCTAATCAGTTGATTGCGATGACCGAACGCCGTTTGATATTCATATGTGGACCGCGGGATTTGGTTCTGAGTGATGCATTGCAGCGTCACCTTGAGCGGCTCAATGGCATTGGTCAAATGAAACCACTTCCTTGGGCGTCATCCATGCCAGTTATTCAAGAAATCAAGAAAATGGGTACGGGGTTGGGAGTGCTTTTCTTGAACAGAGGGCACTTGCAACTACCCCTGCAAGGCTGCGGGAGCCGTCCATCACCACTTTTTGCTGCGGACAACGAGGTGTACGTGGATTCCATCACCGGAACACGTTCATGCGTAGCGGATCCCATGGGACAATCACGTATCGGATTTGTTTGCGAAGGTCGTCTTGAACCCGATGATTGCATGAGATCTCTCTTAGACAAAAATGATCAAATTGTAACTGCCCCAAAACCATATTCTTATCGTCATTTCGATACCAATAAGCCATGGGTGGTAACGCAATTTTTTTCTAAATTGGCACTGCCACCATTCAATGGCGAATGCAGATGCATCAATCCCGAAACAGGACAGGTGAAGGCCAAGATAGAGATCCTCTCAAAAACCGAGTACATTTGTGACATCGCCAGCAAGGCCTTCCTTAGCCGTTTCCGTCCCATCCACGGGCCTTGGTGCTCTGTGATGTTACACCCGGGTAGTACATTGACCATAAAGCTACCAACACCGGCGGTCAAATCAGTTTTTATCGACCAAGATTATAACTATGATTTCCAGGGGGACTTCTTCGTTCTCCCATTTTCGCAATTGGCATCCATCTATGAATACGAATCTGAATTCCTGCCGAAGGACGTGACTACGCTGAGACAACTGAAATCAATTCATGACATCAATGCTTACGACGAAATCTTATATCACAAAGGCATTGCTGGCGATGCCCTTGAGTTGGATGTTTCTCGAATGCCACTGGGAGAAGTGAAGCTGAAGTACCAGCTGGGCAAACCGCTAGCGTTGCGAGAAAGGTCTAATTCATTCTTTTATCATTGGACTCTGATATCTAGGAACGAAAACGTTCCCGATAAGATAAGGGCCGCCATAAATGTGTCATTTGCGTTTTCTCATAGCTACTGGATTATAGGTTGCGATCGCGGGCGACCAAGCGTCTTTGATCCAGAGAGTAGCAATGAATATTGCTCGATCAGAATGGTGGGAAACGGAATAGGGGGTGTTTACGAATGTCTATTCAATCAAGTGCAGGATCGCCGGCTGGCTGGCATCCACTGCAGAGCTGACGAGGTCCTGTTGCCAAACAACTGTGAATCCGTTGGGTACGATCTCGTTTCCAATCAGATTATACCAATGCCTGAATCGATGAAAAATGCCACGATTCAACCCACTCCTGGGTTTCAGGTATTCGACATTGAATTGAACGACGATAGCCCTGTCAGTTATGCGTGCATTTGCGTCGACGAACGTGGATATGAAACATCTAGGCTTATTGTGGAATCCACTCACCGCGAAGAGTGTTCTTATGCAGTAAGTCGTGATGAGGTCCGTCACACTTTTATTCCTTATATATTGCTGCAATTGGGGGAAGCAGGAGTATCAAACGGAGGCGCTGTATCTTCACAATCACTGATGCTATACAACGTATTACAAAAGTCGATTTTGCTAGGAATCGGTACGACATTACGCATCCCTTGTGGCCCCGATCAGCAGAGCGTTGCAGGTAATGGGCGGATAACAACTACATGGCTTCCCAAGCAGCCTGAAGAATATCATTATACAGTCAACCAGAGACCACATGGGCCTGAGCTGATACGTAAGTCTCACAACGAGTCATTTGCTAGCACTCCAGGTGCTCTGGAAATCGGATACCAAGAGAACGGGGGGAGACCTGAATATAAAGAATTGACAATCAAATCGCGCAAAGGTGCCATATTAATATCTAAAGATCCACTACACAAGAAATTCGTGCCGATGACGTTCCTCTGCGGGAATACGCCAGAACAATCGGATTTGCCCGTCGTCATTGATGGTGTATCAACTTCGGCAGCGTCTCCACCACCTAATGTTCAGGGAGTAAAATCATCGGCGCAATACACATGGAATATCGTTGAAGTTGCCGTCGAGACCACTGACCCCTACATGCAAGGATGCGGCGTTACCTACGAGTCCACTGACCTATTCAAACCTGAGACACACCAACTCTACGACGCTGATGGGCAACTTCAGTTCGGCTGTAAGATTGATCTCCATATGGCTAAAGAGGCTGCATTCTACTGCCCAGCGCCGTATGTCCTGGACCCACCCAATTGCTTCAGCCAGGTCTCCGTGGACGGCACCGTCAAGAACACGCGCGACATCAGCCAATCCTTGGTGACATCACAATCAAATCATTTTATGATTTTGTATTCATTCAGTGGACTCGTTGGGCCCGGAGAGAAGCTACGCCAGACGCCTCCGTTGGAGTGCCGCTGCGTAACCACAAAGGGCATCATCCTCTCCACCATACAGATAGAGAACTACTACGCCAAGTAGTGAGTAGCTTAGATGTGGTAATATGTTGGTGTATTATGCGACTTAATTTGCTTTAATTGCTATCGATGTTGGCGTCTGGTGGTTTGTCTACCCGTGGCAGGCTACCCTTTGGCTAGAAAATTATGCTCGGTGGTAAAACACACTGGCTTACTTTAGTGTTATCATCGTTGTTTATGACTTGTATGAATGGTATGTATCCGATCGGCAAGACTAACTGTAAAAACGCGTCATCATACCTTTATTCAGCATTTTGCGCTGCCGTGATGAAGAAGTTGCAGTATGAGCCTCTTCACTTATGCTCATAAGTTAGAGCATTGGCCATGCCTTCAACACGCATGAATGGATATTGCGTGATGCGTACCAGTGACATTCGCTTATTTAACTAATGTTGGTGATCAACCACGGCGACACCTTATGACCACGTTGCCAATAGGTGGGGAGGCATACATATATGCCTTTATCAACTCCTTATATGTTTACAGAACACTGTATCGGATGCCTTTATAAGTCGCAATGAAACATATTGACATTTTCAGAGCTGATTTTTAGGTGTCAGATGACTCAGTCACATGGCTTACAGCTTGATGGAATGGGTAGGGGAAAGCAGGGGTGTACTTTATATTGTGATTTGAGTGTCAGAAATGAAATGAGAATTGCAGAAATAAAATAGATTACTGATGTGTGACAACGAGCTTATACACGAGGCAATTCAATGAGGAGTCCGACCTCATCAAGGTTGGGATGTGAGACGTTATGCCAGGATGCGTAGTTACGTGATAACATCATAAGCATACAGGAAATGGGCACCATATATGGGATTGCTCGTAGTGATTGAGGTGTTTAGGTAGTAAACTGAAGTTGGAAGTGCCGTTGGATGGATGACACAATGCAACTACCAGGTGGGAGATGAATAGAATGGGGAGGGCAGGCTGACATATTGAACGCATAATATTAAGCATAGATGTAATGTGTAAAACAACACAACGTATTACTGTATGCGTCATTTCCTCTCACATACACGCCATCTGCTCAGTGTAGGATAGGGAAAGATCTCAATCTCTTGGGGTCATCATGGAGCGTTTCGCTTATAAGACGACCATAGCAGCGGTTTGTGGGGTGCTGCCATGACAGTCGAGGAACGACGATAGGAAAAGGTATGGTGACGATGCTGTCGGAGATCGGCAGCCTGAGGTGCGAGCGGATGTGGCGCGCGTAGAGGCGTCCGCAGAATACGTACGACAGGTATAGGAGGGAGTAGTCCATTTTATTTCCCTCCCCGAAATTGGAGAGTGACAGGCAACAATGTGGCAGAGATTCACCACATCGAGAAGACTACGCAATGGTGTGGAAAGATCGTCGCTAATCCGTTTTGTTATACATTGTGAAGATGTATTGCAAAACCCATTAAGACTATCGAAGGCAATCTGCTTGTTAACCGCTATCAGCGAGTAGAGTTGTTGAGCGTTGGAGCTGCTCTAGAAATATTTATTGCATTCTCAGTTGAGAATAGATTTGTACGTTGTACAAATAATACATTGGGAATATAAGGCACACGGATTTTTGGCTGGTAACCCCTTAGTAGAAAATTGAACTGTAGAATACAAATTGGTGTCCCTAGTACACTGAAGACATAACCTTCCTTACGCTGACCCTATTCGTAAAATTCCTTTAAATATCGTAAAAAGTTTCCATTTTCCCCTGTAAACGTTAACCATGTATCGCACAATGTAATGCGTAGGGTCACATCTGGTGAAGCTGTGCCGCGAGGCATGCCCAGCTGCAACATTCTCTAATCGTCTCCACTAACCTTTGGGTACTAGTTGTATTGGATATCTACGCATGGATGTGCTACACAGAATCAGCAGTGGCTGCGTTTTACTCCCTTGAGAATAATCACCACAGATAATCCCAATAGTCGTTTAACCCGGGGAAAATTTTGTTTCATCATAAGACCATCTTAGCACCTTATGTTGTCTATAAGATGTATAAGTCACATGTGTTCGAAACCACTGAGAACGACTATATAGCTCAGACTACTTGGTGTCTACATGCGGTGGCGACAGGAAAAGCCGATTGGTGGTAAAGAATTTTCGCAGTTCTTATATTGCTCATGAGGTTCATGAAGCACAACGGCACTCATTACAGAAACTAGGATATACATCATAGATTTCATTTTACCCATTAGGAATTTTTTATTTGCAGATCAGTTCACAGCCCGCAACAATTCCGCATCAATTACTTCATTGGCTCTTCGAAATTCCTGATTATCATTTCAGTCGATACTATCCTACACTGCATAATGTGATATTGAGGTGCCAGTCTAAATTTCTGTCCATCTAGGTTCCTCATCCTTTGTTGCTATCAAAAATGGCGCATATGCATTACTATGGACGGCGAGGAGTTGCATCACTGCTCTGCCTCTTCATTATGGTACTTAATGGTTTCACTGTAGGCGCTAGATCTACCGATGATACTTATGTTAGTGGAGTGTCCCCGGCAACAGAGCTTGCATTCTATGCCGGCAACGCAGAGTTCTATCGTAAAGTCAAAATCCTCGAAACACTTACTTGGCCCCAAACGCAAATTTATGATTATTTGGAGTCTATTTTACTTGAAATACCTCGCTCTGAGACGTCACCGGAAATTAAAGAAGCAGACAGAAATGAGTGTCGTCAACTCATGCATGATATCGACCATATTATCAGTGTTTATGTCAATTACACCGAATTAAGAACGATGCTTGATGAATACCGTGCAATATCCAGGGGCCTTCAAAGGAAAAATGTAACGCCGGAAAGGTCTGCTGAACTGGAAAGCGCTTTGATGGATCTAGAAGAGCGATTTAGAGGGAAAGAAGATTTTGCATCAACCACCTTAAAAGACGACAATGCGTCGTATTACAGAGAATCAATCCGAAAAGCAAACAGACTCATTCGGAATCATAGTAGTCAAACCCCACTGCAATCTCTCGATCAACGATCATTGGGGGTGAGCGGCGGCAAACAAGCTTCACTCGCTTCAGATTCGTCAGGCGATTTAGGAGGGCGCCATAGTGATGTAACCCAAACTATACCAGTCTCTGACGCAGGCAATGAAACGATGCGAGAACTACTCAACGATCGCTCTTTGCTAAAAACGTTGGGTGATGTTGAGGGAATGGCACAAAAAATAGAGGCAATATTAAATGGCCCTTTGATGAATGACATCAATTTATACGCAGCTGGTAGTGATATCTCTCCCTATAATGCAGTAATTCTGGATATCCAACACGATTATGACAGGAATTATGACAATTTTAGAGACATCAGAAATGCATGGGATGTTTACATGCGTTACAATGACATCAGTGATAAACTGAGAATGATAGATCCAAAATCATCTCAAGCCGTTGAATTAATAGAAGAGAAACAAAAACTAGAGTTGGCATTCGAGGAGTATGGTACTCTCGTAGATGCCGAATCTATTGTATTGATCGATTGGGACGCGTGGAGTATACTGTGGATGCTGGGGAGCGTTGAAGAGGAGAGGAAAAAATCGAAAACTCTACATACTGTGAGCAAACCCTTACCTCAGACAGCAGTGCTTAAGGAAACCATAACAGAGCCAGGAACAACAGAGCTTAAGGAACCTAGGCCATCATCTGGAACAACAGAACCAGAAGAACCTACGACGAAACTACATCCAATTACGACGAATGGTACCACTCCACCAGAACCAACAAATCTACATCTCACGGGTGGAGTAAATGTCACAGGCAGATTAGGCAGGCTAGAAGGTGAATGTGGAATTGTCAACAATATACGTGGCACAAAAGATGCTAAGGAGACTTCCGGACTCGTAATAATAGGGTTCACGGCTATTCAAACAATGGTAGCAGTTGGTATAATGGCATCTCTCTGAATTCAGGTCTCAGGAAAACATATCCCACCTTTCACATGTGGCGATAAAACACTATCTTTGTTTAATATTGTATAGCATGGCTTGGGCCGATTTTTGTGTTTACTAGGAAATCGTCTTACGCTGCTTATATAGGCTGCGGTCTCTATGTCGTATTGTTACCGAACGCTGCAGGTGTCCTCCATGATGTCCTCCACCTGTCTAGGAATGGCGGCCGTCAGCAGAGTAATAATCGTCTCTGAGTTACATGTTTCTCAACACTAGTTTCTGTGTTTCCTATATCACTGCCCATTGTATGTGGGCTTCTAAGAGATCCGATCTGCCCAGGTTCCGCCTGTACTTGGTGTGTTCTTTTGTAACCATTCCCTCCCACGTCATAACGTAGGGGATCGCGCTGGTCCTCGTGTGTTGGTTGGATTAGAAAACGGAGAACCAAAAACAGCAGCTACTGCATCCAATGCGACAAATCGCCAGACCCCCTGCAGTGAGTCCATCCTCCGAGTAACCGTATCGCTAGTAACTGTAAAAGTGTCAAGGTGGACCACGGCGTCGTTATGGTGGTGAGAAAGTGTTTGTGGGTATCAACCAATCTAAGCTGCGTAGTGGCGGTACGACTCATGCGTAACAATGTACGTATTGAGAAGCTGTAAAGCTAAAAATAAGCCAACAAAATCCCACACTGCGCCTCACACGTAACGGAGGGTATTGTGCAGCGATGTAAACGCAAGATTCGCGGCGCCTTCCAGCATATCAGGAATCGTGATGACAACAGTGACATCCGTTCGGCTGCGAAGGGATGCGACGAACTGTGAAACGGATTATATACGCCACACGTATCCTTATTTAACATGTGGCGTCTTTGGAGTTGTGAGCCTCCCACGTGTGTGTTGGTTGTCACCGGTAGAAGGCTGTTGCCCAACATACCTTCCAGGAGATACATTCCTATCTTTGTTTCGATTTTGTTTAGAGTTCTATGTGGCTACGTTTGGATTGGGGAGTTTTTTCGGTCAGAACAATTTACCGATTCATGAGGCCCATAAGTGCACAATCCACACCGACAAGAAGTGCCCATGTTTTGCCTGTGCTGGGCACAACAATATTGTCTACTCTCAAAAACTAACAACTATAGAAGATTAAGCTGTCATGTGATGCAGTCTACTGGGGTTAATACGCCTCGCGGTAAAGAGGCCATGCACTCCTACGACTGCTATGCCACCGCGTACGCCGAACGACAGCGATCTCCCATACACTTGAAAAGGCGTAAAGCAGTGTATACCGCGACCTACAAACTGAGAGTATCCATGAAACCTCTCGAATGTACGAAAATGAAAGTGTGGCGCTGACATGGCGCCCCAAACTACGTATTGAGTGCGATTATAGAGAGAATTGTTTAGCACTCCTTTCACCGCAGCAGTATAGCAGGTGAACATTATGTACATAATAATGGCGACAACTACATCTCATAATGTATAAATGCTTCGTGAGAGTTCGAATGAGGCCAACTCGTTTGAAAAGCGGATTCGGCATCTGTTGCTTCAAACTGCTTGTACAGCTCACCCGTGGTCCTCACTCAATAGAAGGCCCAAAATCCAGCGAGGTCGTATATTATGCCCACTAATCCTTTATCCACAGCTCTCAACGCCTGGAGGACATCTGAACCACTCATACCAGAGCGGCATTCTGGCTCTTCATAACCCACAGCATTGAGCACTCCTTCCAATCGTTCCGCCGACTTAGGATGTGGCACATAGCAAGTTGCATCTTTGCTCACGGCCCTCAAAGACTCTAGGCCTCCGTATAACATTGGAGCAATCCCCACGAAGATCAACGCACAAGCTTCCGGGTTTTTCGCACATGATGCATCCCACGTCGCTTCGGAACTGTAAGCGGACATATAGTGGGCTGGGTTTTTTATATCATCCAAGAACTTCTCAGTACCATGCACAACTTTACTCAATTTCTTTGCGATGTCTTCAGGACCGAGGCGCTTCGCCTGTACAATGCTGCGAGCATCGTGCTCGGTGACAGCAGCAAACAACTTAGCGAACACGCTGGGACCACTCCTCAAACGCTGATTGAAATGTTCCAGCAACTTATCCACGGACAGCTGACCCCTAAGCTCCTTCTGCTGCAAGAACTTCTTAGAAATGCGCTTTATATTATCGAAAGCTGGGAACACCTTCACAGCAGCAGGATGGTGTTAGAACAAACGGGTAATGGCCGCACCCAGAGCCTTTAAGTTGCTTTCAGAATCAGTCCCCTTCAGGGCTATCAACCAGTCAATAGCCTCCTTGAGGTTACGAGGAACGCCAATCAACGAAATGTGCACCATTTTCTAAAATTTTGTTAAAATCGCTTATTGCTATAAACGTGAGGATTCTTCTTATATTTATAGCCAGCTTTGAAAAAAGCCTGGGTGTATAATCAGCAGCGTACAACGCTAGCTATGTTTTAATGACTGATCAGCGTAAGTGCCGTTCGCAACTAACAAAGAGACGCTAAATTTCACGATGCAACGAGGCAGATGCACCCAACATGCGTACAACAAGGACGCGAAAATGACCGATGTGCCCCATAGCACAGGTTCATACCATTGACATGGCATGCGGCATCCACAACGCATGTCATTCGTGTATGCAGCAGTGGTACACATCGAATCCAGAGATGTTAATAGACTTACACGGATGCACAAAAAATTGAAATGCTGCGATAGGTAGCGGGTAGTATATTACACTGTACTTCATCCCGTTGTTGCGACGTCGATGTCCGGGATCACACGGAATCTTGCCTACAAGCACGCCGTGAAACATCTTCCAGTCATCTATTTGGTCACTAACGCAGCGACGATTTACTAGCCTGAAAGATAAGTGATTCCTCCAGCTCGGGTGGTGGCATTTCGCGGCTACTTATTTTGGTGACCATCTATTGAGCTCCACGTTCCATTTCACCATATTATGACGTTACTTACTATTGCAACTCAGCAGCTGCAACGCTATTTGGGCGCTTTATACGTATTTTCGTGGTGCTCCTGCTTGTCTGGCCTGCTACGACTGGCCACGCGTGGCATGGTCATATTTCCTTATTACTGGGTTCCGCCTTGCATTTACAATACTGAAGTACCGGAGTATCGCGGGACACGAATATTGGGCGTTAGGCGCTTGTATCTATGAAAAACAGTAGTTATTCGGTGGAGTTCTGAACACCTTGACATGGGCCTTATTTTCTGATCACAATCAATTGTGACTATGTCACCAAATCGTGGTTGTGAATCATATGAATGAGTTAGTTTGTATATACGGCCACGGTTTTTGCAAAGTCCACTTTTGAGCCTGCGGGATCGATGTATCACATGTTACCACATATCGGATATATGCATTGATACCTTCAATAGGGTAAAAATGAACAATCCCTTAACAATGTCAACATGGTTGTATCTGCCACTCACTTTGATATTTTTTCCGGTGAGAAGCGCTCGGCCAGGGGAAGGGGAAGTTAGGAGACAGGAACGGTTCCCAGTGTCTTTAGAAAAGCAACGTGAAATATTTAAAGACACGAACAGAACTCCTAATAATATAGGTAACTATATAATGAGTGAACTGCATACAACGTAGAATACATCGGCTGTGGCTATGACATGTATAATGGCACTAGCATTGATGACAGAACGGGTTTTAGTTTACAAAACTATCGAGCTCCGGTGCTAGACAAGTATCATAGTGGTGGAGCAGAAGGTAGTAAACTGGAGGGACTGGGTATATGGGTTGCCAACGAATTTCAATGCGACCTATCTCACGAGGTAGTCGTAAATGTAAATAAATGAAATGATGCAGTTGAATTCTGTAGATACCAACCAGAAGCTAACATCTCTCATTTCTAGCAAACTATATGATGGATATCACGGTACCTTTTCATCCTGCACGACGGAGACGGTCAAGAATGACGATATCTTTAATAGATTAAAACGTTCAAGGTCAATCGTTGTTAGAAAATATCATTGCAATGTCTACAGTGCCGGCATCAATATAAATGATAGTAGGTAAGCACGGTGCAATCTTTTGTAAATATATATATATATATTAAAATGGCCATAAAGACGTGATCGACTGATGAGACCATATGAATGGGTGATTCCATCACATATGAATCAGGGAAATGTCTAACGACAAATAAGTCTCAACGCTTTTCTTGCCGCAAAAAATAACATCTCAGGAGGAACACAACAAAATTCAACGGAATCGTTAAGAGACTTGTTGATAAATGTAAAAGTGGATTCAAGGAGGCTGAATGTCCGATAGACATGTTCAAGAAAAACATATACTATGAAGGTTGTGACGGCTGCGTAGGATCTTGGATGCGTTTTTTTGCTGACTTCGGCACTCATGCCACTCAGCGTGTAACTATGGGTGAGCGAAGCCTTTTAATACCTTAAATGATAACCCGTATATGCCCATCGCATTGACAGATGCATACGCATATGTGCTCTGTTAACATCATTAATTGATAAATACCCTGTATATGCTATATATAGTTTCAGGTGGGATATACAGGAGGTTCACCAACGCTATGGACAAACAAGCAAGCCGGAAATCCAGAAATACGGAGGTGACAGTTACCATGTCATCCAGTTGGTTCGGTCTATCGAAATCTCGCAAAGAAAGTACAAAGCAGAACGAACTTACGAATTCGCGCGATGGACAAGATGACAACGTGGTCCAGTATACGGTGGGACCCGAGCCGCAGGATGAATTTATGACTCCCGATTCTTTTGAGGATTGGGTACACAAGGTTGCTCTGAACCCAGTACCAATTGATGTAGAATTCATTTCATTATCTGAGATGATGCTGAACGACGAGGCACAAAAGTTGTTTAAGGAGGCACTGCAGTACTACGCAAAACTGAGAGGCGTGGACAAAAGCAATGAATATGTCACTAATGGATCCTTGAGCAGTCCAATATTGCAACTGGTAGGTTACGTTGTTGATAATATTTGTCGTGATATTCTGCGACCATTAATCATGCTACAGCTGAAAGAGTCTAAGCTTGTGGCAATCAATGACCCAGATAAGGTCGGTAAGGACGTTTGTACGGGAAAGAGCAAGATTATATTCGGTTTCGGCGTTAATCTTAACGAGAAAAGACAGATACTCGAACTCAAACCTTGTTATCCAGGATTGTAGGTCATACCTCGACTTTCAGACATTCACACAGAAACGCATGTATCCTTGATCTCAACCAAGATGTAGTTTCAACATTTGTCGTAGCATTATGCGGCGAAATGCAGCTTTATAACTTCACACAGAAATTGACAAAAGGGTCATCCGACAGTTCTTCGTACGTAAGTTGCACGGACAGCGTTAATCATGCGCTTTCTCGCATTGCATCATCATTTTTGCAGAATGAAGCAGTCTGCCCCAAAGATACCGTAGTAGGATTTGGAGCTATAATTAGATTCGGCTATCCCATGATGATAAGAGATTGCCCAATAGGTACGTCGTCAATGTATAAGTCGAATGGTGCGTAGGCGTTCGAAGATGTGGAGATCGCAACTTAGGGCCCAGTGGACTAATTTGGATCGCATGCTTTCCCAAACATACGTTTGGTTTAAACGTTCGTTAAAGGCTATTTATTGGAAAATGCCTCAGCTATATACAACCATGGCAGGAGTCATCGGTGCAGGTGGGAAATTGCCGTGTAATTCCCATAGTAAAGTCGTAAATGGTATGCTTTATGTGATCGATTCTGAACAAACAACAGGTTTTACTATTTCTAGCACCCGTGATAACAAAAACGTTAGGGTGGAAGCTTGCCCGAAGTATGAAGTGGCCTGCCGTGCGCCACCTCAAAAAGAGCCTTCCGTCGGAGGTTACATCTTTTGTGTAAAGTGATGTCCGATATAATAAGACACCGTTGATAATTTTGCCATTACCTTCTAAACTTGTAGACGCACGTGGCAACAGGTTCATTAAGGCACGTTTCAAAGCTCATATTGGATCGTAAAGACCACATTAAACATGAAATAATTAAATAAATAAAGATGCAAATGGTTTTACACTGGGTTGGCCTGGCGCTCTCAACCGTTACATTAGCCAAACAACATGGCAAAAATATATCGAGTGGCGAGTTCATTTTCTTTGTTACCCTAATTACACGCAGATCTGAAGAACACAATCACACAGGGAAAGATTCCCGCCATGGGTTAGCATCATGGTCATAAGCATATATTTGACATCCAGAGTATTTAGGCTGCGGTTATGATATTTTGTATGGAAATCCGTTGACCGATGATGGTTCATTGGTTGACCCCGGTTACCGGAATCCGATAATATCCTTTACCCTCACCCAATACAGAGGCAAGGACAAGAAGGACCCCAAATATGCTAGCATACCAGGAGCATGGATTAGGCCTTTGGTTTCTTGTCGGCGTTCGTCCGAGAGCACGGTTGTCAAAAGTATGAAGGACTATCAGAAGGCATTGGCTGTAGACTCCACGATTGGCTTTGGCACCATCGATGACTCAGTGAAATTCGCTTTATCCGCCGGTTACGCAGAATCAGCGAGCCTCAATTTGTCTAAAAGCCGGAGACTGCATATTCAGAGAAATTACTGTTTCCTACTGGAAGCTGCACTACCTGTTAATGGGCAATAGTAAGTCTACAAAGAAGTATCCAAATGATCCACAGCGCCTTTAAGAAATCCTTTGAGATTGCAGTTGCACTTTTGACTCCGGATTTCAGAAAGTCGGTCGAGACTTGTAACACGATAAGATACTCCATGAATCCCGATCACCCGGATTGCGTGAAGAACGTCCAGCCTTGGATGAATCTTTTCGAGTTATTCGGCACGCATTTTACTTACAACATAAAAATAGGTATGTATACACCATATAGTTGCCACCAGAATGTCACATGAGTTTTGCTGTCGTGTCTGCGATTTAGTTTGCAACGCCTTCGACTACCCGTTTTGACAATGCACCCCTTCATTGCTACAACGAATGGAACCCGCAATAAGATACCACATGAATGTTTAGGTGGAAGGCTGACTGAATTGGAACAGGTGAACGCCTCTAAAAGCGGGAAAAAGTCTAATGCCCAGGTTAATGCTAGGGCTGACGCTCAAGTTACAAAACGTGTCGCGGCAGGCTCAGTGGGTGTTGATGGCACGAACATGTCCAACAAGAGTAACACGACCAACGTATCATTTAGTTACGTCAATGTGCTAGGAGGCAGCCCGATAGGCAACGCCGATGACGAAGATGAATACTTGGCATGGATACACTCAATTCCGAAAAACCCTATGCCAATACGCTCACAACTTGCGCCTCTGTCCAAGCTTTTCAGGTCGAAGGCACTGAAGGAAGCATACGACGACGCGATGGAATTTTACGTGGCGCTCAGTAGGTATAATGTGTGGTTCCCATATTAGTTTAGATGGTTTAAAAAACACCCCAGAGAAGAAAGAAAACGCAGACTAATCAACAAACGCGCGCGAATAGTCACTATGAAGGCATTCATCAACCTAAGAGCCGGCGATGGTAGCGTCGGTGTGCTGCACATCACGGCAGCCTGATCTCTTTTGACTGTTGATCAGGAATCCTACACAGTTTGAACTCCTGTTCACCATTCAATTAAAACACCATGTATCCGCTTTATTCAAATAAAAGCGGTATCTTATCGCAAAAATTAATCTGCTCGTTCGCGTCAAGACGATTGGATCGATCTACATTTCATCAGCGAAGCTTGCTCTACACATTCGTCATCGTGCCTAATAGCCATTCTTACAGGACTAACTCACTATGTGTTTGGCCAAAACCGTTCTCTTCTCCCCTGGGAAACCGCAATTTCGCACGCGCGCTTGAGAGCAAACGTTTCGTCTGCGTTAATAACGACAATCGCCCTGTGACACTGACAGATGACCGTACTATGCGTGATCGCATTGCTGCATGTTGCAGGCTAATGCGATTTCAGGCATTAACGCCAGTTGCAATTTTCTGCTACCCCGCCATGTGGAGTGCATTTATGGCGCTCCCTCCGGTATTCGGCCCTGATGAGGTGAAGAAGATGGCGTTGTTTTGCCTAGGAGCATTCTTTGCTAGGACTGCAGGCTGTTGTGTCAACGATTTGGCAGATCGCAATATAGACAGGCATGTTGAAAGGACCAAAAGTAGGCCATTAGCTGCCGGACAGATCTCCACTACATCGGGTACGCAATACGTGCGATCGTACTGTGTAACATTTGTACAGCTGTTGCTCTTATGTCCGTCAATGCGAGCCTGGGGCTCGCAGTGCTGATGCAATTTGACCTCAACACGTAAGTGCGCATACTGCAAAACAGATTCATTTTCAGCATTCGGCTCGGCATCTTGACAGCACTTGGAGCATGTTGCTATCCATTCATGAAGCGTTTCACCAACTACCCGCAGGTGTTCCTCGGCCTGGCCTCCAACATAAGCGTTTTCATAGTAGGTTCCTTTTTCGTGAAATGGTTATCACTAAACAGGCCTGGTCAGCGCTTATGCAACCTTTCACTATTGCCCCCTTTCTCCTCTATACGGCATCTACACTTTGGACTGTCATATACGACACCGTCTACGCCCACCAAGACAAGAAGTATGACAGGATGATCGGCGTTAAATCAATGGCTCTTCGATGGTAAGTTTTAACACAAGCATTTAAACGCGTTTAGGGGTGATGCAACCAAACGTAATTGTAAAATAAGCGCCCTGCTGATGTCTCTCCTCATTGCCGCAGCGGGGTACAACGCCGACCTAAAGGTAACGTTTATCGCTGCGCGATAAAAAGAGTTCAGGAATGGTTTTACGGATTTATTGCCTTGTCTCACGTGTGGATGACGCGTCAAATTAATGTAGTGGATCTGGACAACGCGAAGAGTTGCTTGACGTTCTTTAAGCGATCAGTGCCATACGGCACACTGGTTCTGGCTGGTATAATTGCCGGAAAGGACCTATCTTTTAAGACGAACACAGAATCCTAGGCGCAGTGTAAATTCACAGCTAATAATAATAATCGGATCTGGCAATAAAGATCCACAGTCGAAAATTCCCGCCGTAACCGATGCGTATCTTTCATCCTACACTGGCCATCGAAGTCGCAATCTAACTTTGTGCACTACATTGTTATTACCGCACAAAACTTTGCAGTTGGGTAATCTTAGCTGTGCGGATCATTATCATAACGAGCCGGTGGTAAATAATCTCGGCATTAACTGCGACATAGTAAAGGATAATTTTATTGAATTCAGATCACCATTGCAGCTATGAAGACACCTGTCATACATATTGCAATACGGATAGTTATATGTTGCTTCTTCTTCGGTTCATCTTATGCGTCTCCAGGTCACGTAAGGCTCCCGTCCGATAGGCTGCATTATGATCGCAGTAAAGCCAAAGGATCCTTGACTCGTGGTAGCATAGTTACCCGTCAGATGTACAGCAGCGATGAAGCACTCAAAGACGCTCCACTGGCTACTAATCCGGTTACAGTGGCTACTCCTGTTGTCGAGCCGCAGATCGAACAAATGATACCAGTACAACAAGACCCGCCAAAACCGTCAGTTGTGAAGTGCAGAGTCACCGAAAACATCGATTCTGAGACGTCTCCGCTCGTTGAAGTTAAAGGTGTGAATGGCTTATTCAATTCTGTCCTTGTTGGATATCAGGACCCTGAGAGCCTGACACATGAAAATAAGGGAAGTTTTTTTGGATGGAGCACTGTTATAAATGCACAGAAAGGCAATAAAGCGTGTTTTACTTTTAATGCGAACTTCGTTCCCATCAGAACGAAGATCCATCCTACATCATACTGCGCGCTGATAATTCAACCTCCTTTGATGGCAAGCTCCGAAATATTGGAGGCATTCAAATCTCCACCGCGAAGTGTTAGACGGTCTTTGACATCAACTGACGCACTAGCGAAGTATTTGAAGGAGAAGAAATCGTCGATAGTAACATCGTGTTGTTTTCTGGCGCAGGCAAACGTTGGTCTCTATGATACAATCTGAGAGACTGCGTGTTTTTATCTCGAGCACATACTGCACCTTAAGTTCGGAATTTAGCATGGCAACTAAAAAATTTGGATCATCGGGCGACCTCCAGCATTCGCCTAAACGTCAGTCGGCAAGAACATTACTGCAACCGACAAGTATAAACTTTTTACTTCCATATATGCTCTACACGAGCCACATACAGGCAGTGTTGACCTTTCATGATGGTACCACGGCCACTAATTAGAAGCAATAAAGCATACATGCTGAACGTTCTATTAACAACTCCTTTTACCAATATATATTGATTACGATAAAACGTTAGGAACCCGTAGCGCTCCAATATCCCGTGCATATCGACATGGGTCCCGCGATTCATGTACCTATTTGCCAAATATTCTAGCAAACAGCTCGGAAGGGAGTTTCGCGGTAGGAGCTGCTCCATCGTCCATCTCACGGGATCCATTACTGCCCGAATCGTCTTTTGTCCTTTTGGTTTTGATTCTGAATCTATGGAGAAGCTCATCGTCGAAGGTATAAAGCTCCACCTTCCTGCCTGTTTCCACAACCTTTTCCTTAGCAACTCCTTCAGTTGCAAACTCGATCCCCTTCTCTATGATCTCGACTAGGTCTTCCTTGACCTCCATCGGTTTCACGATCAGGTTGTAAAGGTGTTTGTAGTAGAATTGTATCTCGGATAGGTCGAACTGGCGGTCTGGTACGTGCCTCGCTAGGGTGGCCGTTTCCTTGGTACCTTCCTCCTCTTCAAGATTCAGAGTTCTATGACGGTGATCGCCACTTTCCTTAAGATTTTCTGCTTGATGTCCTTTTTGTTCTTTACCAGCTGGGATATGATGGTGACGCCCTTGGGATCCATAGTCGTCATTTTCGGCGTTTACGAAATGCAATTTTTCGACACATTTGTCCACATCGAACGTAAAACCCACACCTTCAAGGCTTGATGAGATTCTCGTTTGTGGAGCATGTATGTTAATTGGGCCTATAAACCGTTTCTTCCCCATGAATCCTAGAGCAGTTAATATCGCTGCGACATTTCTCCGCAACCCTACTCGATCGATTTTTATAGCTTTGAGCGTATTCTTGGTTGTGATTTCTGCATCTTCCAGATCCGTGAAGGTGCTGACTTCCTGCTGCGTGTAGGATGCCCTATTAGTCTTGGAAGACTTGAAGTTAGCAGGCACAAACCCTGTAACGAGGTGTACTAATTGATATCACGGGGATATTACACGTATCACACGGCGGGTTAGAAAACGATGCAAAAAACATCCAATGACTTACCTTCAGCTGTGTCTACCGTGTAGTGGGTTATTATTTGGTTACGTTTGATCCGCTCGCGATTCTGCCTGTACTGGAGCTCCTTTGATTTCTCGAAGTTCTTGGCACGTTTGTTCACCAGGTCGGTTTCTGAACGAATGTTTGTTTGACTCACTATTAGCCGTCGGTTATTTCAACGACGAATGCAGGCAAGCATAAAATGCGATTTGCTAAAATCGGACCGGATGGATGGTCAGAAACGATTGGCCCCCGCAAAGCAAACATGATTGCAGTGGGATATACGTCCATCATGTAAGATTGCGACAGTGTCACGAATTGCTACCGCACGTAGGATGAGGCCACTCTGATCGTACAATACACGTCCGGAAGCACAAGGCAGAGCATGCGAAACAAGATCCCTTTATGCACTAAAGAAAAATATACAATAATTATGCACCCATTACTCAATACAAAAGCAACATGCAGATTTTGAATGACGCAGAATAACGTACCAATATCATCAATCTCGTACTTCGATAGGGGTGTCCCCAGGAAGGTTGCAGCACTCATTTTTACAGATTTTGTCTCTTGTGATATCCAATGATACCATAAACAGCCGGTATTCCAATTTCTAATATTAGCTCGTTACGGAGCAGCAAAACACACTGCGGTTACAAAAAACTGGTATCCCAGCAGCAGATCAACCCGGTCCAACCTTAGGAATGTCGAAATCTGCCATAAAATGAATCTTTCAGAGGCATAACTAACGTGGCGATAGTTTGGATAGCTTCTCATTAAACATTTCCACCCTCTCTCGGTGAGTTTTTTTGAGCTGATCCTCTATCTTCTTAGCGTTCCTCTGAAGCTGCACAATGCGGAACGTTTTTTCGCTTGGTGTTAGAGAATCATTCGCTATAACTGCATGCATATGATGCTCCGTCGGCAATGGTGCTAATTTCTGCTAAAGCCTACCTCGCTGAATCTTTGCCTGTAAGTCGTCATCAGGTACGATTTGCCGCTCAGTTTTCGTCTTTTCAACGAATATTACGTCCTTTGGCTTGGTGGCCTCGACTTCTACGATCTTCTTATTTTTGGTGATGGCTTTCCCTTTTATCTTGAGGCATCCCTTGACTACGTTGTCGTATGTTTTGTCAGCCTTCATAGTCGTCGCTCAGCCGTTCGTTTCGCGCCGTTGATCACAGTGTTTGCATATGATCAAAACTACAACAAGGGCTCCTGATCGTCAATGAGCGTTATTGACAGGTTTCGTTTGAAAGTGGTCTCAGCACCTCGCGCATATCGTCATCCAACAATCTGCGCAAAAAGGACCTTAAAAATACCGACCACTCCATATGAGTAACCCACCTATGACATTGCATAGCATGTACAGTTCATATTCCATGCTAGGGCGCCCGTGAAACCGCAATCACGTAGCCTACGTTACGTGTCTAAATCGGTATGTCGCATTAATGGCACGATAGAGCCGTGGCTTAACTATGAGGTTGTAGTAACACGACGTGCTATCGCAAGTCTTGTGGAGTTCGCCGTCATGACGTGGATTATGGGTGGCCGGTCGTTCTGAGCGGACGCGCGTACACACCGTCTCGTGCGTGACAGAATTGCCCTAGAATTCTATTCCAAAAATAGGAGAGGCAACATGCAATCGTGCAATTGTTTTGTTGAGTAGAAGACACGGCTTAAGCCTTCCGTTTCCCCAATATCTCTGGTGTTGTGTGATGCGATTGGGGAAGTCACCCACTGAAAACCCCGTTGGTGTTCACATTTTAATTCCCGACGCAAGTGTTGCGGTCTTCTTTGAATGAATGCCCAGTAGTACGGTGTTGACGTCGGGAATCCCTGTTTTATGCGTGTGGCGTGCCATTCTATGAATGGTTGTCTTCCCAACTGTCTGCGCCAGGGTAAGCTTTCAGTTTTGTTGTCGTGGTAGGGCGCTTTTAAAGTGCCATTTTGCTGTATGTATGCTTTTGGTGAGACACTGAAACACCCGCCACCACTGGCCTACCTCGTTGGCGTTTCATGTCTGCACGTCAGATCAGTTGTATGGAAGAACGTGTGAGTGTCAAGGTGACGTTTTGTTCTGCGGTTATTTCGGGGCAACAGTTGTTTCTGCCAATTTTGATATCAGCACATTGAATTTGTCGACATTTAAAGCAACGTAGTTGCCAAGCCTTCCACTTTATCTTTGGGCTTGTCTTCTCCAACAAAAACAGGGCGCAAGGTGGAATTTGGTAACTGCGAGTAATTGGCAAAAAGCTAAACGCGAAGTCAAGTGTATCGCATGAACGTCGTCGGTCATAAGTCGGCTAGCGTGAAGTGAGCTATAGCAGGCCGTGTTAAGATAAACTCGTTCAAAATGTCGCAGAACATAATCACACATCGTCTGGTAAATGCGACGAATATCGTGTTTCACTTGATGGATCTGCAGCCCTACGCCTTGGTGTTGCCGATGAACTGCAAGACTGCAGCCCGCAACAAGCGTAAGATAATGCAAAAGATATTGGGAAACAACCCTACAACTACCGTTACTGAGAATGGCAAAGTTTCCGTTGGCGACGAGAATAAGCACAGCGTTGATGCCGCAGACACTAAGGTGACAACTACCGGGCCCACCAAAACGGATTCGTCGGCGCCTACGGACACCAGTATAACGGATGCCGGCAGGACAGACGTTGACAAATCTGACAACAGGCTTGTGCACCGCAGCACCAATGGAACTGTGTACCATAGCGAAGATACGGCGGGAAACGCCGCGTCTCCGAGAGAGATGAGGATATGTTCTGTTCAGACGGGCAAGGATTCAATTATGTCCGACATTGCTTTGGGCGATAATGCGAATGAGTCTCTTGCGTTACCGGCAGACTCCGAGCTTCCTGTGGATGATGCGAATTCCCCTTTCTATACTGTTAGTCGTATTGTTGAGCGTCTGGACTCGGAGGATATGAAAGGCTGCATCATTATGCTTGCCGCTAGAAGCGATTCCTCCGTGAACGTGGTGCCTTTAGCGGGGGGTATTATTGAAATTTATGACGAGCACGAACGCAGCATCCAAGCTGTTTGGTTGAATCGGTCGGTAGCAGAGAGGTCAGACGTACGAATTTTGCTGAAAGCGCTGATGTTGCGCGTTTTCGCACATGCCTACCAGATTAACTTGCCCAATCGGCGTTGCACGAAAAGTAACAAACTTGTATCCATATACCAGAGCATGCTGGTGACGTTTCCGCGCGAGTGTGTCTCATTTATCGAAAAGGAGATGCTGCTGTCTAAACATTACGAGTCTTACGGCTTCAACGAGCCGCATAATGACAACCCCAAAGTGCCATGCAGGTGCCACAAGATTGCGCCTGATGCCAGCGAACTGTTCTACGGGATATCTGAGACTCGCTTCAACAACTTGTATACATCGCTTTACGAGAAGCTGCTGTTCGACTCCATCGGCCGGATGACGCCCATAGTGAAGATGTATCCCGCGACTTCTTTCAAGCACGAAGAAAAGGTAGATCAGATTTCAAAAGCGGTGCGCGAAATTGAGCGGTCCCTCAGGGAACAGAACGGTGCCAAGAAGGCCCGCAAGGCCTGACACTGAACGGCTTCGCCGCCGTTGCGCTTTTTTGAAGTACTACAGTCAATGCTCATTGTGCAGTTTGCAGGGCAAACTCAACGTTGTGTCCAGTTAAGATATCGGAGCTAATCTGTTGCAGTGTCGGCGTATGCCAGCTGCCTTGATGACCAGTTGACCCCATTGTTTCATCATTTCAAGCGTGCATGACACTCTTTGATGCAGTGTTAAAGTGTATGGAGCCAATATGAGAAGCTGCTGCAGTTCATTGACGCCTTTTCATGGATGCAGGACCGCGCAAAGCAAGGCATGTTTTAGATACAAAATCAAGACTGAAAGTACAACTAATGACGACCACCGTCGTCCGAACGATGCTGTATCATACTATCGGCGCAGCTACTGGCGTGGACTCCTGTCATCGAGCGATGTACATATGCACGAACGCGGTAAACACTGCAAGCGGAACGCAGCTCGTGTGTTTCCCTGTGCAGCCTTAGACAGTCGCACTAACAGAAGCGATCACATACAATATACATCCCTTCTTGTTCCATGTACGTTTTTGCGGCGAGTAAACGCGCCTCCTTCCTTTGGAATCTACGCGCGAGGGTTACCCTTGCAGTTGTTGCCCGGGGTACACACGGCAGGGAATTCTTTATATTTAAGCATGACGATACATTAGGTTAAACTTCGATCGGCACTGGAACTTGTCTAACGCTGGCGGATCAACCTCGCTGTGCTTCTGTGTTGACTCAATTCTCCGCATCCACAATGGCCACTCTACACATCCTAACTTCGCGGTTGTTTGGCAAAGCCGTGCCTTCCGAGCTTCTCGGAATGTCGGTAGCACTAGAGGTTGGTGTACTTCCGTTGACTTTGACCAGCGTCAGCCCGGACACCTGTATACACGTCGTTTCTCCAGCCTTCTTGCGATAAAATCGACGCCGTCTGACAGGGTCACAACCAAGCATGGATCTGATGCCACATGTGAGGTTAGAAAGTTTGCTGATAGCTCATTCTTTCTGCAGGCTCGATGCGGGGTGTGGCGCCGCTGCTTCAACACTGGCGATGGCAATTACAACATTGACAGGATACGCAACATCGGCATCAGCGCGCACATAGATTCGGGCAAGACGACGCTGACTGAACGCATTCTGTTCTACTCGGGCCGTATTGCTGCTATTCACGAGGTCCGTGGGAACGACGGCGTGGGTGCCAAGATGGATTCCATGGACCTTGAACGTGAACGCGGCATCACGATTCAATCTGCCGTGACAAACTTTAGATGGTCAGTAGAAGAGGCCGCAGGTGACAGTGCTGTCGACTACATGGTCAATATTATTGATACCCCGGGACACGTCGACTTCACCATAGAGGTAGAGAGAGCGTTGCGCGTACTGGACGGCGCGATACTGCTCTGCTGCGCTGTGGCTGGGGTTCAATCGCAAACACTGACGGTAAACATGCAAATGGACCGTTATAAGATTCCGAGGATTGTCTTCCTCAACAAGATGGATCGTGACGGTGCGGACCCAGAGCGGGTCATCGGCCTAATCCGCCAAAAGCTGAACATCGATCTTCTGGAACTGCAGGTGCCGATAGGACTTGCCAATCGCTTCGAGGGCGTTGTTGACGTCATCGATGAGTGTGCGTACCACTTTGAAGGCCCCAATGGCCAGCATGTGGTTAAAAAGGAAGTGCCGGACGGATACGCTGAGGTGCTCCGCTCGAAAAAGATGGCACTGCTAGAGAAGCTTGCTGACCTGGACGATGAGTTCGCGGGGGAGTATCTCGACAACACGTATACCACGCAATCCATGCGTGACGCTATCCGACGGTGCTGCCTGTCTCACAAAGCGTACCCGCTTCTCATGGGTTCTGCCAAGGGAAACAAAGGTGCTCAGTTGGCTCTCAATGCAGTTTGCCACTACTTGCCCTCACCGGCCGATATAGAGCAGTGTGGTTACCTGAATGACGAGAAGACGGACGCGCTTGACGGCAGCCACAAACAACCCTTGGTGGCCTACGCTTTCAAGATCCAGGATAGTCCCATGGGGCAGCTGACATTTTTGCGTATCTACCAGGGAACAATGCGTCGTGGCCAGCAATTGTACCTGGTGGAGGAGGGCAAGAAGCATTCCACAAAGAAGCTGTTCAAGATGCACGCCAGCGATACCGAGGATGTCCCTGAGGCGTGCAGTGGTGAGATCGTTGCAATTTCCGGACTGAAGTGCAATTCCGGTGTGACGTTCACAGACGGGCGGCTACAACTTACAATGGCTCCCATATTCGTCCCCGAGCCGGTGGTGTCACTCGCCCTGAAGAAGGTGGACACCCGCGACATGGCACGCCTGTCCAAGGCGCTCAACCGCTTCAAGCGCGAAGACCCAACGTTCAAAATTACGGTAGATGAAGAAAGCAAAGAAACGGTGCTCAGCGGGATGGGTGAGCTCCACCTGGGAATTTACGTCGAGCGCATGAAACGAGAGTATGGCCTGAGCGTTGAGACAGGTCCACCCATCGTGAACTACCGCGAGACTGTGACGCGCCGAGTTGACTTCTCCTACACGCACAAACGGCAGTCGGGTGGCGCGGGCCAGTACGGTAAGATCATCGGGTACATGGAACCGATTGGTGAGGAGGCCAACCGCCACCTGCATGTCGAGTTCGTGAACAAACTGGTGGGCAACGACATACCGCCGAACTACGTGCCATCCATAGAGAACGGCTTCCGCGAGTGTTGCAAGAAGGGTTTGCTGTCTGGGCGCCAAGTTGTCAATACACGTATAGTAGTGACGGATGGCCAATCGCACGAGGTGGATTCGTCGGACATCGCATTCAGGCTCGCTGCCAAAGGAGCGTTCGAAGAGAGCTATTTGGATTCGAGCCCAATCATTTTGGAACCTATAATGCAGGTTGAAGTAGTGACTCCGCACGAGTTCCAGGCGTCGGTGCTTTCGACGATAACCAAGCGCAAGGGCCTAGTAACCGATACGTCTGCCTATGGCAGCAATGTCATCCTACAGGCGGAAGTTGCGTTAAGGAACATGTTTGGTTACATCACTGATCTTCGCGCTGCCACAAAAGGCCAGGGCGAGTTCAGCATGGAATTCAAGCTCTACCAGCCAATGAATGCAGCGGATCAGGAAGCGTGCTCCAAGGAATATCAAGAGAGTCTCAAGAAATGATATATCGTTGCACAAAACAATGCAGAAAGGCTATAAGCCGGAAATGAGTCGGAATGACGACTGACTCCACGAGTCATCCTACTATCATTGGTCTATTATGCACATCGTCCCTCTAGGGGGATGCCTGCTAACAAGGGCCAGATGCGCCTGAAATGCATTAAATGTTATAGACTTTTAGCAATGTGTACCGTCAAATGACATAAATAGCTGGTCTACAGCCGCTTCGCGGTACCGGCGACCGCCGCTAAGCCGCTATGGAGGACCTTCTCCAGGTACTTAGCAGCCTGGTGTCCGACCGAGTGCGTCACTTCGAGCTGGTGAAAATCAAGAATGACTTAGCGCACCGGAAGGCTTATATACTGGTTGCGGACGGAGGTATGTCTACTGGTTATGATATTCCGGGAGATATTTCGCAAAACTAAAGCACATTAGCTTCCATATAACAAAGTTTGTAGACTCATAACGCCATAATAATGCGTATAGAAACGTTAAATGCTCTAATAATGTCGTAGGGCTGCACCTGGTGACCTGCTCCCTTGGAGGTCTCTTGAAGGGTGGGAGATTCATGTACGACTGCATCAAACGCGTCGAGAAAAGAAACAATGTGATTACTCTTCACTTCACTGCCACTCCGGTAGGTAAAGTGGTCAATGTTGTATATCATGCAGGGTCTACCGGTGGAATCGCTCGACATTGCAATGCCAAGTGACACCCATCTCTACGCCAAAATAAAGGTTGCTATGGGCGCCAACCACATGCGTTACCACTATGAGGTATCCATGACCGGTGTTGCATTTACATTTTGCAGGAAGCTGAAAGTTCCTCTGATGAAGGGAGCGACGACACCTCAGACACCGAGGTTCCAGAGCGGACGCTATTGCCCTTTCGAGGTTACAAGAAGGTCACGTTGAGGGGCTACTTCTTTTTCATGCGCGATTCGTTTGAGCACACGTCATTCACGAGCGGTAGCTTGATGCGCCTGCAAGACGTTGGCAGAGGCATGTCCATCAATGTTAACATACGTGAGCCGATGCCCGTGCATTCGCCGCACCTGGTAGGCAGGTTGTATTTGCATCTCATCATTTTTAGGAATCACCGCAAAACCTTCATCAATATACTCGTGGTTTCCTGAACGATTTGGGTTTGGTGGAGGTGCTCGTCGACGGTTATTACAACAAGCGCATGAACCTGAACAACGACCTCGCAACGTGGTCGTGCTACCATGTGCTGGTCAAGACCGAGTCATCACTGCTGGCATATTTTATATTCCGCCGCCTTTACATGCCGCCGATGTTTGATATATGCCAGGACATTTCAATGCGTTTCGAGGTTCCTCTAAGCAGTACGTCAGCTGAATTCGCGTGTTGCACTTGTATCTAGGCGTGGAAGACAAGCATTTATCGGTGCTCTATAACGAAATATGTACAACTGCGAATTCTCTCACCCCTGTGGATGAGTACAACGTCTGGTATGTCACGATTATATTTCAACAACGCTGAGTAGGTACAAAGACCTCATCCAAGCTCGATTGGACACCCTCCGCTTTAACCATACCATGTACGCCTTTATGAAGCGCAAAGGAAGTATAGTCCCGAGTTACAATAAGCTCATTAAGGGGTTCATACTATCAGCGCTTCGTTTGCTTCCGCGTGACTGTGTGGATCCCCATGTCATCCAGGCGATGAAGGATCCGATGGCCCTAACAAGCGATGACCCAATGGATTATATTTATCACGTGAAAGCACTAGTGTTCGGTATCGGCGACGCTGATGAAAGTCCCGAGCGCAGGGAACTGATGAACCGTTTTGACATGCGCCTCGCTGACTATATCGCAATTTGCATCGACGAGCTGTTGATGGGCAGCCACCTTTCCCTGGCTGTTTTCACCCGTTACCTTAACGCCATGCCCGACGACGCTTACAAAAAGGTATAAAAGCCGATTTTGCAAACCATTTTCCGCAGAAGTTATATGAAGTAACGGCATACCTCGTCCACTTCCGCTCGAACGACTTTAATGAGGACTACTCCTCTTCACTCCTCAACAAGATTATAGAGTCCTATCGTGTGGATATTGGTCATGTAAGCTGGAACTCCGTCATATTCAACCACTACGCAACATCGGTGAGTAGTACATATCCAACGCTCATTTTTCGAAGCGCATGATCGAGGAGGGGTTCTTCATCCACCAATATGCAGAGGACCTGCGGCATAGAGATGGAAAGTACAACCCCTACTTGACCCTTGTAAGCGATATACTGGAACAGTGCCGCGGGGATATAATAGTCGAACGCGTGTTGAAGAAGTTTCTGGATATTCCGCAACCTATCGACGCTTCCTACCTCCCGCTGCTGAAGTGTTTGATAGGAATGTTGCGACGAAATGTTGGCAACTATAAGATCGTGATGATCATCACTGCGATATTGACCAACTTCAGCTTCCACTCCGCGGCGTTCAAGGATCACATGATCCGTCACGGAATAGCTTCGGTTCTGATCGACAACATGTTGTCCAGCGAGGTTTGAACTTGCAATATGAGCGTTATATTTCGCAGGAACAAATAGTGCTATCCACATTGAAGCTCATGATAAATATTACCAAGGCTACCGAGCACCAGCAGGAGTTCATTAGTCAAGGGGTGATGAGTAACTTTATTTCCCTGCTAGAGGTACAGATGCACCATGGATACCGTTATATAACCTTTATACAGACTTACTGCGGAAGGCACATGGAAATTGTGAGCTTATCCGCGGGTGTTTTGGGTCAGCTCTTCAATTACAAGCTCCTCCGAATGACGGCCAACCAGTAAGTGCCCTCTACTGTCGACGCAGAATTTTCAGACTTGAATTCATAACAGAAGTCATGATATTTTCATTCCACATTGGTTCCGCTGACCCGAACCATATGGTGATGGTATGTGCGAGACCTGGCGTGAATTACTTTCGCAGATTATGTTTTGCCTGAAGAAGGTGCCTAAGACGGGCCCCGTGTACATTAAGATCGGCAAGCACGTGATACGTTCTATCATGCTGGTGCGTTTATCATCGTGTGTTCGATTTCCATTTTTTTGCAGAACCTCAAAGTTTATAGCGATGACGACTTTGTGGTCAACGCTCTGGAACTTTTGCTGGAGCTGTCTAAGCGGGTGCAGAATTGCATCGTCATGCGCCATATAGGCATCCTGGATGCAATCGCTGAGGTGCCGTTGAACGACACGTTGGTACAGATTGCCAACAAGCTTAAAGAGCGGGTGACACTCAAGACACGTTGCGTGACATTAAAGTTGCAATAGGCGCACGAATGCAGCAGTTTCAACTCTTAGGCGTCAATTTATTCACATTTACAATTCAAGTACAGTTCTCATGCATTTCAAAGTTTTTGAAAATGCTATTAGGAGAAACGCAATCTATACGCTCCTCAGTTGCAGCGAATAAGAACTATGGAGTCTGTACGAGAAACTACTCTTCACCGTTACTCTGCTTTATCCGGTAGTTACGGTACTTCCACCTCAGCGTATTTATGAGTTGGTCGAGCTGAATGTGGCTATGATCCGTGTCCTCATGGAACTTACGCTGTTGATATGGCAGTAGTACTTGAAGCCGTGCCAGACGATGGTGAGATATACCACTACGACGAACAAAGGCTGAAGGAAGAGCGCTGCTATCTCTCGCCTCGAGAAGTAATCGCGCGCCTTCGGCTTATCGGTGGCGCTTGTCTTTGGGTCTGGTGACTTCTTGTAGAGGGTGCTGAAGTGGGATCTGCTTACGTTGTTCAAACGATATCTGCAGGAATTAATCGGTAGGAACAGTACGCGGAGTATATTTCCGCGTAATGGAGTCATTTACTACATACTGATGCCGGCAGCGCTCACGGCGTTGGTGATACACAGGTGGAAGCGCGCCATGGTATCGTACGCCAGTTTACGCATGGCTGAGTGTCTCAACCATGTTTATTAAAGCCGCGGTGAACCTTTCGGGCAGATGTGTGTTTCTGCCGCCGGTTCAGTGGCAGTTGCAACACGTCAGGAATCGCGTGTCTATATCTTCCTTCAAGCAGTGGAAGGATCTCTTGATTTTCAAAAGGTGGGATAGTCGCTGCATATGGCAACAGTATGCCTAAAGTGTTTGTAGCGTCCATAGGTCTTATACAGTGCCACATTGTGGAATCATTTCAAAGTTGTTTGCGTAAAGTGTATGAGAAAACCGCAGGGCGGAACAATGCGCCATTTGCGTATTTCGCAGTGAATGAAACGGCTGCTATATTCGCAGGTGTTTTGCGCAATTGAGGCAGGGAACGGATTTGCCGTTTTATTTTACGCAATGTCCATTTTTCGCAAATGCGCAACCCTTGTCGTTTCGCACGTGATTTTCGCATTTCATTTCTTTGTTGCAGTTTTCAGTTTCTCAGTATCATTAGAATGTAATGCAAGCTAGCGTCAGTATTTCTGTGCAGTATTCTTTTATGTTAATAACTTTCGTTACAGATACGACGGCCATCACGTCTGGAACTTGCCCCAGCTTAAGCCAAACGAATTCGGATTCCGACGCATTCGGCGCAAACCACCTTTTTTTAAGGTACGCAAGTTAAGCTTCCCCAAGGTGACAAAGTCTTACTCCCCCAGTCACCCCTTCAATCGCACGCTGCAAATCGAATACAACTGGCAGGGGTATTCTGCCCTCTACCACGAATTTCATGACGCACTGAGGGAGCAGATACCCGGTGTTAGCATCCATGCCATCGCAAAAAGCGGCGACACAAAGCTCAAGGTGTCAACCGAAAACGGTTATGTAATTTTCGATGCGGCTACGGACCGATACAGCAGTGTGAAAGACGTCATAGAACACTGTTACCGTAACATGCTGAATAATTAAAATATCTGTTTCACGTGAAATATATTAACTAAAATGTGCCAATCTGCTGATTAGCGTGTGATTCGGATACTTTTTCGTCAAAATGTTGTGCAGTGCTTTTACGTCGCTATGGATCCTGGCCTTGCCTTCAGCAATGCACTCCAGAGATTCCTCCACGGCATCTAGAAGTTTGGTGTCCACCGCATATCCGACTTTATGAAGGGCAGAAAACAGACAAACTAAGTCCCACATCGACGCAAACTTAATTTTTGTTCCCAGGCAATTAAGCAGCATCGAGTATAAATCTCGATTCACTATGCCTGACTCAGCGAGGCTTACAATCGTGAGCCTGACATCCAATGGCCTGCAGCTGGAGACGAAATCAATTTCTTTCATCATATAATCCACGATTGCTCTGATGGCAGACGTCCACACCGTGTCGTCTATCTCGTGTTTGCATGAATCGCTACACTTCCGAAGTGCATTTATAGAGTTGAGAGAGCACGTTACTTCCTGGGGCTTCATACTATAGATGTAGTTGGCAATGTTTTTGCAGAGGTGCACGGCTAATCCGTGCACCATCTTTGCTCTCGCGAAAGCATTGAGAAGTACGGCAACGTCCATTGGACTCACATGCGCGTTCGTGTTTAATATGTTATCACCGAAGCGGCTATACAGCTTGCGATCTTCGAAACCCACCTTGGAAAGCCCATTCAGGATGTTCACCTGATTCTGCATGTTGAAGCTTTGCAATGATTCGTAATAGGATATCCGGCGGCATAGGGCCTTATAAAGGTCAAACAAGCCCTCTGTTCGCATTCTCTTGTAAAAATAGGCAGTTGCCGAGATCGTGTTTGCGATGCATTGTGGAGTCATATCTGCATTAGCGAAGGTGAGGTCCAACATCAAAGCATCAAACAACTTAAAGTTGAAGAAGCGCAATTTATGGAATGCATTGAGAATAGAGACTTTGCATCTAGCAGTGAAGAAGTGGATATTTTCGGTGACCCTTTGTACGATAGCGTCCATCAACTGCACGTTCAGGAATGAAACCCGCGCGACACCGTTGGCGATCTGCGCAATGGACATGTAGTCAAACGCCCCCGAACGCAAACGTTTTATGATAATCGGTGCCAGTAGCGGCATTATTCCCCTCTCATCTTTGCCGTACCTGCCTATGGAGTTCACAAGGATCGCCAGAGAAGTATCGCTCATCTCTTTGAATTTGCTGTCAATCACACCAACAAGCACATTGAACGCGTCCGATCCCTTAAGCTTATCTTGATTTAACATTACAACTCTCAGTGCCATTGAATAATCCCTCTCGTTAGCGAGGCAATCCTCGAGGCCGCGGCCGTGCCTATTCAGTACTGCATTTAGGTCGTCGATCATTCCGTGTTTTCCCATCGTGTGAATCATCTTCGACAGCTCCTGACCGCCCAAGCGGTTTACGTGCGACATCACAATATTGATTACGGTTTGCATTAACTCGGGCGGCATGACTCCTACTTTTGAGAATGCGTTCAGTATGATGGTGACGTCCCTGATGTCGTAGCTTGCCAGTAGGCTGGACGCACCCGTAATGCGCCCTGAAAAACTGCATTCATTGTTGCCTAAGCTTGATGAGCTTCCATTTGTGGCGTTATGGAGTGTTTGAATCGTGGAAGATGCATTTTGGCGTAAGGGTTTCTGATTGCCGAGCTGGTTTCCAGCAATTACCCCTATCTGACTATCTCCCCGTGCGCACTGTCTGGAATCTTCGGCCAAAAGCCGCGCTGAAACTTCGAGCCACGATTCCTTACGGTGCGGAACATCCTTCTTCGAAAGCGCGTTGAGGATGTTAGACACCTGCACCCCTTCAAGGTGTGGAATCGCCTTCAGCAGCTTCCCAAAAACATTCTCAAGTTCGCCAACGGAAGACGCCCTTGCCGCACTGTTGAGCAAGAACGGCAGTTTCATGCGTTGTTTATCGGTCTGACTGCGGGCCATACTCCGGTTGGTGTGTACGACACATCGCCCGCGTTAAGGTGGCTGTGCCGCGACTTTATAACATTCTGTTGACTTTATTTACATTCATACCAAATGTAAAGATGTAAGTAAACGACGCTGAGTGCTACGGCTATTCTTCTGGCTTCGGTTGTTCGATGGACCTAGCGAACGTTAGAATGGAAACGGCTAGCACCTGGATTTCTCCAGGGAACGCTATCATTTACAATATGGTCGCAACATCAGATGTTTATTAAATGTGTATGTTTCATACAACAATGTGTATACGAGTTCGGTTGTATCCTTTGCATGGAGTTAGCGACGTGTCTTTACACCCTTGCTGAATACGGACACTCCTCGAGCCCATTCTGTGTCTTCTACACTGCACTAGTCTCTCCGTTTGGAGAAGGTGCATCGTCTATGTAACTTCCTAGGAATGATACTCGCCAACGTTTCCAATGCGCTGTTGATTGCTGCGCCGACAATGTTACCTTTGCCACTTTTACTGACTCTGCACGATACCAATAATTACCTGGAAACAAACGGTTAATCCAGGTTGATTAACGATGGTTGTTCTCTTTAAATTGTTGGTATTGGTCTCTATAGTCAGAATTGTTGAGACCAGGCACATCGCAGCAGTTCACCCATCATCGGAGCATCAGCGCCTCCATTCAGATGCAGAAAATGTAAAAAGTACGTAACTAGTTCGCATTTCAGACCTCTCAGATTATGTTGGGATTGGTTACGACGCGGTGTTCGGTAATCCGTTGGGTAGCTCCGGTCCGAGCAACGATTCGGGTTACAGAAACCTCATAGTTGAGTCGCACAAAAACGCTTCCGATCAGCAAGGCAACAAATCTCAAAGCAATGGCGTTTGGACTAGAGAACTTTCCACGTGCTGGAGAAGCGACAAACGAGAGGGAGCTGGAGACGAGGATCTCATGCGCGACCTCCAAAATGAATTCCAGCTGGAAGGGGCGGAGAGCAACGAATTACTGGAGGCAAACCTGCGCAATATGATAGCCAATGACGAGCCCAACACGAAATCTGAAAAGTATACGGTGGCGAAATCGTTTTGCGCAACAAAGGAAGGCGGAATAATCTTGCCATTCAAAGGGTACGTCATGGGTAACTTCTTTTGTGCGACCTAGGGCCGTGTCACTGCCATATTTGGTTGTAATTGTTTATAGTCGAACAACTATCATTTTCGTACGATTATTTGCAGGAACTTGTCACCATTCTTCCTCAATGACGTTGGCCACTTGCCAAAGGAGCTCTCGGGAATTGAGACCTGCACGCCGGACGTTTATATCGCAGAGCCATCTAATAAGGCATGCGATGCTGTTAACAAATGGGTGCAGTTTTTCAGACGTTACGGGACCCACATAACCAGCCACGTAATTGTAGGTAAGTGTCGGTCTCCGCATGTACGCCTGCTGATGCTAATTGCACCGTGACGATGCTGCAGGTGGCCAAATCATATTCATCGATCGGTCAGTTAAGCAAGAAGTGTCTAAACGGGCGACGGGTGATAAACCCGATGCGCCTGAAAATGTGTCCATCGTGCACAATTTTAAAAGCGTCATGAAAGGCCGACGCGAATCCCGCCAAATGTGGGTGGTCGGAGGGTTCTACGTAAAGGGTTTGGAATCGAATGACCTACATGCATTAAAAGTATGGGCTAAAAGCTTGCGTCAGCGACCAATGCCTATACGTGCGACATTCACGTCGCTTGATCATTTTCTTGGTGACAAAGCAAAGGTCTACCACGAAGCAATGCAGTTCTACCGGAACTTTCAGAGTGTAGCCAATGGACATTCCCTCAACTATCGCACCTTTAGTCAAATGTTGCGTGAGACGGTCACTGTAACTGCGGATGATGGCATTGCCCGTTGCCCTGCGAACATGGCAGTGGTAGCAGGTTTCGTGGTAACGAGAACTGATCCCATGCGTATCGACACGTGTATTCCCTCTAGGTTTGTTAACAATTGGAATGGACGCTGAATGCATTCACAGGTCATTCTGCGCAAGTGACGTGCTACGGGGAAACGCTATAGCAGTAGCGCTATGTGCCAGAGGTGGGGGATTCACCATGACTGCAATTGAGTCAACTGGATTTCGTGCCTGCCCCGATGATTTGGTGGTCGCTTTCGGATTCCAGCTATACAATGATGGTTCTGGCTCCCTGCAAGTGGCAGCATGCCCGTCAGGTTAGTATGCCCTTAACGCCATTGACCGATAACTAGGCCGTGAAGATTGCGGAGTTATGCCGAGCCGGAACGGTGTTGAGTGGAAAGTCTGCGCACGCCGTAAGCTACTGGACTCATCATTTGCGCCCGTCACCAGGGGTGCCAGAGAAGGCGAATTTAACTTGGTGCCGTGCGAGAATCCACAAAAGGTCGTGTCGGGTGAGTTTAACCTGCCAAACGCACATAACCTCAGGATTCGTCCTGATACGCAATCGCTCAAGACTAGGGATTTCTAATTGCTCTCCGAACCTGCCGAACTGCAGCATACGATGCTCCTTCGGCAAATGTATGGAAGGCGTGTCTTATGCGTTGTGCATATGAACAATCTCGACACGTTGTCAACACCGGAAGGAGTCATGCGGTACCACAGTTGTACGTCTAAATGCGGTTTAGTTCGCGGTGCAATATGGCTGGCCATTAATTGTGCCACAACAGTTTCCGTTTGAATTGGCACGTATATTGCATTCTACACGTCAGTTGCAACGCATTTTGTCGTCATACAAGTCATATAGACGCATTGGAGCAGCGGGAGACCGAAACCGTAGAGGAATCCATCACCGCCTACGCACACCAATGGCGAATTCACACTGCTTCAATTGGCTCTAGACGTACACAGATGAATTAAGACACCTAAGTAGTACATAAGATACCGAAATGGGCCGTTTATGTCGTTAATACAACCCATAATGTGTTAACAGATGATGGTTTAGGGGAATCTGTCCATCCGATGTTTCAAAGCCTTTGTTCATAATATAGCGCACATCTGGTCACACACTAAGTTTAAACGGATTCTTCCACTAATTTCAGTGGTTGTAAATTGGTAACGGGCGATAATTACGCCCCAACAGCGGATGGACTTGTATCTGTCCCAGCGCGCCGAAGCATCCACCACACGGCGGCAGTTGCAATCAAACTAACGATGGTCGCGGACGGCGAGTACAATTTCTCTCTGACCACGTTCAGCCCTAGCGGGAAGCTAGTCCAGATCGATTACGCGCTGACTGGTATTTCCAAAGGTGCGCCAACTCTGGGTAGGTTTTCGTACTTGCTAGGCTTCGATAACACGTCGTCGCCATTTATGCGGGGTAATGTATCCTATTTCAGGCATCAAGGCGAAAAATGGAGTCGTTATAGCTTCGGAGAGAGCCACCCTCTCTCCACTGGTGGAAGCAGACTCGATATACAAGATCGACCACGTCACGCGGAACATCGGAGTTGTGGCCGCTGGCATGCCGGCTGACTTTCGCATAGTGCTGAAAAAGGGCAGGAAGGAGGTGGGTGTTCCAGCGGATTCATTTGGTGATTGGTTTTGCTGACATCAAAACCCTGATGCGTTGTGTGATATGATTTCAACTACGAACGTTGACAACCTCATACAACTTCACACAACAATTTGCAGGCTATGAAGTACAAGATGATGTACGGCGATGACATACCAGGGGCGGAGCTGGTAAAAGAGATCGCCAGCATCATGCAGGAGTACACTCACTCCGGCGGCGTGCGCCCATTCGGAATATCGCTGCTGCTTGCATCGTAAGTTGCTGCCCAATCGATCACATTTGTTGTGTTTGCGTGCCCTATCTATATTCTGTGCCGCAGTTATACTGTTGTTACCGCCGTCGCCCCTCTGGTGATATCTGTGACCTACTAATTAGAGTTAAATTAGGTGTGGTTCGGTGCACCTAGGGGTTTTGTATATCAGTTCTTTGTAATAAATTTGATATTACTATTGTCTAAAACTTTTGCAGGTATGATGAGGCTGGCCCGCAGTTGTACCAAATCGACCCCTCTGGAGCCTACTTCGGTTGGAGGGCCACTGCTATCGGCGGTCGTATGCAGAACAACATGACCTTCCTGGAAAAACGCTACAGCGAGGACTTGGAACTCGAAGACGCTATTCATATCGCTATACTTACATTGAAGGAAGGTTTCGAGGGAGAGATGACTGCCAACAACATAGAGATCGGAGTCGTTGGCACGGACGGGATCTTCAAGATTCTACCCAAAGACATTATCAGCGACTACCTCAACGAGCTCATGTGATATTGACTTGTCTATAACCGAATAAATCTCAATTTCTATCAGTTTCGGTAAGACAAGTCGTTACACATGACCCTTGTGCGGGGATACACCCCCCTGTTACCGTTTTAGACGCGGCAAACTTTTCGCCGTATTAATCTAATAACTTAACTGCTTTAAATTGCGCTTGATTATATAATCTGCGGGGCCCGGTGTAGCTGCCGTATGCTGTAGCGCGATGGCTGAGCGACAGTCGGATGCTACGGCAGCCTCATCGGAGGCAGAAGGCCGCCCGGAAGTCTTCCATCTGGACGTTTCAAAGACTGTTGGAGACATCCGTGTGGTATTGAAGGGGCTTTCTCGCATCCGTAAGTCTTAACGCTAGTTATGAGTCTAAGCAACGCTTGCGCTCTCAACTTTTTGCGATAACTAACGCATTGTTTGAAGCTATATACTAATGGGCAGCGTTCAAATGCCTGTCGAATGTGTGTGGTACCGTAGATGCGTGTATATCGTGTTCGCACGTATATGAAATTGCCAATAATTTTTTGCGAAGTACATAGAAATGCTTCCTTGCTGCCGCATAGGAAATCACAGCTTTTCAAAACTATGACTAATGTTGCCTAGGTATTTCGACCGTTCAGCCCGAACTGATGTCAATAAAGAAGGCTAACACAATCGAAGAGCTGCTTTCGTTGCTAGATGAATCCCACGGGGTACTGCAGGCGTTCACAAAACATGACATTATTGCAGCGACTGAGTAGATTGGGACTTTTTAAGAGCGTGGTATCCAACGTGCAACGGGGAAAACGCCCGGGTGACGTTGATGTTGTTTTCGAGTTCGAGGAGAAAAAAACTTCGTACTCCATTGGTGTCACAACGAATCAGAAGGCGGAGGGAAATGTCGTGAGTCTGCAGGAATGCGCTCATCATTGAGTTTCAGGTAATAACGGGCGAAATACCGGGAATCTTCGGTTCCTGCAACTCCGTTTCACTGCAGCTTAACAACACGGGCTACGGCTCACGAAAAATCGCAGTAGGTGTTACAGTGGAACATTCGTTAGCATTTTTCAGGCTTCCTGCTTTATGCCGCGTAACATAGGCCTTCCGAATTTTACAAGCTTATTCCAGATATTTACATCGCAGAGCAACTTCACCAACTATTCGTCGTTTTCTACGACTGCCAATGGGATGTCGTTCACGTTATCGGACACGAGCAAACGTCACCAAATATCCTGGGAGGGTTCTGTGAACGATCTTTATCCCATATTTAACGAACGCCGTCGAGCTTCCGAAACCGTGCTTAGGCACGCCGGTCGGTCTTTGAAGAACGCTGTGTCGTATCAGTACATTCTCGACTCTCTGAAGGGCGATGGCATTCCAAATGGCGGTCATTGCACCCAGTTCAAAATAGTAAGTTGTGCTTCGGAGCTCTATATCCGTCGCAGGAGGCAGGACTTCCCGGCGGGGATCGGCAGTTCCTAAAGTTTGATTACAGCATGCTCTACGCCACCCTAATACGGCAGAAGTACATCATGCACGCGAACCTTTCCATGGGATACATGAGACCATTCGGCACTTTGTTGAGTGGTACTAGCTTGCTGGACCGTTTCCATTTCACCGGCAACGGAGGGGCTGGCACCGCTTTCCGCGGTTTTGGATTCCGTGGCATAGGACCGTGCGATCACGGTTCAATTTACAGCAGCGAGAAAAAGGAGTGGCAACGCATACCGGAGTACACAGGAGGTGACTGCTACAGCAATTTGCAGCTCGCGGTCCATTGCCCGCTGCAATACAAGGACTACCGAATGCCGCTGGCTTTCGGCTTCCTCAACGTAGGCGCACTCACCGACATAGAAGGGCGCAGGGCGCACGAGAGTGTCTACGGCCACATGCTCCGTGAGTTGAGAATGTCAGTTGGAGCGGGGCTTAGCATGTCTGTGGCACCCGGCTGTTGGTTCGAAGCATTCGTTGCGCAGCCGCTGCTGAGCTCCCCGACCGACACCGTCAGCCGAATGCAAATGGGACTGAGGTTTAAACATAACATAATGTGATCGGAATGTTCATTGTATCGATGACAGACTGCTATAGCTGCACAAAAGGGCTGCTATAGGCACCGACCCACGGCACAGCATGAAACATGTCATTAAAAATCGCGATTAAAATAATTGTTGTTGGCCGATAGAGGTTAGTCCATGCGAACAGCTACTCCTGGCTTGAAGCCTCTTCTTGTCTGCGGCGCTCAATCTCGGCCTCGAAGCGTTTTGTGTCGAAATGCATCAGGATGAGCGGCGTGGCGAGCATAAAACAACCAAATCCTCCCAGAAAACGAATCACTCTAAACGGTATCCCAGGCTGCGGATTTACGCACTCGTTGACGACGTTCGGGTTGTACGGGCGCGATGACGAAAACAGACGCGCTCGGGCAACGGTCGCAGCGAACCGGTGGATCTCGCTGCCGCCCAGACAGCGCATTTTTCCTGCTTGATTTTAAAAGGTACAAATGAGTGTAGGAGTGATGCAGGGGGTCTTCGCATCTCCTAAGGCCACGGTGTCGTCGCGACCTGTGGTGCTCTACGCCGCGCGCATCGCCGCGGTGTCGTTTTGTCTTCCGTTGAGTACACATATGGGATGCGGCGGTTGAGGCTCTATGTATTCATATGCCTGTGGCTCTGGCCGCCTTTGGCGGCTCTCGGCCGAGACGACCTGCTCAAGTTGGAGATTCCAGAAAACCACGGCACTCAGGAGTAAGCGACGACACACATCATCTCAACGTTGTCAGACTCTACAAGGCATTCAAATCGGAACCCAAGGAAGAACATGTAGAAGAGCGAGTAGGCGATTTGGTGGCATCCGCGGCTTCGCAGGTGTGTCTACACATTCCGTACTGATGTCGTACCGTCGCGGGACTAGACATAAGACATTTTGAGGCGACACATGCATCGATCTATGCTTCTATGTTGCATATGTGTGTGCTAGATGCCATTATCCAGGCTTATGTGTTCTCAGGAGAGCCCAAAGGAGATTGACCCTTTCACTTCACAATGCGTACGAGACTTTGCTCAACCATGTCCAGAAGGTTGGACTAAGGTTGACGACATGTGTGAGGCGCCAGCCTCGTACAAGGGTGACTGTGCACGGTCGGTGGACACGAGCGAATTCACGGTGGAGCGCAAAATGCTTTTCATGGAAGACTGCAAAGTGGAATGGCCCTGCAAGAGCGCAGTCGACAAAACCGATGCGCAGTACTGTCAGGATACAGAAAGAAACTTTCTGCAACCGTGTCCGGAGAACTTTCTGCGGCATAAGCAGGACTCAGGTTACGTCTGCGTCCCCGACTTCTCCGGATACATGGGACCATGCAATTCGATCGTGGACTTCACAGACTTCACTAGGGAGTCGAAGATGATATGGGCGCAGACATGCGGTACTACGTGGCCATGCATGACTGTTTGTCCCAAGGTTTTCGATCGCTGTCCACTGGACTGGACCATGGCACCGGACGGAGCATGCGACGCGCCAGCGTCGTACAAAGGACCCTGTGAGAAACGCGCATACTTCACGTATTACACCCAGGGTACGTTCATAGTGTGTGGTTGAGCGGTTTTATGTCGTTTGCAGAGATGAAGCGCAAGAAACTTCTAGAATGCGATATCCCTTTCGAATGCAGCTCCGATTGCAAGCGTGACTACAACAGGTGCCCTGGTATTTTCCTTTTAGATCTCGACCAATCTTTGCAGTGCTTTGGAAAGAAGAGTCAGGTGGATATTGTGTGCTTCCCAGCGGTGCATTCAGTTGCCGCGACATTCTGATCGATATTTTGAAGCAGGCTGGCCGACCGCATGCTACCCTGGGCAGCAACGCGTTCGATTTGCGTTCACTGGACATCGAATCGAAGAAGCTGTTCGAGTCTAAATGTAGCAACGTGGTGTTTCCATGCATGGAGGACGATGACGGTATAAATTGGTCGCTCCAGTGCCCCAGAGGTTGGTGACTCAAACTCTACATGGACGCTTGAGCAGGTTGGACAATAAGCGCGGAAGATCTCCGTAGCTGCCGCCTTCCTAAAGTGAACGATGAAGATCTTTGCCAATCGCAAGTCATTTTCAATGACGAGGAGGAGAAACGCGCTTTTGCTTCCCGTTGCCAGATCAACTGGTCGGGAACGCAGGGGTCCACTACCCCAGCCACTAGCGCCACCAAAGCTGCAAAAGAGGAAGACCACGTAAGCGGTCCAATAACAGGTATCGAAAACAATCATCTATTTATATGCAACTGCAGACATTGGCAGCGTTCATGAGGTCAACAAGACACCCGACCAGGCACCGTCGACGCCTCAGGCAACAGAAAGGCAACAGACCCGATCAGCGAGAAAGAAGTTACCTAGAGAAAAGATTGTATCTGCCGTTCGCGGGGTATTAGACGTAGGCCCCTACGTCGTGGGACAAATGCGCTCCCACAATCGCAGGCTCTTCAAGGGGTTCACCCGAGAAGTCCATTTGTTGCCAGGGTCCACATAGGACAGTTCAACAAAACAGTTAATATAGTTTAAAAAGTATATATGCGATTTTATCGATTATATTTGTCATTTGCTGTGGTAAAAACTTTGTAGCTGCTGATCAATGGAGCGTGAGTGAAGTCTCAGCGATCAGCGTGATACAGAGATGAGTGTTTTAACAACCATCACCGGCATTTTCATCCCTTGCCGCTCAGTACCAGATATATGAGTATTGATATAAGTGCCCATTTGAAAACGGGATTCTCGTTTAGAATGATTGTGAGGATCCCGAACTTGGGTATCCGCATCAGAACGGTTCCAACCAGTTGCTTGCCGTCCAACCACTTCTGCCCTCGCGAATAAAGCCCACGGTCTGCCACGTCGTTGTTGTCTCCCTTGGTCAGCACGTTCACTTCATTGCTGTTTGCGTGCAAACTTAACGTTCGGTGCACAATTGGTATGTCTCTTCCATTCACCTTAAAAACTACGATATCGCCCGCTGAAACCTTCTCATGCTTCATGAGGAAAAGAATATCGCCTCGGTAAAACGCAGGTTCCATGCTTCCGCTGAGCACCACCACCACGGGGGAGTCGGTACCTGCGATGTTTTAGTCGGTCAACGAACACGCAATTAAATTGTCGAGACACAAGAGACCAATAAGAAAACAATTGCACCTATTGCAAGCCACAACTGAAAATTCCGAACGTAAAGAATGAATAATGGGACGGAATCCGCCCTTAACCTTACTAGGGGACTAAAAAGGCAACAAATCAGCAATACTCCATGGCGCAACAAACGGCATCATTCATCAGACCAATCACTTTCAACCACAGTAACAGATCCTTATAACTCCGCAAAAATAAAATGAAAACCAGAAATTCCTAATGTACCAACACGCAACGTTCACTCATGCAAGAGAGACAAATGCTCCCATTCTACCAGACGACCCCTTGTAGTGAACAACATACTTGACCAACAATAGCTCTTACCTGTATAGAGGTTTGCCGTCTTCCAAAGCATAAGGGCGGTGAACAGCACGCAGGCTGTGGCAAGCAGCTGCTCGATGTTCTCGCGCGGGCGCCTGAAAAACTGGCGCACGTCGCTTTTGAGGCGCGAAAATTCGCCCTTGATGTAATCCATACTTCATACAAGAATGTGAAGGGCACCGTGTTCACGACACAGACCCAATGATGTGCGCGACATCCGCACATCTAGACGTGTCGGTCAGTAGACATTCTTTCATCAGAACCCCGTTAAAGATACCACCATATTGTTTATACATCCTTATACTTTCTATACAGACTGTCTACCTAGAATACGCCGCAAAATATTTTCCGGATTTGACGTCCGTGTCAACGATGTTCTGCGGCGTCTACCAATTTCAATCCTCCAGCCGCCAATGTATAACTTTATTGAGCCAGTCAACCTATAATATAGAATTCAATCGGGAAATCAAGCTATAGACCGCAGAATCTGAATACAGTGACAGCCTTCCCAGGATTCTAGACAAAATACGGCTGTCCGACATAAAATGTTATCCATACCTTACACTAAAGCAGCTCACATCGTACGCTAAATTGTTTGTATCCAATCGGGGCGGCGCGCGTCGATCTTGCCCATAGGGGATGTGCACATACCCCCGCGCGCTGCAACTCAGCCACTCTTTATCGCTATCGCTATATATAAAATGCCGCAAAACGAGTATATAGAAAGGCATATCGCCCTTCATGGGCGGCGTTTCGACCATGAAACGAGGACGTAAGTTCGATGGGATTTATGACTGTGTCGCCGTTTTAGAACGGCAGGCCGCCGCGAAACGGGCACGACTCGATGTGTCGCTAATATTATGTGTAATATGTGCAATGGAGAAACGGCTGAGCCGGAAAATCTTGGTTTTAAACGCACCAGTTATATTGGCTGTACTCGATTGCACGTACCACGTATATGCCGCTAAAATGTTCTGTAAACGCGAATTAACACCCTTTCAGCCGCAAGAAGGCCGCGAGAGCGGCTCATACGATGAGCAAGAAAATACAGAAGATGCGCGGCATCAAGGCCAAGATCTTCAGGATGCGGCGTTATGCGGAGAAGGTCGAAATGAAGAAACAGTAAGTAGATGTTTGCATACGCTATAGTAGATGGCGCCATGTCAAACGAACACACTAATTCTGCGTTCAGGATCAAGAACAATGAGGAAAAGGAGGCCAAGGAGGAGGTGGTTGCGTCCGGTGAAGGCGCCATACCTGCCTACCTGCTCGAGAGAGGGGAGGTTAATCGCACAAAGATCCTGTCGAACATGATCAAACAAAAGCGCAAGGAAAAGGCCGGGAAGTGGAACGTCGTCATTCCGAAGGTTTGTTGTTGACCACGTTGAAGTGACATCACTCAGGTCCGGCAAATGAACGAGGCCGAAATGTTCAGGGTCATGAAATCCGGCAAGCGCAAGAAAAAGCAGTGGAAGCGGATGGTGGATAAAGTCTGCTTCGTCCCGGAGGACTACACGAGAAAGCCGCCAAAGTACGAAAAGTACATTCGGCCCACCGGGCTGCGATTCAAAAAGGCGCACGTCACGCATCCGGAGCTGAAGACCACATTCTTCTTGGACATAATATCGGTGAAGAAGAACCCGCAGTCGCACCTCTACACGAGCCTCGGAGTGATCACGAAGGGTACCATCATCGAGGTTAACGTGAGCGAGCTGGGTCTGGTTACGCAAACGGGAAAGGTCGTCTGGGCGAAATATGCCCAGGTCACCAACAACCCGGAAAATGATGGCTGCATCAACGCAGTGCTGCTAGTGTGAACATTGAAATTGTCTGTTTCATATGTTCCCTACAGCAAAGGTACATTGAGGGAATCGAGTAAATTGTTCTCCAGATCCCCGACAAAGCTGTCTGCAACATAATCTAATTCACAAAATAACCGTACCTATTTGTATATTCGGCTGGAGGTCGGCTCTGCTGGTGTTGTCACGCATGTCGCAGTACGCCGAGAGGAACTGGTTGATATAGTACGTCTCGGAGTACTGCAAGTTCGCGATGACGATAACCGACTCCTGCATTGACAATTTATCAAGCGCCAGCCTTATCTTCTTGACCCTCTGGTATTTTATGTCTTCTATTATTGCCGCCACCTTGGAGATGTAGCAGTACACGTGATTCCTGTTTGAGAGGTTGGGCACGTTCACCCTTTCGAATACGTGCCACCTCGTGAACAGGTGGGCTATTTCGAAGAAATAGTCATTCGGAAGTTTCTCAAGCGACTGGTTTTGCTCTTCTCGAGCTCTCAGTGCACGCAGCGCGCTGCGTGTCAAGAAGATCGGGAGGTCCACGGACACAAATCCAAAATGCGATAGTCGTTCCACCACATAAATCGGCAACCAGGCTTTCTCTCCTGTCTTAAGATCTTCGAAAACATATCCCTGTAAATAAAGATCAGAAAATTTTAAAGTTCGTAGGTCACGCATGGCCTAATGTGAAGAGCGATAGTACTAGTGCAAAAGCGGAGCAAGCATGTTGAATGCGCGGTAATGGACAATACCTCGACAGTATGACAACGGATATAAACGCACCTCGTATGGCGATAGATCCACACCGGGGACGTCGACAATGGCCTTAACGACGATTGGCTGTCGTTTCGCTCGCTGCAGAAGCACTTTGGTCACCAGGTTTGGCACATAATCGTATTTAATTGGCAGCGGCTTGTACGCATAGTCGCCAGAGTATTTCGACGGGAGGTACTCGCATTGCCTTGCGAAATGCTGCAATAACTGCTGGTGGGCGAACACGTTGCCTGTGATCCTGTTTTGCCGTATGGTAACCGACGCTCCTTCGTCGTTACGAGCAAAATTGTGTGACGCCAAATCCACCGGCCTCAGGAAAGTGTATCCGTTTATGTATATCTGCGATAATCGGCAGAATGGGTTGGCGTTGGAGCCGAGGAACCTGAACCCTGCCTCAACGTCGAGCATGAGCTCAAATACGGACTCGAGGATGTTTATAGATGAAGATGCGCCTATACTACGCGCCGACAACTTTTTACGTAGGGTCTGCGGGGGTTTTGCCAACAACATTGCGGAATATACCTCGAGCTGACGGTAGAACTCGTGCTCCAGGTTAGGCCGTGCAAGGATCTCGTTGTTCCCAAAGGCCATTTGATCCCGTGCCTGTGCAAACACATTATTAAGAGCGCACAGTTGTTACACCGCAATGAAATAATGCAACAGAAATGTTCCCATATCCACACCTCAGCATAGGCAGCCGCATGAGCACTACCATATTATCCGTCCCCAAAACGGAGTAAATATGCGAACAGGAAAGCAAACAATAAATTACATGTGTATGTAAACAGCGAGTACAATGTATATAAGATCGTGTATGCTTACCCAAATAACGTAATTAAGTGGTTTGCACAGCTCGTTGTCGATGGTTGGTCGATTGGGGAGGTAATAATCTTCATTTTGCGATGAACTCTGCGTAGTCGATTGCGACTGTGTAGCCGACCGAGTTCTTGAATGGTCAGACAGAATACCACGAAAAGAGCTCCTTCTGGTGGTTCCAGTATGCGATTCAGCTGTTAGAGAGGACCTCGATATGGAGGTGTGATCTGCTCGGAGTGACCATGAATCTCATGTTACATACCAGAGGCGGCGCTAGATTCACCCTGTGACCTCCTCGATGTCCTCTTACGCTTTCGGAGGAAGTCGAAGCTGGTTGACTGGCTCCCGTCCGGGTCGAACATCGTACGAGAGCCGGGGACGCCGCGAAGGTATCCCGCAATCAGTCCAGCCGTGCTAATATACCGCTTCGCGCAGCACGGCTGCGAGAATGAGGCGGATGTCTACGGGTCAGTCGCGCGCACGAGTCGTTTGCGTTCCCCATGGCGGGAATTGTGTGTCGGCAGTGTGACTCCGATCACCTCAATCTGTTTTCCATTTAAAGCGAGGCGCCTCACACTTACTTCGGACGGCTCTTGGTAGGTAAATTTCCCATAGAATCTCCGAATATCCGAGATTCCAATATCATGCTTGGCGCGTGCTGCCGCGGCGGTTGAGCCCTTGAGACTGCGAAGAAGGCAGCGTTTTCCGGTATGACTATGAGGCTGATTACTTTACGCTTGTACGGCAACTGAATGGTCCACATGAACACAAAGGAATTCATTGTATCCTCTTCTGTTTTTTATTCTGTTTTGGCTTCGACGGATCGGTTGCAGTTGCCCGCAGAGCTTACTCTGAGGCGTTTCATAGGATTTTACGCCGGCTATTGTTAAAGAATAATTAAGACGCTATACGTGTAACGTGTCTTTTGGTCTTCGCCGGCAGTATGAGGAGCATTAGCAGCTCGAGCCGCTCCATGAGCGTAAGCCGGAGCTTCAGCAACGACGTAAAACGTTCAACCTCCCATTACAGCAAGAACAAAGCAGAAGAACCACGGCAGTACCCGGGCAGCTCCACGGAATCATCTCCGGAGCTGCGCGCGAGGCGCCGCCAATCGGATTCCCGGGGATCCTCGTCACGTTCACGCTCGTATTCTAAACCGAGAAGGCGATATGGTCGGGATACAAGCGAGTTAAAATCTAGATCTAGATCGATACAACGATACAGGATACGCTCCCGTAGCCCAGTGCGATCGCGAAGAAGGCGTGCGTCAAGCTCTTTATCGTCGCATTCGTACAGCTCATCGCACAGCAGCAGGTCGCGCTCGCGTTTGCGCCGCAGACGCTCTACATCGCGAACTAGACGCGCTAGACATCACCGCAGAAGTCGGAGCATTTCGGTGGATTCGCGTTCCAATTATCGCCGCAGGTCGTCAACCAGCAGCAGCTACTCACCGCCCCGCCGGCGTGACCGGTACAAGCGTGCCGATGACCCACGCGACTATCGAAAAGTTGCTCGGGCTCCTACAAAAGCATATCGCAGCCGTCGTGATGCGGAAGATCGCGACAGAACGCGAATGCGTCAACTGGTGGCGCGTGGTAAGGAGGCTCCCCTACGGCCGCTGAGGCCTTACTCGAGGAAAGGCGTTCATCAAACTCGCCCAGAACTGCCGAAAAGGGTGAGTGTGGACAGGAAGGTCCATACGCCGTTCCTACTGCGCATATACGCATTCATGGATGAAGCCGCGGGAGGGCCATGTGACCCCGAGGAGGATCACGAATCTCTCCAGCGGCGCATAGAGTCATCGGATTCTATAGAAAAATTGGAGCTATATATTTGGGCTGACAACACGCTGCGGGATTTGGTCAACCTGGTGAAGGACCTGTGCGAGGCCGCCAGGCAAAAGGAATGCACGTGGACCTTTTATAGAAACAACCCCGCTCGTGACACGTTGGGTAAAATTCACGCCTACAAAATACGCCGTTCCACTGATGCCATCACGCTAAGCAGGGTGGGATTTCGTGTGGGAGATTCCCTGCTGCTTGCTTTTCGTGGTGTGGCGCCGCCGCCCGCGGAAGACACGCAAATGGACGTCTAGTTTGCCATTGGCAACAAATGTAGCAAAGTAATACTGAAACAACCAATAAATCAAAATGATACATGGTTTAAAATGAGGAGGCACACGCTTATGCCCATAAACTTGTACTTCCATTCCAACAAAAGGGTAGGTTTCGTGCCGACGGGCGCGGCTGAACGCACGCTGCGGCGGAACTGTAGCCTTCCACGTACATCAATAATAACAGTCCAGTGTATATTCGTGATGTGTCCCAGCTAGGGCTCGCCCAGGGCAAATTTACGCTGTAGTTGCATCGCCCCCTTGCGTAGCGTGCACGCTCTTGACCTTCTTATGTATAACGCAGGAATGGCGCGCCCGGTACATGGACAATGGCATAAAGAAGGCAAAGCACTTCTCCTGCAAAAGATACAGGGAGAAACGTTCTTTCTTTCTCGCCTCTATGTTCATGAGAGCACTCTCGGAGTACCACGAGGTGCCAACGGATGATTTTGTCGCTTACTGGGCGTTGAGAACCGACAATTTTGCCGCATTTGGTGATGGAGCGGCGAGCAGTCCACGCGCGGCCGATAACGCTGGAAATTCGGCAACGACAACCTCAGGGGAGGCGGATTCCGCGGTGAAAGAAAAACAGGGAGTTAAGGATTTTCGCTACAACAGTGTTGCGGAAGAGAAGCCATCTTTCACTAGATTGGCGGAGACTATAACTGAGTATAAACTTGTCTCTGATAGTAATCGGGCGGATAACATAACAACGCCATGCATGCTCAGGCACGACTCCTCGGGTGACCTGCTTTCGGAAACATCTAGGGAAGAGTCGGACATAACGTCGGAGGCAGGAAGCAGCTCAAAGGATGAAGTCGGTGTAATGCAGTTGCAAGATAACCCCAGGGTCCAGAATTCTATCTTTTACGACGGCGATTTAACGGCGTTTTTGCAGAGGCAGAAACTGCTCTACCGTGTCATTGAGGATTTGCAAACATCGCTGTTCGTTTCGAAACCTTCTGTGGATTTCGTGCCCAAAATAAACCTGGCTTCCATCGAGAGTGAGTACATCGTTGTTGACAAGAAGCTTTTGGGCACAAGGGTTCCACAGCAATCGGTATCGCAGCCGATTCGACGGCCTTTGGGAGACGATGGTAACGCACCTTCGAAACGTTCATGCGCGCAAGGAAACGAAAGGAGAACACTGTGCCCATCACAATACACACTTGACCGCGTGCTAAAGAAGTGCGCAGATTGCGTCCCGGACGATCGCCTGGCAAAGAGCGTGCACCTGCAAAAGCTAATCAACATTCTTGGAGGCAAAAACCCAGCAGAATCATATGCAAACGAAGTTTTAGATGGTATATATTATGTTAAATCGATCTGTGCAAAGACACAGGCCGATTTTGGTCCCGGAGCATTTTACTCCCCGTCACTGAGACATCCCATAGACTGCCTAACCGAAACAAGTTCAAAATCAAGCGCGGTGCTGGACAAGAAAGTATTCTCGGACAACACGCTGTACAGCCCGCAGACCGCTTATATGATTCCCAAGAACATCAACGTGCAGCTGGCCAAACAGAAGGACGAGGCGCTGAACGGATCGGACGAAGAGGCCAGTAGCCGGTTGCGCGTACCGCGCATGTCAAATAGCAAGCTAGCGCATTTCGTAGAATCGCTTTGTGGTGTCGACTTCGACCAGAAGGTGATACAGAATTCGCTAGAACAAAATTCAAAGGAATGCTGTGACCTCCGCTCGCTGATTCAGCTTTGCCAGCGTGAATCTGAGGGAGAAGCGGAGGGCGACAGCGAGGCAACTGCAGCTCCCAACGAGTACTTCTCGAACACATCCAATCATGTGGGACACATAGACGGCTTCAGCACCGCGCCGGTGACGTACTACAAGAATCGCATTCTCCCCAACAATGCCATGGAGTTCTACCACAACACGACGAACTGCGACTACAAGAAGGAGGGCATGGTGCGGATGCAGGGTGACGGACCCCTGGACGTATCCTTGGACACATTTACGACCTTCGACAATCGCAGGCAGAACTTGAGCCACTACCTGGAGGCTATCAGCACACTGGATGGGCGCATTAGAGAGATACAGCAGAGGTCGGAGAAGATGCACCGTGCGCTGCACCAATATTCACAGAGGGAGCACACGGACAGCGTTAACGACCTGCAGGAAGTCATCAACCTGGAGACACTGCTATTCGTCTGTGACACACTTATGGAGACGAAACGCAGGCTCCACGACGAGCTACGGCGCAGAGTGCAGGATGAACTGGACATGATCAACCACATCCTGCCAGAGCCGCTGGCGGACTCGTTGACACGTATATTGTATCCCAGCATGAACTCTTAAAATCGAAAATTATTTTTTAGCATTCAGAACATCCCAAAATGTGCGGTATGGTTCTGTCCATGTATCAGGGTCGAACAATGACTCGTCCACGCGGCTCCACGTGTGGATGCACGCCTCCAGCCACTGGCTGTGCACTCTCTTGACACCTGGCTTGGGCGCGACCGCCGACGCGTTGTTGTTCAGGTAGTGCGTCATTGCATGCTCCGAAGACGGCGGCAATGCCCCAAAACGAAGTGCTGAGTAACCGAGATCCGACCTGTTGAAGAAGTCAACGTCTTCGCCAGTGCGCGGGCAACGGAAGTCGTTGCGGTTGACCCCGAGCACCACGCCCCGTAAAACGGATTTCCGGCGCTCATTTAGCAGCACGCCCACGTCTGGGAGCGCTCTGCCTTCAATAAGGTGTTTTAGACGCTCTAGAGTAAGCCCCCTCACGTCAACATGATCAAAGAACCGGCGATGCATCTCACTCAATAGCCCCATGACGCACTGTAGTTGGCTGTCGCAATCCCTCACCCAGATTTTGCGCAGCTTGCGAGTGCATCTGTTCGGTTGTGTCGATGCTGGGGACGGTACCGCCTCCCTGGAATCAGTTGACGCGCCTTCCGGTGAGGTAACTTGATCTGGTGACGATTGCTTTGTCTTACCGCCAGACTCAGAGTCGTTGCAAGCATCGACCGCTGGGTCCTTGTTTTGCTGGTTCCCGCAATCACGTTCATCCGACGGCATCGTCCCCATTGCATCCTTATCGCAATTATCCGAATCTGATCGAGCATCCGGCGCTATATTTCCATCCGTGTTCTTCGCCTCCGACAAAACCCGTTCGTCAGCCGGCGGTGGAAGTTCTGCAGATCGAACCTCTTGCAAGCTATCTGATCCTGTACCATGACCAGCTGAGTTGGATGCCCCTTTGGTCACGGTTGTGCTTTCAGTCCCCGCTGTGTCCCGATAGATGTGCGATGGTCTGGAATTAGCTATAAGCAGATTGTTGTATCGGAACGTTGGCGTGCGTTTCTTCGGCATTTTTAGATTCATGGGGATTGTAAACCCCTCGTCATCGCGGTTGACACGATCACGAGATTCGGATTCATTCCATATGTCCATGATCAGGGAATGCCACACGTAGTTGGAGTAGTTGCAATGCGCTTGGAGAGCCGCCGATACACGACCTAGGTTTCGAGAATCTCTGTTCTTTATCAGGGTCATATCCGTGAAATAGTAGTACGGGTAAACCTTTATCAACCCGGGGGAATTCATCCAAATATGCTCCGAATCATCCAGTATGAGCAGATGATTACGATAATTGGGGAAGATGCGGCAGAGTGACTTGAAACTGTTGTTTGTTTCGGATCTGCTGAACACGCGGGAGCCAAACAACAGCCCTTTGGGATCCAAAATCTTCAAAGCTGCCTGTGCGTGTGTTCTTGTGCCCATAGTAAAGAGATACAGCTCGTATTTCTCGGACGCGTTGCGCAAAAATTCGTACACGCCAGGTCTGAGCTTATAGTAGTTGACGAAGAAACGGCCATCCAGTTCATTAAGCGTGTGAGTAATCAGGATCGAACTTTCAAGTTCAGCCTCGTATCGCATGTTGTCCGCCTCGCTATCGAAGTGCAACTTGTAACCATCCGATCGGCTATACATGTCTATGAAAGGAATATCCATGTCGTCAGGCGGCTTCGTGCATGAAGAATGGATCAGGGTGTTGTCAAGGTCCAACACCAGGCATAACTTTTTTTTCCTGAGCAACCTGAGGAGTTCCATAAGTTCCATCTCGTTAGACACTTTGGCGTCCACCAATACCGCATTGTTATTGGTGATGAAACCTGGTACCACCATTTCTGGAGCTTCAGACTCTCGATCACCCGGAGACTGCCTTTTTGCATTTCCTGACGCCGCCTCATGGCGCCGTTTTGAGCTTGCGTCATCAATCACCTGACAGCAGGTGACACAGAGGCCATGTATAACGACACTGTGCTCACACTGGGTGCTCTCGATAGTACCCAATACGACAGAGTCATCTGTGATAACCGTGTCCGCGGGGACCTTGTGTCTCAGTGTGCCATGCCTGACGGACCTTAACACAAATGAGCCTTCTTGTACCCTCCCACCAAGTTCCATAGATCCTCCACGTGACCCTGAGGCGAGTGCAGACATTAAATTGTTGGAATCTGGAGTGTCAGATTGTTTGTCTTCCGACGAGGAGCTCTGATGCGATGGTCTATCCAACTCGTCTGTTTTAGTGGATATGCAGCTGTCTCCAGATTGTGATACCAACGACAAAGATGTATCTGCATCTTTAAGCGCAGAAACACGTGAATCCTCGACGACATCTTGGCCACTGTTGGTGGACTTAATGTGCTCCTTTCCGATACCACTGCCATTATCAACGAGCGAAAAGGTCGCTAGGACCTGGTTTTCGACTACATTTGCACCGTCGCTTACTATCCATCGTATTTTCGACGGGAGCCGCAAATCTTCGGGGACTGTTATCGCACCCTCTGGTAGCAGCTCGCTTTCCAGCCAGTCCTCGAAATCGTCCTCACTATCCACATTTGTTGACTGCAAATATCATTATACGCAAGAATCAAAGCACAATTAACAAGTGTATGTTGCGTTTCATAGCATTATAACTATTCGAATCAATAGTTAGCAGACTTGCAAATCAATGGCAATATTTACACATGCAACAGGTCAATAATATCCGCATAATAAGACGCATAGAAATTAATTTCTTCATTGAGTAAGAGCGAATTTCAGATGTTTAAGATAAACACTAAGTACAGACAACGCATATATCGCAAAAGCAGACACATACTGTATCCAATACCTTAAAACAATAGCAACGTTGTATCAACCCGAAGGAACGGTAGATTACGCCAAGATAACAGATACGCAATGGCAACAGCAGATATGTAAGCAGGTGTTATTCACCGTAGAAGTTTAGTCAGTGACGGCAACTCATATTACTAACGTACCTCACCGGTGGTCATCTGGGAAGTAAGCAAAGAAAAAGAAGCTGCCGATGCGCCAGACAACTATAGTCTCGGCTATTATTAGATAAATATGACGGAATCCTTGTAGATGGAGGATGATATCAGCAATTAAAAAGCGTACACACTACCTGCACAGCCCTAGAACGTCAGTGGCTAACCTCCCAGTAAGTAACGTAAAGTCGCTCACATATAGAGTATTTTATGTGTAAATGGTTAATACACGATGCTCGGGGCTGTATGTGAGTTCAGGAAAATGTGTATGGAGAATGCCAGTGACGTAAATGAGTATAACAATACACGCGCAAGGGCACATGGATTACTGAAATTTGAATGGCGTAGGAGTCACACGTTTATATGTATAGTGCTCTGTATATTGCTGGTACGTGTTACTGGCTACATAGAGCCTCTAAAAGCTCTTGTAACTACGACGTAGCCGTAACAAGCCGAGGCTTCATATGGGCAGCTCGTCATAGACACGCCCCTATGTGGAACCATTTTTACTTTACACATCGCAATATTTACAACACTGGTGTGTTTCTGGTATGAAGTTCGTTATTACAATAACGCGGGTTTCTGTCCTAACGCGCCTGCACATAGCGATGCAGCACAAGTGCACCCTAACAGAACGCCAAAGGCGGCAACATTACTCGTAAAGGCTGTCAATTGACACCAACAATAAGTAATTCCCTGTTGCCAATAAGCTACCTCGGTTTTATAGTAATATCGACGGTAACTCGTGGCAACTGGTTTTGAAGGTGCGCTGAGCGACTGGATTGCTGGCGTCTGCTCAGGGGGTTTGCGGGCGATATTGACGCACATATGTACAATACAGACGTTGTATAGTATCGGCGCTCAAAGGTGTAGGCATCCCAGCGTACAAACTGATCATTCTGGTGCCATGGAGAAACCGGATGCTAATACCGCTGCGCGGTCAAAGGCCGATCGCCAAAGAATCCAAATGAGCCTGGAGCGCTCAATTGAGGCACACAGACTCCGCATGCTAAAGGCGAGATCGTCAAAACTTGATGCACGGGGGTCTTTATGTGAATGCATAAACTGCGACGCAACGAGCATGAAACCGTCTATGACATGTCGTAAAGCGGGTAAGCAGAAGCAGCAAAGGGATGTAAATAAGGAAAGGGTTGGAGGATTTATACATGATGTTTCACCAGTATCATCCCTGGTAAATGCACCGCCGTCGCGCAGACAATACAGCTACAACGTGAGTCTTCGCAATGGAAACGTCGCGACTCCCAAGGTGAATTCGTATGCATCTGGGTCGAAAAGATCATCTAGGACGGAAGTTCCCAGAAAGGTGCCAAATGTAGTGGAGATGTCGCATGCTAAAGCTATGGATGCGCGTGAGGATTCTGTTGTTCCTAGCACTGCTCGGGAAGTTGCAGTCAATGAAGCTAACGTATACAAAAATGATGCCGAAATTGTGACTAGCGCAAGGGAGGGTGACATGCTACCTGTCAACGATGATGAATCTTCGACCACACTGCGAGAATCTGCTCGCCAGGAATGCGGAGGTGCAAGCTCGCGAACGGATGAAAACAGCGATTCTCTATTGAACAGAATCGCACGACGCCTAGGAAGTATCAGAATTGTGGACTCCATGGGAGAAGAGCACCGCATAGACACCAATGAATTGGAAAACAGGATTTTGGATGTGGTTGACAAGATCGTCAATGACAAGTTGGCCAGCAAAAACACTGAGGAGAAGTTAGTTAACAATGAAAACACTGATACGCAAATGGCTGATGGAGATATCAATGCCACTGTTGTTCCCATTGACCGTTGCAGTCCTAAGAATGACGTACCGGATATGACCAAAGTCGAATCGGAAGAAACGGTACCATCGCCTAAGAGAGAAGAATTCGGCGTCGAGGAAGAAACGGATAACGTGTCCATGAACAAGTATAAGAATGTGGTGGATGTATTATTGGATTACATTTCCTGTGGTGTCGCGCAGAAGCCAAAGGCAACGCCAGATGTTTTGAAACAGGAATCCTATATTCTCGCAGACGCAGACTCCCTCCGCATGAATCAGGTAGTATCGAAGACACCGGATTACGTCGACCCAACGGTGGAAAAAACGAGCTTGTTGACGAGTGTCTTTTTTCGCGGGGAAGCTGGGAAAAGGTCCAACGCATGTTGCAACGGCGGTGAGGAGAGACATGTGCCCTCGGGGCCTCACTCCGTTTTCATGAACGACACAGTGAGCAACAGCGGAGATTTTGGCTTTATAAAACCGAGTCACGCGGCTTTCAGAAAAGAGGCTATGAGTGTTGCGCCGAGTAGACAAATGTCACAAGCAAGCGCTATCAGGCATGATGGACCCTTTATGAACGTGGCGCCGAACTGGAATCATGGTGTCCAATATGTCAACCATGCAAACATGATGATGAACGGGCACAGCCCATACCACTTCCAACACATACCACCGCAATTTGCGTGCAACCAAAACGCGGTTTATCCTCCACAGTGGCCTGTCGTGCAAAACTACCAGAATCAGTGCCATCTAATTGCACCTGCCCCGAAAATGACGGACAGGCAATTCACCGCGCCGTCGAGAAGACAGTCTCTTGTACGCCGCAACATCACTGCTGTTCCAGGAGTCAATGCTATCAACAAGCCTCAGCGCGCATTTGGATCAATGCAAAACGTTGCTGGTGTGCCATTTGCGGCTTATAATAGGCCACGTCGAGCTGCCACGGCCAATCGCTCCCCTATGCCTTTCGGTGGCATGGCATCTCCCATGGTGGCAGTACAGAGGCAAGCAACCGGAGTGCTGTACCGCAGAAACACCGGTAGAGCGCACGAGCAACAAGTCCAAGCTGCAATGATCTGACCCGAATTTAATGTAGTTTTAATAACAGGTGTGTAAATTTTGCAAATTGCCGTAGCACGTGGTTAGAATGTGAGCTTGCTTGAGATGCCTTCTATTAATATTTTTAATACCTGTATGTTCGTAAACGTCGGCACTCGCGAACGCAGGCCGTTGCTGCCCGTCACGGGCCAGACGGTGTCGGGGTGAACTGACCGGAGAGGCGTTGACACCCATATTGAAGCAAATCGATAAAAGGTTTGTTTGTCTACTGCGCTGCTGCCAACTGTCAAACATGGCGCGGCGCAAAGTTGATGACGAGGATGACGATTCCGTCTTCGGGGACTCCGATGATGGCAGCGACGATGAGCGCCCAGTCAAGAAAAAAAACAAAGGGCATCATTCGGACGCTAAAAAGCGAGCTATTGTTTCAGCGTTTCTAGATACCGAGGCCCAGGTAAGTGGCTTAACAACTGCTCTGGCCTTAAGCGGCAATGTGTAACTCGCCTTAACATTGAGCATAGGTGGGCGACGAGGAAGAGGAAGATAACTACGATGACGACATATTCCTCCCTGACGAGTCTACGGAAGCGGAACGATTAGAGAATCGTAGTAGACTTCGCAGACTCCGCGAGGAGGGTGAACGCAAGGACGATCAGCGCCGCGTTGGTGGTGCCGGCCTGCTTGAAAACGCCATCGACAAACTCACTAAGCGGTACCAAGACCGAACGTTTGATGAAGGTGAAGATGACTTCATCGAAGATGATGGCGAAGACGCTGGGCATGACTGTAGGTTACATAGTTCCAACCCAAACATTACTTTTTAGATGGCGTCATGGAAGATGCCAGTGTCCTCATGCCGGACCTCAACGACCCAAAACTCTGGATGTTGAAACTAAACAAGGCGCATTCATCAAAACTTGTTGCCATAAGTCTCCTCAACAAGTTCCTAAAACTGCAAAGCCAGGGACGGCATTTGGGCATCTATTCTTGCTTCGCTCCGGATGGTGTGAAGGGTTTCATCTACATTGAGGCTGACACGAAAAATGCCATCCTGGATGCACTCGCAGATTTTAGAAACATTAACTTGAGGAAACTCAAAATGGTACCTATCAACGAAGTTTCAAGTATCTACGCCATGGAGTCGCAACAGCAGATCGTACCGCTAATTGGCGAATATGTGCGCATCAAGTCAGGGAGATACGCGGGGGATCTAGCACAGGTACATGAGTCCGATGAATTAAATGGGATAGTGGTTGTTAAAGTGATACCAAGGCTCAAAGAGGAAGACGTGGAAATCGAACAGCAGATTGGTGAGGATGGTTTTCCCATAGTGAAGCCGCCCAAAGAGGCGAACACGAGTCGCCCAAAGACGAAATTGTATATCAAACGATTGTTTGATAGGGAAGCTATTGAGCTTAAGGGCGGTTTGATCGAGCAAGGTTTCACGCCAGGCACTTTCCGTTATAACAACATGACTTTCCTGGATGCAGGGTTCTTATTACTTCGAATTAGCGTGAGAAGGCTTACCGTGGGATCGGCTGTAGATGCAACGCTATCGGAACTTAAGGAGTTCAACCTAGAAGACAATTACGGCAACGTGGCGCACGTCATCAAAAACTCTAACCTACATCTATTCAGGTTGGGCGAAAAGGTACGTGTGACACGCGGGGAGTTAATCAACGTGATTGGTCATATTTCGGGCTTGCACAATGAGGAAATCGAAATACAACCGGAGGACAGTAGCATCCCCAAGTTCCGCATCCATCCATCATCCGTCATGAAGCACTTTAGAGAGGGTGATAACGTGCGTATCATTGACGGTATCAATCAGGGAGAGTCGGGGCTCATATCGTTAGTAGACTTCGAAAAAAAGAATGCTGTGGTGTTCTCGCCCCAAAAGTCCGAGCAGTTCAAGGTCAAACTCGACTATCTAGTGTTGGTGAAAGAGTCTATCAACTTCGAATCGCTCGGATCACTTAACGGTTATTTCCTTGGGGACCTTATACAGTCATCCAAGGGAGAAGTTGGTGTTATAATATCTATATCGAAGAGTTGCTTCAACGTGCTGCTGGACACCAATAACGAGGTCAAATTGGTGTTGTCGGATATACTGTGCAAACGTAGCTCATTTGGCTACAGCTCTAAGGATGTTAACAACTCCACGCTTTACACGCGTAACAAAATACTCATTGTCAGCGGTCCATACAAGAACAAGCAGGGAATTGTTAGGCACCTCTGGAAAAACAAATGTTTCGTGCAGCTCGAGAAAAACGCATACGTTGTCGTAGATAGTGGCACTGTGCTGAACATGAGCATTAGCGAAACCCAGAATCCATACGATCAGCGTGGAGGTCAAGAGAGGGGAGCCGAGTTGCGAACCAAAAGTAGGATACGCATACCGAACAGATTTATAGGAAAAACTGTAAAAATACTCGTGGGACGTTACAAGGGGCTGCTAGGAGACGTAATCTCGGTTGAACAGTCTGAATTTACCATCCTTTTGAAAGTAAAGCCCAAAGTTGTTCGTATCAAAAAGGTGGATGTGACCATCCTAGACAATAGGGATCTCATGGTCAACAAGATGCGATATGCGAGTCTACTCGCCGATAAGGACGTGCCCAAACCCGTGCAGCACGTAACCTCCGTAGGGGTGCCCGATACGCGCTGGGTAAAGAAGGGTGTCGTTGTACGCATTACAGGTAACGGAGAGTACCAGAACAAGCTTGGTGTCATAGACGAAGTTATAGAGGATCAGGCCGATACCGATCTACAGATTGTACACATTTTCGTGGAAGAAGACTATATCGCAATTGCCACGGAATCCGTGGAGGTGGTTCGCCCTACCAAAAGACATCAGGTTGTCATCTTGCTGAACGGGGGCGACCAAGTCGGCAACGTCACGGCACTCGATGGATTCCGTGCAACTGTAACTCTAGAAGATGGGAATGTAGTGGAGGACACTGTAGACAACATGGCTCTATACGGAGCAATGAACATCTGAGACGAGGGTCGCTAAAACATTAAGGAACACATTAGCTGACACTCTGTGCCAGGCGCTGCAGTTCCGGTGGCACTGGTTGTTTGACGCCGTGGAGTATTTCGACTAATTTCTGAGCAAATTTGCCCTTCCTATGGTCGGGGTAATCGCTAACTAGTAGCAGCAGAGCACCGCCTGTGTTGGTGCCTCGCGCCGTACGGCCGATCCTGAGAGACATTATACAAATAAGTTAGCAATATATACCTGTGAATATAGTCCTCAATGCTCCGAGGTATGTCCATGTTCACGACATAATCAATGTCCTTTATGTCGAGCCCCCTGGAGGCAACGTCGGTGGCCACCATGATGTTTATCGTCCCATTGCGGAACTGGCGAATTGCGTAGTCGCGTTGGTTCTGTGATTTGTTGCCGTGTATAGAGATAGCCGAAAAACCACGGTGACTCAGATCCCTAACCAAGTTATCCGCACCCACACGGGACTCTACGAATATCAGCACCTTCTTGTTGTAACCTTCGCCGGACAGGAAGGTGCACAGATAGGGGAATGTCTCATCCGAACGCAGTACCTTGACCTGTTGGGTGATGTTGGGGTTAGCTGTGAGCTCCTTGTCTCCGACTTGAATGTAAATGCAGTTGTTCTTACAGAACTCTGAGGCGAGACGACGGATGGACGACGGCCATGTGGCCGAGAAGAGCAATGTCTGCCTATCAGGCCTCACTTGAGATGATATCATCCTTATCTGCGGCTCAAATCCCATATCGAGCATACGATCAGCCTCATCCAAAACAAAATAACTGACGCGATCAAGACGGACCATCCCACTGGAAAGGAAGTCGAGTAGCCTGCATTGGCATGAGCGAAAATTCAAACAATTTTTGCACAACGAAAAAATATATACGCATTGCATACAGAGGAACCCTGCTGCGCCAGACGCGTAAAAGTAGTTAGGGTGCAGCATTTTCCGTCACAAATTACGCAAATGGCTCATGTGTAACGTCAACCATGTACGCTTTCATGGATCAACAGTGGTAAAATGTACAAACAAAGAACACAGACTAACCTTCCAGGTGTAGCTACCATTATATCGACTCCTCCAACAATCTGCTGTTGTTGCTGTGCCTTGGAGGTGCCTCCGTAGAGAATGGCGCCCCTGAGGTTCATCACACGCATGAACTTCTGGGCCTCCTCATATGTCTGCTGACACAATTCACGGGTTGGTGCCAGTACGAGTATAACTGGACCCATTCCAGGTGTTACAGGAGGTTGTGCCAAAAGATGGAGCAAACCGGGTAGCAAAAATGCAAGCGTCTTCCCAGATCCGGTTTGGCTGACGCCTACTACATCACGACCTGAAGGAACATTAATGCAATGCCGAAGAATGTATTAAACTTTGCAGCTGCCATAATATACCTATTGTGTAGGCAAAAACGTTCACTGAACCCACCTGTCAGACACGAGGTCCAACCAACTTTTTGGATTGGTGTGGGCTCAACAAAACCCATCTGTTTGATTATATTCTGGATGGGTTCATTAAAAACCGCCTCGTCGAACGAGTTCACCGGTTTGGGAAGTGGAGTTTCCCCATCGATGATGATACGATGGCTTTCTAAAATGGCCTCAATCTCCTCCCCAGGTCTGTTGTTGGCCTCAGGACTCAAATCGTAAAAATCCTTCTTTATTTCAACTAAAGGCTTCGCACCCCAATCAATAGTTGGTAATTTCATGAAATATTCATTACCTGGCCCACCTAAGTGTATGTGAGAAACGTACCAACAAAAACATCGCCGGGACAATCTACCACCGAGGATACGTTCGCATATGGCGGCATCGTAGAGTATAAATAACATATCAAAAAAGCACGGTCACAAATTTGGAGTGACCTCACAAAGTTTACTCATCATACGTACTAGCGAGTTTGCTTACCGTTGTATGTCCCGTATGGTTGCCGACGTCTCCCGTACCCTCCATAACCATATTGAGGGGCACCATACATAGGATTCCTGCCCGAAGGTTGGCTGTAGCCATAACGCGCGTTGTATGCGGGTGCAGGATTCACGGGGACGCTATACGGGACACGACTATAGCCCCCCTGATAGTCGTATCCACTACCGGCATACTGATCGCCATATGCGCCAATCCCAAACCGACATTGTATACCAAACGTAGAGTTGCCGGAACTAATGCGATCATGAAGTCTTCGTGCAGCCAGTCCGTCACAACTCCGCTGGCTGGCTCGACCGATGAAGGCTACGCCATTCACTCGGCCAAATCCCAACACCATCTGACTCGAAAGAGTCAGCACGGTGAATAATAACCGTATGTGCGATGATAATTGCACCAAAAGTGGTACAGATGATGGTATCCGGCTCATATAAACACGCCTCGTGCTGATATATCTAACGCGCATCTCAGAACGCAACCCAAGGGGCCATCACAGCACACTCTATGAAGGTAGGCGGACATATTATGCCGATACACGCAGAATGCTGTAAAGAAGGTTGGTCTAAACCGGCTGAAACAGATGTTCAAACTGTGGCATGGGGGCATCAGCAGACAGCACGAATATGTGTACTTAGGTTGCCCATACAACTTAGATGAAGTTATACAGCTCAGTATAGTATATATATGTGTATCTGATGAGGAATACCGCTTATTTGCCGTATTCAGTGTGTGAATGATATGATACGTAGAGTACGCAAGTTGTAGGTTAACCTTCTGGCGTTGTTCATGGATCATTTTAACAGCGCACTTTTGTATGCAGTTACAGTTTAATATTCAGCGCTTATAAATAGTTTAGATGTGTGGAAGGTTCTCAGCAGAAATGTTTTGACGCATCTAACCGACGGTTCGACATCCATCCTGGATTCCTATCAAATACGCGATGAAATTTAAACTGAGTTATTAGTAAAAGATTTAATGTGCTCTAGCTTAATATCCGGGTGTTGTGACGTCGGTGGCACTCTTTTACGAAGCGTTCCAACATGGTATCCGTTAGCATACGACCCAGAGAAGCAGAAATGCTCTGATATGCCCCAAAGTGGAACTTGAAAATGATATAAAATTTTATAAGGGTATTATTACCCTGCTCTTCAAACTCCCATACGGTGTCTAACGTCTCAAACAGATTGCTGTCTGCTGCCACTGCCTGCATCCGCAATGAATATAAAAACGTAATCATTACCATAACCGTGTACATTCAGATCAACGATCATGCGTTCGACTAATCTGGTATCTAACAACGTTTTTCAGTGAAGAAAAGGTAAACAGACGTAATTGGCGCTTGCAAACTATAATTTAATACCGGGCAGTGAGCAATATGAAATGTATAAACTAAAGATGACATTCGCACTCACTCTGACTGAACTGAATGGCTCGAAAGTGACTTTCGAAACGTATGACTCCTTCAGGAGCTTGAAGTTCACGGTAAGCTGGGCCCGGCGTTGACCCCGGCAAATCAATGGTTCCGACGGAACCACATCGTCAATCCAATGGCTCTTCTGCGGGAAATTATACACATGGTAAACGATGTGTAACGAAACGCAGAATCCAACGTTGACACAACGACATACCTCGCACCAAGGCAAAAATCTAGAGTAACTCGGAATATCCAACACCGTTCCGTAAATCAACTTTTTGGGGACGTTTATCAAGTGCGTCTTGCGGTAATTAAATGGACTGCTCGATGATATTAAATTCAAACACTTTAACATTGTCTGCCATTGACGCCAGGATTGAAATTAATGTTACCAATATCAGCGTGTAGAAGCGAAAATGGCCCACCTGGTAACGGCGGGCGTGGTCTAGTGGCTATGACGCCTGCTTCACACGCAGGAGATCCCGAGTTCGATCCTCGGCGCCCGTATTTATCAACTGCCTTATAACCCGTTGCAACCGTATATGGTTCAACACGAAAGTCATTAAACGCCACAAACTTCACATCACCAGTGCATTTCTTTAGTCCTGAGTTGCCTATTATGCAAAGAACCATGGAATATACAATATCGGTTATATTTAGGGGCCTCCCTCGTAGCGGGCATGGTCTAGTGGCTATGACGTCTGCCTAACACGCAGAAGATCCCGAGTTCGATCCTCGGTGCCCGTATTTTCATCACCGTTATTTATCGTCATGGCAGATGAATGTGAGATATTACAAGGAGTGTTTTTGTGCAAATATGTAATTATTGCAGCGTTCTATGGAAGGCCACTGAACTCCTACACCTAACAAACCTAATGGTAGTAGCCAATGTGTTGCTGATGAATACGTCACCTTCGCACTGTGAAATTTGAATTTTTCTGCCACTTTAGTGCTTAGCGGCGAACAGCCGGCAGCCCATGTGTTTGTCCCGCGAACACCACGTCGCTTGCCGCGCAAGTGTGTCATCGTGCTGCAGCCGATAATTGATCTAGTAAACCACTTTTTTAAAATGGGAGCACATGCTTATGGGCTTTTCTTCCGCAAAGGGTGGTTCACGAGGACCATCGTCAAGACCGCCGGTATATTTATAGCAGCCGACGCCTACGTCAAATAGTGAGTCTCCAGGCGCATTGATGTTTTTAGCGCTTATAATATATCCGTCATATTAAACGCAGCGAATACGGTATCGATGTGAACTACGACTTCAACGCGACCGCTTGGAAATGGTGGTTGGACAAAACCCCTGAGGAGAGGTAAGCTTCCCTTAACCTTGTGGCGCCAAAATGCAAAAACGTCTGAGCTTTCTACTGTAATCCGCTTTGCTGTGTTAAAGATCGTGTTATTATGTGGAGTAATGTGAATGATCGGCAAAACGCTTTGTTCAAAATGCGAATGAGGTGGCAGAGCCGTCCAGCATTTTCATCGTTATAGACCAGTGCTACCAACAAATTGGTCGACTATACATCGTACAAATCTTGTTTAAATGCGATTTTGTGTGGGTATCCAATCGCTAAGACAATTGTACATACTCTGCATTAGTGGCCTCCGCGCTACGGGCGCGATAATGTACTGAAAATTCACAACATTCTGCAGGGTGTCTCTAACAAACGAACTTTCGACTGCGAAGACAGATTAGAAACCAATGTAAATGTGTTTTTTGTAACAGCTCTTACGCGAAATATTTGTTTATGCTACGGCGGAAGTGCTGGATGTTGGGGCTATTGATCAATGGCGGATCACGTATACGAAGCCTATGACCCGGCATCTGTCTCGCCAGCTTCACGAGATCGTGTCTAGATACAAACCTGATGCGCTTCTTGTTGCGGCGTTGTTGCGCAGATAGGTGTAATTTCTTCCCTCGTCGACCCTGTTGCAAGCGCTCCCAGCCGAAACGGGTCAGCCTGAACCTTAAAGCTACGCGCGGGTGGTTTTTTAGCTTGCGCTTCTTCATCAACAGTTGTTTAGCCCGCCATTGGCGCTTTATGCCGACCCAGTCGATGTTACGGGCGGGGTTGTAGGCGCGCCTATTACAATACAGAGAGAAATTTGATGCTACCTGCACACTGAACTTAGCCTGGGAAAGACCGTGATAGCCAAAGAAGCCCGCGAACGGTCTGTGTATGACAGCGCGGAGAGACGGCAAGCCTGCGGCGTTACGGCAAAAACGCAGCTTCTTCAACAAAAAAAATACGCTACGCATCATAGATGCGTATACTTTCCGTGTGGAAGCTCGTCTAAAGGCGAAGAATTCCTCGCTGCCCAAGGCCAGCAGGCAGCCTCATGGCGTCGCTCACCGTCATAGACAATAACACATTCCACATTTTTCATAGGTTTAGAAGCTATTACAATGGTTAGAGAATATCTGCACAGGCTAACTAGCTGCAGCTTGCCCGGTTACACGACGTCATAGCAGCGCAAATGTAAGATTACCCGGAAATCTCGTAGGTATTAATCAACGTGGACACAATGGCAATTTTTCGTAAATGCTAACAACTTAGTGTGAAGAAGACCATGCAACTTAAATCGGTAACCTCTGGTGGATTTCCACCGACCACAGCCACCAAACTGACGAATTGGCTCGATCGAGTTGCGTTCGCTAAAATACTAATCATCCTTATATGCCTTACTCTGTGTGTGCCTTGCAGATGTGCGAAGAATTCCAGTGACGGTGAACAAACGCGGAATCATGCAACCGATCTTTACGACATTGAGGGTGAGAAGGTTCCTTCCTGTCAGATCGCGGACATAGCCGAGCTAATCTGTGAAACGCGGACGGAATCTCATGTTAACGTTCCGATTCGAAATGTTATCGGAAACGTTCGAGATGAAAACCAAGATGCGGCGAGAAGCATGTCAGAAGAGCAATCGTTGCATCGAGCACCAAACACCGTTGAATCGATAAACCCGTCGGAGTCAAAGGAATATTGTAGTGGCTGTATGATAGAATCATGCAAACTAGGACAATGCGGCAAAGATGTGGAGCGGTTCACACATGCCAGCGTACAAAACGCTGCCAGGTCTGAAGGTCAAATGAAATGTCGCTGTGAAAGACATCACAGATTGGATGGGAGTAGAGCCCCGATCGACCATACAAGGACGGTTAAAACGAGTAGTGATGATTATAGGGGGTTGTTGAATTCAATAACACTCGATAAATTGCCGCAAGCGCTGTACATAGCATATCGTGCTCCATTCGTGATGCTAAAACACCACTTCGCACTTTACGAGCGATTCGAGGAAAGTGTGATCTGGCACTTCAATCATTATGTACAAGAACCCCTCGCCGGTTTCTATAAGAGCTGCAGCTACACTTTCTACTCGTGCGCCCGTAACATCGTACATAAGGCGCTTGCACAGCTGACTGTTCAACTCAAAGCACGCGCCATGCTTAAAGGTGAATACATGGCCATGAATGTGAACTTGGAGGATTTCATGCGAGAAGAACACAATGTTCACCAACATGTTTTCATCACCAAAGATGCTAAACTGTTCTCAATCAGGAACATTGCTGCGCAGTTATATCGAACAACAGGAATAAAGCATTGCATTTACTGGTGGCACGCCATCACACGGAATTCAAAGAGGCGTATTCAAGGGAATTACACGTTGCCAAAACTATTGACGGCTATTTATGGCAATAAAACCAGACTTATTATAAAGGGCTGTGAGGTTTATCTTCTATGGGTAACGTTTTCTACAGGATATTTATTCCTGGAGAATTTGGATTATTCCGAAGATATTCATGACGTAGAAGCCTCTGTAAAGGAGATATTTGGTTCACTTGCCCCGTCGCCATTTGCTATCAAGCGATTTTCGACAGCTGTATATGACGCCGTTATTCACCTTGTAGCGTGCGCTGACCACAAGATGGAGCTGTTTTATGGTCACCTGTCATGTATATATCCGGAGTTTGAATTACTGCTGCCCCAATCTCGAGTGGAACGCATAGGCGTAACGCTGGCTCTCCTATTCTTTGTTTACACGGTTCTCTGGTTTATTCTCGCTACGATTAGAGCTCTATTGGGAATTATCTGCATTGTTGTCAGAGGCGTCATAACGTTGAGATTCGCATATGTGGCATATGACAAGTTGAAAAGGTGGTACGACAATTCATTCTTACGTTGGTCATTTGATTTACTGCAAACTGAAAAGAACGATATAAAATCGCAATCGCTAGCCAAAGGTCGGATGAAGATGAAAAATATGCACGCGGCTAATCCACAAACGGATCACCCTACCGTGAACAGAAGAAAAGGTGCTGATTGTCCCAAAAAATCGGTCGCACTTTGGCACGGCGTATCGCGACGAAGTAGATTGACCGAATCTGTCGTAAATGAGTCCAACAAGGACCGGTAAACCCACAAAAAGTCTGTGGCTGATGAAATGTATAGTTGTATATTGCATTCCGTGTTTCACTAAAACGTAGGTGCTTTTACAATTCCAGCTCAATTTTAAAATGGCATTCTGTGAGATGCTACACCTCCTACACACCAAAAGTTTTCAAAATTCAATAACAAAACTATAATATTATCTTCTACAATAGCTGCCCGCATACCGCTTGAACATGCATGCCCATGGTGACAATGGTCCTTGCCCGATGTATTGCTCTGCCCTCCATGACAACCATCGTAATAGTACCTTGGGTTCTTCTAAGCAATTTCATAACTGATTCTATCACCTAAAGCGGATGGCAATATTATCATGACATTTTCGATCAAGTAGTTCTCAACCATACGAGGCAGCAGATGCGATATTCTACATCGCCACGAACTCAAGATTCATTGTTGGCGGTGTGACCGTGAAGTGCATTGCCAGCGTGTATGGTTTGAGCGTGCTAAGTCGGAAAAGGCCAGGGAGCATAACCAACCGGAGGCCATCGTCAGGACCAACGTAATGAAACCATCATGAGACAGGAATTGTGAATTTATATTGCTTCGTGGGCATGGAAACGTAAAAGAGAGGGAAATGCCGCGATATGGCAACAAGCCTTATGTTTAAAGCGTTCAGCCACAAGGCAAATTCCAAGGTGGCACCCTCTGATGTCGTTGGACGGCGTTGTGGATGCATACCATTGGACGCTTAGAAACACGCTGGCCGAACCCACAAACGTGTGGCGAAGTTCATATATGCCAGACCATTATGGCTGTAGCACTTCTTGCGAAAGAATGTAGCACGAGGAGACGGTGCTTAGGTGGACATTCGCGGCGTCCGACGGCCGCTCGATACTCGCCCTCAGTCAGCACACAGCGTGACACGCGTGAGCTATTAATAAACACACAGAGGCAACCGAATCGCACCTAGTCACAGGCAGCCGAATATCGTAACAGAATGCAGGTAAACATTCTCGAAAAACAGCCCAAGCAGGAAATTATCACCAGACTCGATCACACTGCAATGGATCTTGCATCATGGCTGAAATGCAGATGAACCATTTTTAATGGTGTTGTTGCTTTTCTAAATGAACATTGTTTTAATTTGTTCGAACATAAGGAGAAAAAGTAGTGACTCCCAGACAAACAAAGGCGCAGAGCAACTGAAATTGGATTCCACAATGCTTCTCCCCTTGCCAATTTCATTGGCGTCGCACATGTAGGTAGTTGTCATGTTCTTTCCATGATGCGCGATGAAGGAAGTCTTGCTCCTTGAGGAATCGGTGATCTTGATGAAGCGTATCAATCTTGTGTTCGTCCTTGTACTGGTTCCAATCGGCCTCAGATTTTTTGATGGCTGAAATCTTGGGCGCACTATCAAGCTCGTGCACCATATCGTCAATGAACGAAAGCGAACCTCCTACTGCCATGCTCTGCTTCTTAGCAAATTGCTTGTACTTCTTCGACGATTTATCTACATGCTCTTTAACAGTGTATGTCTTCCCTGCAAACTTATAAGTCTTTGCAATGATCGATGGCTCGACTTTTTCTGCGTCCCTCACTGCCTGATGAATCAATTCCAATTTCTCGGCATCTGGAGTGTTTCGGCACTGCTCTTTGAACTCACAAATATCAAGGGTTTGTTGCTCTTCAAATATACTGCTACTTGATAGCGACACGAAATTTTCCAGTTCTCTAATATCTTTATTCTTTGGTCCTGAAGACGAATGATCCTTTTTGTGAAACTGTAACAGAAAATCCGTGGACTTCACTGTTTGCTTATGACGGTAGGCCTGATCACTCTCCTGCAACATGTCACCAAATAAGGCATCTACTTTATTCTTAAGCTCTTGACGCTCCTTTTCCAGCTGCAACTCACGCTTGAGCTGCCGCTTCGTCTTCTTAACCTCACGTTCGTCTCCGGAGGAGTGTTCCGAAAAAGAGTAATCCGAATCAGCCTCGTCATCGGAGGGCAGATTCATAGTAAGAATTGTCGCCATTTTTCAAACACTAACGGTGCTACCAATTAGTGGCTTTAATATTTCCAGCGATGCAAACTTAAAGAAATGACAATACAAACATGCAGAGATGACAAGGGGCGAGGGGCGTACGTTGGAATAATGCGCGACCGATGAATGTCGTTTACACGTTATTTCACATCGAAACCTTCATTACGAAGGCATTGATTGTGCAACTCAATTAAGTCCTTGCACTGATCTTCACCCTTCCGTGCGATACAGTCGTCCCTAGCCGCTTTGGTTTCTTTGCAAACGCAGCAGATGTGTTTGCCAGATTTTGAGAGGGCGGGGGCCACTGCAGCCGGCTGGGAGGGGGATGATCCGGTAGACAAAGCAGAACCCATCAAGAGGCGCGCAAAAGTCGAGTTAATAATACGTTATGATTAGGTCATATGCTAAAACGTGTTACGCATAAATACGGCGTAAAGAGAAACTGAGCTGGATCCACATAATTTGTCGACCTCTGCGCATTTGTGGGATCGATGTGCGATGCCGCACACGATACCGTCATGTTACGGTTCCACAACACACACTATGGTAAAATACGATATATAATGGCACAACAATAGGCTAAAGTGCGGTGGAGGTGGCAGGAATAGTCCATGTCAGTCAAAAGGCCTACCCGCAGATACTTAGACAGATGTGTAATCCGACTCGTAACACAAAACTGAATAACCCCTATCTGTGGAAGTTCTTGCTGTTCACTGCTTCTTTGATACTTTACTGGTTTGTTTTGTGTTCTGCCGAACGAGTAAAAGATCAATATGAGACTCGCAACGTCCTAATCCAAGTTGCAAATTATAACAACATATCGCGCGTGACGGAGAATGAAGTGGATTCCCTCAGAACCTTGTACAAGTCCGTTCTGCTCAATGTGGAACTCTATAAAATCCCCTCCGGTTATAAGGTTGAGGAATTCTTCCTACAAACCAAAACGGGTTAGTAGCATGTAGAGCAACAACGCAACATACAACGCAGAGAAAATCGACCTGTTGGGCCCACATAACTCCAATATACTGGATTTAGATCCAAAAGTAGATTTTAAGCTTATTTTACTAGTTTACAATGTTGAGAGACGGGTATACGGAGGTAAACATGTCTTCCGCACGAAAACATCTCTAACAGAATCTACCTGCAGCATTGCGCTGCAAGAATCGAACCTGTGGGAGCTAAGTCACAATGTCAGGACATATCTCGGATTTGGGTGGAGCGATCTGCTTCTTGTGTTTCTTGTGGGATGTTTACTCCTTATTTTACTGCTCCTCATGCGCAACAAGCACACCTACATTTTAGCGGGATGTAAGGTATTATTCATGTTGCTTGAGGTTTCAAAACGCTTGCCGCTACCCTCGCAATATTCAGGTGGGATCATACAATACAATATCCGCATTGTCTACACAGGCCCCCATATCGTAAATTATCTCAACGTTGCATCCTCCGTCTGTTTGTTGGCAGCATTTGTGGTTATTTACAAGGTGCAGGGTGATGTGTTCAGACAGCATAATGCCTTCCATATTGTGTTTTGCAATCTACTAAGCAGCGGTGCCATCCCAATCCTTTCACTGTTCATTCTGCCATTTGTTCATTATGTCGGAGTTCATGCGATGTACTGGTTTCTCTGGGTACCTATTCTCAGATGTATGGTAATGAGCGATGTCGGAAAAGTTTTTCGAGAGAAGGATGAGCAGCCCACCGATAAGGATAGAGATGAAGTGCAAAAATCCTCTGCCGACCAAATAGAAACGCTGGAACCCAGCACCAAAAGGCGCGAAATTACAGGTGTAAAATGGCACTTTATTGTAGTATCTGCCTTGACTGTTATTTTGACTGTCGTATTGATTATATTTCGTTTCAAAGGCGTGAGAAACCTGAACTCGGTTAAGGCCCTGTACAGCGCTCTCAATGCGCCATTTAACGTTCCTACAGATACGTTAGGAGTTACGGATGCCCCGTCGGTCGAAGTTGTGAGCTTTAGAACCCATATTCAGGTATCTTCTAACCGCTTGATCACAAAACTTTGTAGGAACAACAAGTATTGATTAACGTGCAGCACGTGAAATCACTAAATGCGTTGAGCATATGGTTGCAGGATGTTATTAGATCTGTAAATGCTTCTAGATGGTTGTGCCTGGTCTCTAAACGGTCGGGAGGCCCAATGCAATACACCTCGCTAGGATTGGCGGACATAAAGAACATTACACGCCATTTCGATACTATCGAACTCACATTGTTTCTCATTTTCCAAAATACAGACTCAGATATCATATACTCGCAGGTGAGAAGATGACAACATACGTACCAATGTTGCTGCAGTTGGATTTCGGGCAGACAGATGTCGGGGTGTCCAACATTGTGGAGTCACAGGTGTACACGCTATGTATGAAACCGGAATTTATAACTGTCTTTGCCAGCGTTTTTCGGTTTGCGCTGCTGTTTATATATATCTTATTCGACTTGAAATACAACAACGTAGTAAGAAATATTCCGAGGTTTCTCGCTGCCAATTTAAACATCAAGGCGCATATAGTCACTCTTTCCCTTTTATTTGTCTTAGAGATTACCAACGTCGTTACAACCCTCCTTATGGCATTCAACTATATACCTGCTGTCAGCAGTATTATCTTGGAAGGTAAGGTCGATCTATAGCGTTCTCAACTGTGCTGCAGGCCGTGCGTTTAATGTCATCGTTTCTTTATTGGCAACGATATCGATGCTGGAAACCATGAGCCAAATTGCTGTCTTTCTGCATGCTGTGGTTTTAGTTGGTGGTTTTGTGGCGCTTTTGCCGCAATACTATTTTTCATTTACTAAAGATGGGGAGGTTATCAGACGCCCTATTGTCACAAACCTAATCGCAATGTCCGTTGTGATATACCAGTATGGGATTTTGTTGATATCGTGGTCGATCATCGGTGAGTTCTAAGTGTACCATTTGAATGTTGCAGGCAATCGGCTGTTCGGGCACAATATCGAACGCCTCAAGAACTTTTTCGCAGGATTACGTTGCAATGCGATCCTCGGATTCAACAGATTCCCCATATATCACCACAACAAATACCACGCACTCTACAATGATATGTCGATCATGGTTTTCTATAATGTCGGACTTACCTTGATGTTCGCGATCTACTATTATTCCTCCAAGGTGAAGAGGCGAAAGGAGATCACTATTGGTACGCTTCAAAAGCTGCACGACAACTTCAAAGTCAACATTATTGCCAATATGGATGATATAGTGAGATTCAAAATGTTTATTAAGATTATGGAAAAACACAAGCACTACATGGCAGAAAATGCGATGGAGGTTTGTTGTCCCTTTTTGGTCTCATAAAATGTAGATTGACCATTGCAAACAGTTCTTCGAACGATTTGAGCATCACTCACTAATGCGTTTTAATCACGGGATGCAATTAATTAGTTGCCTGGAACGCATCAAGAAATATGCATTGTGCGCTGTATTTCTTCGCATGAAAGTACGGAACATGTCACTACTAATTAGGAACGTTCAACAACGGTATAAGGAACAGAATCCTCACAAGGAAAATAAACGTGGGTATATATCATTGTTGAAAGAAAAACTGCAACTTACAGTTGAAGAGATAGATGAATTTAAGCGGTCTGCGGAAATAGCGATAGCAGGCAAGACTGTGGCAAACTCAGTAAAAGCAAACAACGCAATCTGCGGTACATGCCGCAACGTCAACTGTGGTGGGCATGCTGAGCATGAAGATTCAAAATCCAAAACATATGATCTTCTTGAGTTGGAGAACTTTGTGTTACATCAACGCGGCATTCCGCGCGCTGACATGCTACCCGGGCCGTATGCGAATTCTGAGTATACACAACACGACATGTCACCGATTCGTCTGACAACACCCTCGCGTATACAAAGGCTGCCACTTGATACTTCATCCTACGGCAAATCAGATGAGCAGCTTGAAAACGCGTATTCAGCGTATAGGCGACATGAGTGTGGTACAGCCCACACATCTTATGCAGCACGTGAGCATTTATCACCGACTCAAGAGCCGCTTGGAACGACGTCGGCTACTGATCGTGCTGTGGGATTCGCTTCTGTTCCTGAGGGTATTTCCCATGGTTCTGAGGGCAATAGCAGGTTAAACACACGTGCGACGGAGAGAGTCAGTAAACAGTGTGGCGTGCAAAGTCACAGAAATGGGCCCAAATCACGCATAGCTGTCGCAAAACGACAAAACTCTCAGAATGTGGGTGTTGGAACTAAATGGAAGAAAGCTACAAAACTACACATGCCTGAAGCAGTAGATACCACTTATAACCAACATCAGGGATATAAGGACGTTGTTAGTGCAGGTGGATGCGCCTCAAAACCGTTGGATGTCATTGCTGGTGCATCTGAGTCTGATGACAAAAAATTGCCACACTGTGACGACCACATCAAGTTAAAAGGTAATGTGGGGACCAATATACGGGATACGCAGGTCAACATTTCATCCGTTGGCAAAAATGGAGCAGCTAAAATGCGCGTGTCCTCTCTACGGGCGTATCCACGCAACCCTGCAGATGATGCCATTATGGGTTCAATGCCAAACATAGCAAACGGAAAGCAGAAATCAATTACAACCGAACGTGCTACAAACGTGATAGGTGATTACACATCAACCCATGAGGTCAAGCCAAAAATGTCCCTAACAAAACGCAGCGCTCACACCCACAAGGCTGAACGAACGGGCATATTCAAAGAGAGCATTTTATAGGGGCAAATGCTAATTGGAAAGTAGTGGCAAAAATAAAACAATTGCTTTTAATTCGTATTCTACTTCAAATTATCAGCGTGTTGCCTCCGTCGCATAGTACCTACGCATGTCGTGATTGCATCCCATCAAGCGTACCATCTAGAAATTTATTGCAGTGACTGCCATACGATGTCACTTTATCACTTTCATCTAACTGCTAGAGCACTAGTGGTCGCAGCATAAGAGCGCGAAGTAGAACTGGGATTTCATTTCCATCCCGCAAGAGAATGACATTATCTATGATGACCTGTGCCACTCGGTAACAGCGCACAAACAATGTTTTTGTTATTTGTATGCATTTTAACGGACATATGTGGCCTGCCACATCTTCAGACTGAATAACAAAATAGATTGTATTTTGAAACTTATTGTCTAGGTGTCCTTCCCGAACAACAGCATCCGAGATGCATAACTTAAACACGCAACCGAAAGTTGAATTTTAGTATACATTCCTCCAGAATGTACAATAATCACGTTTCTGGCGTTGGAGCATTGTAGTTAAACGATGTCTCAACATATTTCACCCATCATTTTGCCTCGATATGCCTACGCCACAGTCTTTTTGTGATGTGCATGAATCGTATCGAGTAACTGTAACCATGCAGCATCTTTCAAACCGTGTAACACGTTTGCTACTACGAAGATAAAACGATGTGAATCAGCAAGTTGGCGCCTTAAAAAGGTTTCCAAACCGTTGTCTTGAGAGCCGCTTGAAATCTTATTTAAAAGTATGACAAACAAAGAGTTGGAAAATACATCGTCCATTTCCATTTTCCTTATTCTATCAACCAGTTCCCTGCATGATGAATCGGAATGTTCAGTCGCACTGACAACAAAAACTACAGCGGTGACATTAATACTTCGAGCAACATAGGCAGGAACACCTTTAACCTGTTCTCTTTTAACTCTATACCTTAGCGACGTTACCTTTACATCTCCACTGAAGTCCCAGATGCTGAAACACCTTCCCCTTAAACGCAACTCCTCATAATGGTACAATGTAGTGGGTTCAATCTCGTTGCAGATGCCTTCCCAATCTGCAAGGATACATTATAGCAGCAATAATGATGTTTGGTTAGTTAAAATTAACCAATCAGACATGCCATAGTAGTGGACAATTGCAATACAGAGGACTTCTTTAGGGGGATTTCTAGTACGTGACTCATTTAAAGACCAACATAAACCCACAAAACTTACCATTAAGGAGGGACTTATACAACAAAGTTGTCTTACCAGATCCACGCAACCCACACAAGAAGATGTGGATGCTTTCCTGGTTCCTGAAATTTCTAATCCGCTCCAGGATCCCCGCCATCTGCGATCTCGAAATTCGGCCAATTGCAAATTCTCGTTTCAGGGCTACCAGTACAGCACCTGACACCATAATCTAACCCCTTTGCAGGGGCTTGATCGTCGTGCAACCGCAACGTACAGTGACATCTGGTAAAACAATAACTAATCCTAGAAACGGAAAATAGACTCAAGCTCCGTCAAGTCTATAACCCTAAGGTCATCTCCAAACATCACCACATTTGCGGTGTGTAGCAGAGAATAGAAAAATTATGTTATTATGATGGCATATATCGTATATTAGAAGAAGAGACAGCAGGAATCTGGGTGGAGAAGAAGGGAAGCCTTAGGTTGGGATTCTATGGCGGCGGATTGTTCAAAAGATTATAAGGAGATTGCCAAAAATGCCATACAGTATCAATTATGCACCATTGCACTAAATCGACAAAGTAAGCAGGTACACACGTAGGAAGCACAAAAGTAGTTTTACATGAGATACAAGAGTTGTACACAGATTAATAAAGGAATAAATCGGGCCAACTGTTCGCCTCCGTATAAAAGTCAACGCCGCGGTACACTTCGGTGGGTGTAGCGCTGTTGGGGGGCAAGAGTTGGGTTGGACCTATACGCCGGAAACGGGTCGGACGCAGGCAAAACTTCGCTACAATTTAGTAAAATCTTCATATCATATCGTGTGCGGAGCCGCATCAGAAGTGAGTTGGCCGTAAAACCTGTTCATCATATTGGGGTCAGGGTGGAGTCGCCGGTGTACGCTACCCAACGTCGTAAAAAGGCGTACAGTTACCAAGAACTTCTGTTTTTATTATCAATAAGTCATTCAAAATGACTGCTGATGTGGCTTTGTTCCGCAAGTGGCCCTACGACAGCGTCAGCCTGTCTGACCTCTCCTTGGTAAGTATCTTCGTCCTTCCACCGGACTTTAATGACAACAAATTGTGCGATAACCCTTGTTGCGTAGTGTTTTATATCTTATTTTCTATGTGGTTGCGTTTTACAGCGGTGCCTTTTCATTATATTTTAAGAAGCTTCACATAACGCGCTCCTCAGGTCGACTGCATCGCTATCCAAGGAAAAGCGCGGGTGTTCACACCGCATACCGCCGGAAGATATCAGAAGAAGCGCTTCAGGAAGACTCTCTGCCCTATTGTGGAGCGTCTCGTCAACTCTATGATGATGCACGGCAGGTACGTTTACTAGATTTCTATTTCCTTTCTTGTGGCATAAACGGACGATCGGGTGTCTCATACAGGCAGATGCTACTCTGCTTGTCTGAATCGCCCAACGAGATTGCTAATGTTCGTTAGCCGTACATCACCCTTGCGAAAGCCTACGCTAAATGCGGGGTATGTATCAGTTGAAAAATGATGATATCAATAGTTCAAATGAGCTTTTTAAGCGATGCAATAAATTTTCGCCCCTATCTGATTTCAAATTATCATATTGTGCAACATTTATGTGCGACTAACTCTGAACCATGCGATGTGTCTCATGCTTCTGCAGAAACAACGGCAAGAAGCTCAAGGCCATTCGGATTGTTATGCACGCATTCGAAATCATCCATCTTATGACGGACCAGAACCCCATTCAGGTCTTCGTAGATGCTGTCAAAAATGGTGGACCCAGGGAAGACTCTACCAGGATCGGCTCAGCCGGTGTCGTACGCAGGCAGGCTGTCGATGTGTCTCCACTCAGGAGAGTCAACCAGGCCATCTACCTTATTTGCACTGGCGCAAGGAACGCGGCGTTCAGGAACATCAAGACCATCGCCGAGTGCCTCGCTGACGAAATCATGAACTGCGCCAAAGAGTCTCCGAGCTCCTACGCCATCAAAAAGAAGGATGAAATAGAGCGTGTTGCCAAGGCCAACCGTTAAACAATCTCTTTCTTAATCAACTACCAATCTAGTGTGGTGCTGCATGGTGAGGGCTGTTTCGGTGTGACACGCGTATGCGCGGGGCTGAAAAGCGTAAAAATCCGCTCAGCAATAACGTACCTGTTCGCCTTCTTCGAAGCTGTTTTCGTGGTGAGGTGGTTGGCCATGACAGCCTTGGCGATTTCCGAAAATTTCCGCGACGCGTCTGCGTTTGACGCCAGCTCATCCACGAAGCTCCCGTTATTGGCCATAACCGGCAGGCACACGTAGTTAGCCACGCCTATCGATGTAGCTAGTGACGAAACCTTCGGCTGACCGAATGGGTGATGCAACTTGCTGCAACCGTCGCAGGTAAAATATGACATGTTTTCAACTAGACACAAAGTGGAAACTTGGTGGTCCCGAAAAAGCCCAAGTCCCCTCATGAGGTCGCTACATCTAAATAAAGATGACGGAACATATAATGATTCGAGTACCCCAGCTCATGCGGAGTTGACACCGCAACCAATCCAGACAGCGTCACGTCCTCAATAATGGATATGATTACATCGCCCGTGCCCGGCGGGAGATCAAGTATCAGGTAATCCAAATCTCCCCAATCGGTCTTTAGGACCAACTCGGAAGCAATCTGGTCTAGTACCGGACCCCTAAAGGCCGCATACCCCTGCACATGATCTATAGACAAATGGCATGAAGCAACGCATGCCACGTATACAAAGATGTTCCATTACGCACGGTACAACAAAATTTAGCTGCTGGACTTACTAATTCCTGTTTGGACTTAATGAAGGCAAAAGACATCAACTTGATGCCGTGAACCACTTTGGGTTCTAAAAGGCTAGTAGTGATTGGTTCAGCCTTTCCAAAAGCCATTGTAGGGAACTCATCACCGTCATGCGGCAGTCTTAAAATCTCATCTGCACTGGAAGCTTCCTGCGTCTGTATTGGAGTGGTTGGAACTTGAGAGTCATATTTAATGACCTCGTCTTCCAATTCCACACGCCTCCATTTCACGTAAGACTCGTCGGCACCGAGGATATATGCGATGTTGGGGCCGTATATATCAAGATCACATATGCCTACCGTGCAGCCATGGTCTTTTAAGGCAAGGGCTAGGCCAGCAGCTACCGTCGACTTGCCTACGCCGCCCTTGCAACCATGAACGGCAACGATATCGCGAACTTTCCAATACATTTGGCAATTTATAAGTGTGTGCCTGATGTTAAAGCTGTATGTCTAAGAGTGGCAGGGTGCCGTTGTTGGAGACCGCGATCTCCATGACCCTCTCACCCTTCTTCTTGAGCACTGTCCGATAGTTTACCGGCTCCATACCGCCCAATTTGCCAAGGGGGATATGCACGCTTGCATCTCCGCTGTCTTGGTCATACTGCACGCGTATGGGCAGTGTGTTGTCTGTGGCATCATGAGCAGAATCCACACGCGTCACACACCTTGTGGAACCTCCGGATCCGCACAAGTTCTGCCAGGGTGAGTAAAAAAATTCATCGTCTTCTCGACTACCCTATCAAGGAAGCAACCCGTGGGTCTCACCCCCTCTTGCACCGGTTTCGTATTGCAAAACATGCCGGAGAAATCCAAAGGATGCGAAACTGCGTTCTCAGGTGCTGCATCGCTTGATGCATGAATGCGATTATATGTGGTCGGCCCTGTATTGACTAGTCCATTCATCGTGATTGCCAATTGAACCTATGATACCATAAGTTGGTAGTGATGTGCTACTACCTGACGGAGAGAGTGAAAGAGATTCGCCATCCAAACGGTACGTGTCTCTTTCTGCGATATTGACCAACATGCACCGACGAGATTGCTGCAAAATTTTATATACGGGAAGCAAAAACGTACAGAAATATCGTTCGGCAATCCTGCGATGATCGAAGCCTCATGTAGTCAACCTCCTCGCCAATGTATACAAGATGTAACCGCAAGTATACACACGCAAAAACTTCGATCGCGTTACTACGTATGAACTCCCGGGATTGATTATTGGCGTATTCCGCGGAAAGCGTAGCGTTGTCATGGCCGTAATGAGCCTGCAGCGCATAAAAGAATGTATATATTAGCACAAACCTTGTACAACTCACGGAAGTATTTGGAGGCGAAATTTGACAGCAATTCAATACCAGATACCTGCGTGCACTGAACACCGTGTGTAGTCTGCTACAATGAAACTCACGTGATGAGCAGCGTCGAGATTGTCGAAGCATTCCTGAATCCTCGGCAAAAAATAATCATATTTATAATCGAAAATAAGGTTCATATCCCTTAATAACAAATTGTCAGACTTGCATTGCAGATGCCTAAATGTCTGAGAATGATATACGTGTTGTAACAGAGTCGACAGCCATTCAGTAGGTTTGCGATGAAAATCCTCTCCCGCTATCTCATTCAAAGAATAAGAAAGCAAAACCCGGACATAGTTTGACACAGACCGCGGTGAATTTAGGAATTGTGCCGCTGAAAGGTAAGATTTCCCAAAATAGTTCAAAAGGCTTGTCTCATTCATGATTGTTACCTCCTTCTGGATAAATAACTTTTTAACGAGCTCCAGCGCCCTTTTCTGACGTACACCATGAAAAATGGACCTTACTGCGGAGTTCAAAAGCTGATTGTCGTCCGCTTTCTTGGCGGCAAATGCTCTAGATGCCTCACGAAGCATGTCGCCCCCCTCCACGGCCATACGCTCATACAGCCTGCAACCAGCGTGAATGTCGTAAAAGATCAACTTGCCCTGAACCTCCATGTGCCACGTCGCGAAAAACTTCTTCAAAAGCTAGCTTAGACAGGCTGGTTCCCAGATATCCGAACCAGCTCTTCAGGTCTTTCCACACAGCGCACTTACGCGATTCGCACGGCCGCCGGATTGAGGTATTAATTAGTGGCCGGCTTTGATTCCAAGGGCAATTTTCTTCGTGCTCCATGGTTTGTTTAAACTGCGTTTGTAACCATTATAATGGCCAACTCCCATAAGGTGCACCTCTGCTACACATTTCACTGCCAAACGGAAGGACTTCCGACGGTTACTGGATCCCTTACAGTGGCTAAAACTATCGCCGACACGCAAAGTAAAACGGCCAATACAATACTCAGTCCTGACGATTCGTCCGCCGTCCTAACGAAAAGCCCATTCTCACCCATTTTCGCGTCGAGTCTGTACCTGTTGACGTTCAATGCCTCAGTAGTGTTCAGGTTGAACGCTTCGTATGTCTGTCCCTTCAATGCTACAATATCTCCGGCTATTGAGGAAATCACTAAGGGCCAACTATACGGGTTGAAGTATGCCACGCGGTAATTGAATAAGAACTCTCCGAGGTATACCTTTCGCGTATCTGAAGAAGCAATGAATTCAAAGGGGTTTTATTGCGCGATGTATAAGTAAATAGTTCCACATACCTGATTTACTGCTTGTATCATTATTAGTGGGAGTCAATTGCCCCGCGTCACCAGAGGTTACCCCCAATATGCTTGCATTCGCGTGGAAAACGGACATCTCTTCTGGGCAATGACGTTCCATATGTCTCTTCAGTTGGTTAAAAGAAAATCGCGAAATAGCTGCCCTGTCTTTACGCTCCTTTATTCCCTTAGCCACACTAGTGAAAAATCCTACGACATAGTACGTGAACTTGCCCACCGGTGAAACTGTCAATTGGGAATTGGCATTGTAGCTATAACTGCTTATACCACGCGGGGATGACGCTACCCAAGCCATGGGATCCTGGTCTGATAATCCCTCAAACAGCGTCGATGCCTGACATGTGTCTGAAATCATAAAGGTATGAACTTTGGGGTGCTTGATAAAAAATTCCGTCATATACAACTCTATTTCGTTTGCAGAGAGGACATCCTTGGCTTGGAACTGGAAATAGCGATCTCCACCGTGTCCTGTCATATATACGAATTGAGTTGGTAAATCCAAATGTCCATCTACGTCATCAAGCTCCACCCGGTACTTGGTTGCTAATCGAGAACTTTGAGGAAACTTTCTGGGGAAGCGCTGAGTCAGCAAAAAACGCAGACTATCCAATCTTAGGCCTGAGGAACGTAACGGAATGTACATGTGCTCCAAGAAATAATTCGTTATGTCATTCAAAACTTCATCTTTGTAATCCGTTACATCTACACTTTTGTTGACGTAAATGCGGCCAGGAAATGTGTTTGTCGGATGGCATAAACACGTCTCCGGAGCTAACGACAGCAGCTGTTGCCTCGGAAGCAGACCCAACTTGTACAGGGCTGACGCCATTGCAACCAAGTTGCCAACATGCCTATAATTATAGTAAAATCTAGATGTAGACAAAAGAATTGCATTCACCTCCTTATATTTTAAAAGCATTGCTACCTCAATTTGCCTAATATCCGTTTTGCCTTTTGCGTATGCTGAATTTTTGAATGTGCCTTGGTAGTTCACCGTGTTCTCTGCGAGCAACTTATGATATTGGGGCAAAATCCCGAATGTATCTGGCCCTATGGTAGCAATGCTACCTCCTAAGTACTCCTTACATCCTGCTATTTGTAACAGAGAGAGCAGTATAACCGGGAACAACATCTTGTGAGAAATCCAATTATCTTTACCAAAAGAGCTTATTTCTTCCATAAATTGAATACACAATGCGATGCAATGTTATAAAGCGTCAACCGTCCTTCCAATTGTGTGAGTGAAGGCATTACAGCGGTTTTCACAGATCTAGTGGAATCACACGACTGGATACAACGGCGACACTCCCAGACGTACTTATGATACGCCCTATGGTAACACTAATGTGTGTGTGCGTATGTACTTTCGTTAACGTCTATTTTTCATTTGTATTTGATATTTTTGCCAATCATTTTATGAGCGCTGTCTCCAGTTCCCGTAGCTGCGGCGGCACTTGTGCCGTGTTTATAGTATGACGAAATAATCGTTTGAATTCACAATATTGCCTTACATCTGGTGCCATACCGGGAATTCATACACATTTGCCTTCTTGACGATATCGTCAATTTCACTGCTCATGTGACTCCGAGAATTACTTATTGAATTGGTGTTAGCTTCCCCTACAGTGTGTAATCGTACATATTGCTTCACTAAATTGTTTTAATCTGTATGTGTACTTTCGGAATGCCGCCGCCAAACGGAAAACGTCTTGAGAGGCACCGCCATCAATGCCCAAACACAAAGATTGCACTTTGGGTTGCGACTCACTTCTAAATATATACGTGTGCAACAACGTGAGTGTGGCATGTCTGACGAAAAAAGTAGCGGCATCACCGTTGTGTCTAATCAGCGCGTAATCGTCCGCAGATAAACATGCAGCTGCGCGATTATTATAGCGCATATTATATACAGCTACTATGTACCGAATTACTAAGTTTGCAGCTACTTATCGGCTGTTAAAAACAATGAGCACGCCGGCTGTTATGTACATGAAAATTATGGGCTGATACGCCATCACCCATCTGTCCTTCACCATGTGGGCCTCGAGCGTTTTTTTCGAAACTGCGCGCAAATATCTCATTGTATATATCCGCCACATACATATCACATTCTACGTGTTTATTACGGGTCATCCGCATACATTTTCATGACATAAACGTAAAATGCGATAACAAATGCCCCAATACATGTAACGGTATGCAGTTTCACACGGTGCTACAGGACTTTAAATGTGGCAAAAGACTTACCGAGTAGCGCATATGCAGTGGCAGCACTAACTACGATTACCCTTGCAAAAAATGGCAGAAACTTCGCCGGTATTGATGCTAAGCATATGGGGACTATGCCGTAAATCACAATTGAGACAATAGGCAAGCAGCCCCTGAATATTCCAGACACAAGAGAAACAAAACCTACAAGTATGTTCCTATAAGCGACGCGTTTAGTGCCGTAATAAACGCCATAAGCCAAATAAACAAGAAGAAGAGCGAAAAGGCCACGCTTTGCGTGTCGTTTTCATCACCCGTAACTGGAAAGTAAACAACTCTGCATACCGTAACCTTACAGGGTTCATATTGGTCCACATTAAAATGTAATTAAAACCTATGCTTGTGGAAGTGCAGATTTTGTACAACCACGTATAAGGCGCAGCGTAACAAAATCAACCTACAAAGGAAACAGCAGGGATATGACGAACGGTCCAAATAGGTCCCCTGAGGATGTGAGACGACGTGGATACCACCAAACTCACAATTTAAAAGTTTTTCCCCCTTGTGTGTATAACATGACTTTCCTATAACGTACAGCAACTTCGTTCCAACTGCAGAAGTTTCCGCCAGCTGTATGTATATCAAAGCCGACGTCACAAGGGCATGTAGTTATGCCAAATGGTAGACGCGAAACGGGAGGTTAAAGCGTTCACTCACCAACCGAGAGGCGGCGGAATCCTGACAATCGCCAACAAACATCGCTACACCGGTCAGACTCTTGTTTGCACTATATTCGATGACGTAGTTTGTATGTTTGTTGTAAAACAGTGTAGTTAGTGATCGCGCTGAGGGTTCTAGGCGGCAGCGGATAGACGCAACGATGTGGAATCCCACTCCCTACACAGCCGCGCACACATGTGATAAAAACGACTCAGTAATTAGGTCTAGAAATCTAACATTGCGGCCTGCTCTCGTTCCTTAATCATTGCCTGATAGCTACGTAGGGGATCATTATAGTGCCCGAATCCCAAAGAGTTCATCGCCAGAAAAATGTCGTCAGCACTGAGTATTTTGCGCCGCTCCTTGGTGCAAATGTCACTCGCCTGTGTGTTAGTGAATAACGTATGTTAGCTGGGTGCTGGACACAGCAGTCAATGGGTGTATGTGCCCGTAAGACAATTAACATATCACGCGCCGTACATCACATAACATGCGACAGGAAAGCGTACGGTGAAAATGTGCCCCAGAGAAACTCTACGGCCCTCACGTAATGTGTAGGGGCTCTGGTTTCCTAACACATTTTGGATGTAACTACGCCACGTAATCCATCGCATTCACCTGTTAAGAACAACCTACCTCCGAACTAACGAAAAGGATAAACTCTGTTACACATTCCCTTATTACATCTTTTGCCTGTTTGGCTATCTTCGCTGTCCCTGGTAGTACACTTTTCATGAGGCGACTAACGTTTGCGATGGGCAACGCTGTTTCGTAATCCCCCTCCCGGCGTTCAAATGACATATCTCCCTGAGATACCGTGTCATACTCTACACCTGAATGGCCGACGTATGCAGTAGGTTCGTACGGAAAAGAACTCTGCGTTTCATTACCGAATGAAGCCGCTGGACGCGACGTTGATGTGCTTCCGCGTGACGTTGATTCACCCTTGCTAAATGGAACCATCAACGTTCCTTCCGCTCGTGTAGTGTCCAAACCCTGTGCAGAATATTGTAGCGGGGCATCCGATGTATATGGCTGTGAAACTATTGCCTTTGAGGCATTGTCAGTGAGCTCCGCATCGTTATTGACCGGCCTCGCATCTATCGCTTCGTGCGCCTGTGGACCCTGAACATATTCAACTGGAACCTCTGTAAAACCGGATGTAAGGACGTCTCGGCGCTCGGGCACATCAGGCGGATATCCTGATTTTATTGTATTTTCGTATGCTTCGCCTGGTGCCTTGGATGCAGAAATCAACAGTTCTTCGTAACTACGCGCAGCGAGCATAGGATCGGTATGAACATATCTGTTGCCAGATACATTGTCACTAATTGATGTCACGTCTCGTGGATTCGGACCTTCCGAGCCCTTGCCTCCAGAGGCTGCAATAAGGTGGTCCCCACTATTGGCATACGCATAGCTATCTCCAGAAATAGCACCATAACCCATCATTGTTGTACCATCTCACCCACTTATATCATCCACATCTGCTGTATATCCGCAATTTATGTCATTTGAACACTCCTTGTATCGCCTCTTGCTAGATCTGAAGCGTCAATGAGCCTAGTGACCGAAAAGGAAACGAGTTGTCCACACGTTCATCTATGTAATACGGTGCAAACAGGAACTTTCGGTATGTGACACGGACATCTTTAAACGCTATAGCCTTCGAATAACCATTAGCTAACCCACTCGGAGCATCAAAACGCAGTTGAAACATTATGCATACGGAGACAGTTAACACAAAAGAATTGTACTGAACGCACACTAAGAATAGTTAACGCTCTGGTTGACTGACCATTGTCAATAACCAAGACAAAACGAGGAGAAAGTGGCTACTACTTTATCAATACAAAGACGAAAGTCACTAGATTGCTACAATAATCACACAATATCACCAGAATTAGTCATAACAGATGACTAACAAAGAATGCGCAACGTACGGTCGCCTGCCAAAGTTTTAATGAAGGAGAAGCGTGGATGTGCAACAGCAAAGTACAAAGATACTGCGTCCTCGTCGCACACCAGGCATACCGAAACTCTCAATAGATCATTAAACGCCACAAATAATGTGTCACTTACCCCTGTGCTCCGCATTTTACCAAGGATGGTAACTTGCTTCTCTTCACTGATCAACGAAACTCAACAGTGGACGTGCAGAAGCAGCGCCTTCACTTCTCGTAATGTATTAGATCGCTTTTTCTAAATAAATGGAGGTGTACATGGCCGTCAAAACAAAGGCGGCGTCAGCATTGTAGAAAACGTACTATCCCGCGCTACCGGCTCCCAGAAAATGCGGCTTTGAGCCGCTGCATCCAACAGAAGGTGCATCAATTTCCATCCGATTCAGCGAGTTAACGCCACTGTAGGATTGTGATTGTATTTATTATGTCATCGACATATCGGGATTGCACATTGTGATTATACCGTGATGAGCAGCGCACGGAGCGGGGTGTAAAGTGTACAAAAGCATATACACCTGGTACTGTCAGCGGCGCGATATGGCAACAAGCCTTATGTTTAAAGCGTTCAGCCACAAGGCGAATTCCAAGGTGGCACCCTCTGATGTCGTTGGACGGCGTTGTGGATGCATACCATTGTACGCTTAGAAACACGCTGGCCGAACCCACAAACGTGTGGCGAAGTTCATATATGCCAGACCATTATGGCTGTAGCACTTCTTGCGAAAGAATGTAGCACGAGGAGACGGTGCTTAGGTGGACATTCGCGGCGTCCGACGGCCGCTCGATACTCGCCCTCAGTCAGCACACAGCGTGACACGCGTGAGCTATTAATAAACACACAGAGGCAACCGAATCGCACCTAGTCACAGGCAGCCGAATGGCCAAAAAACACCTCATGCCTGTCGAGGATTAGCATTCCGGATACCTGTAGTTAAACTCGTATTTTACAACTTAAATACTTCTCTTCCTCGTTTTTCAATGCGGCCGGCGGTGGATTGGTGCTTTTACCAAACAGTAAGTTGCAGGAAATGGTACTGACGCCGTCATGCTTAGGCACAGATGACATCGTGACGAGATCCAACACACAGGTATATCCAATCGAATTCCATTGTATTTGTGCTTTCTCGTAATTCTTTAGGCCATGTTTATCGGATTCCAGCAACTGCGTTAGGCAACTGGATTACACACCACAAACACACATTAGGTGTAGCACAGTAGCATGGACTCTGAAATGATGTTGTAGAATGAATGTTATATGTTTCTGTTTAATATTCACCCATCTGTATGCCGCGAATGCTTTTCAACAGCGCCATCGCAAGGATAACTTGAATGAGACAGAAACGACGGACGTCTGCGGGAAAAAAGTGCAAGGTGTCGCGTTTCTGGCAACTAATAAAAGCGTAAGTAACGTTTTTGTTTCATTTAGAGATATGTGTGCCCAATTTAGATGCTTGTGCGTGCTCATAACGCTGTAGAATCCAACCGCCATGTGCGACGTGACATTATTGCTGGAAAACAAGACACTACATGTTTTAAAGTAAGTTGCGTCTGATGTGATCGACCACTTTGCACTGTAAGTCATTACTTAAATGAGAGCCGTAAGACCGGATGAAACGTATTCTTTTGTCTTGTTTTTTACATTTGGTTGAACGTTAATTAGCACAGCTTGTATGTAAATGAGGGTGTAATTGGTGCCGATGTTGTTGTGTGTAACGAAAAATTGTTTTGTATGCAAGCATATTTGCAAAACTGTGCCATAGAAGAGCGCTAGAATATGTTATGAGTTTATCGTGAGTTACAAGTGATGTCGTATGGCCTCCATGATTACGTAGCTGTTGTTCTACCCGTGAATCGAAGTATTGTAGTGGGTTTAACGCAGTGGATTCCGTAAGACGGCTCCCTTTACCTGCCCCCTACCCTAATGAAAATAGTACATCATAGGTGTGACGACTAAAACGTGTTGTAACGCCACCGATTAATTCAATTTGCCATGTATCATATTTCGTGGTGTACATTCGTAAATGTGTCGTCTGGAATGCGTGTTTTTGAGATATAAGAATCTTGCAGGGGTAACACAGATCTCAAGCGATTTGTCGTCGGTGATATAAAGACGCCTGTACTCATCGTGAGAGATGACTGCTTATCTATACAAAGCGATGTATCTGAAGATATTTTGTGTTTCCCGAATAAATATAGTCTCGAAAGCTGGTGGATGGCTATAACCAAACAGATACTGTGCAACAACCAAGGAAGTGTGCGCAACGAAATGTATGGAGAAGCAACACTGGAGGAAATTCAGGCGGATGTAGAGTCGTTATATAAGGGAGATCAGAGGCGGGGCATAAACATACGCATCGATGGGGATGACCCATCAAAGCTTCCTCAGATAAAAGTACATTACAGGGAATGACCTCTGGTAATGTTATAGACAGCGCACATCACCGTGAAATTAGCTCATATTGGAAATGTGAGAGTGTCAAAACGCTGTTACCGAGATTTCGTGGTCAGTTATTAGACGCAATGAAACCAATTGCTTTCACCATTGATTGAGGTATATGCTATCAATTCCGCTCCCAGAGACATCGTGCTTTTATGCGTATTGCGTTTGTTGTGTTGTAAGTGTTTGTTGTTCCCATAATACACGTTGGCGTCGTCCATCTGCAGGAGGCGTACTATGAAGTCTGGCTTCCTAATATCGGGTGACCCAACGGTCTCCCAACTATCTGTAAAAAAACCAGTGGATGATGGGACACTTGGAAAAAGAAAGTATCGAATGGAAGATTTCGAATTGGAACGCAATATTGGCTGCGGAAACTTTTCACAGATATGGCACGTGACCCTAAAAGCGCGCCCTCAAGAATCGTATGCGCTTAAGATCGTCAACGTGGTAAGACGGAGTAAACCGTGTCGTTTAATGTTTTGACAGCAAACGGTAAAGAGAAACGATTTGGTCACATTCGTGCAGCAAGAAAGAAATGCCATGCTCTCGCTCAATAACCCAGGACACCCAAATGTTATTCGTATGATCGATACCTTCAGAGATAACGAAAACGTATATTTGTTGTACGAATATGCTAAAGGGGGAGAATTGTGGGAAGAAATCAAGAATGTTGGCGTGCAAGATAAATATATATCCCGCGTCCTGGTAGGACAGCTCTTGAGTGGCATAGAGTACATCCATAATCATGGTATCGTTCATCGCGACTTGAAATGTGAAAATGTCGTAATTGATGGCGGGGTTCTAAAAATTATCGACTTTGGGACATCGAAATTTGTAGACGAGCTGAACGCAGAGGAGCAAAGTGGCGAGGCCTATAACGAATGTATGGGCGTCAGATCAGGAAGAGATATTAAGAACTATGAAATACACGGGAATCATGGATCCATTTCATTACACAGGGCTACGATGATGAGGAGAAAATTTAAGCACTACGTGGGAACACCGAATTTCATGCCCCCGGAGGCAATATCTAACATCTCATCAGGTTATGCAGGGGATTTATGGGCATTTGGTTGTACCATATATCAGTTGTTGCTTGGTTTTAACTGCTTCAATGGTTCGTCGAACTATTTCATCTACAAGAAGATAAAAGATAACCAAATAGAATTCCCTGATAATTTCGACCCTGACGCGATGGACCTGATCAAACAACTATTATGCACCAATCCTCGGGAACGCTTAAGCCTGGCAAGGGTTAGGGAACATAAGTTCTTTGCTGGGATACGTGACTCCATGCCCCATGCCGTCCCCTTGGAAACATTCAACACGCTAGACACAGCGTTACGGCGCGCATGTTACAAAGTGCAAGAGTCTATATTTAATCTGACCGTGAAACGTGAGAATGCGACCAACGATGACCATAATGAGATCAAAGAAGCCATCAGTTGGATAGAACAACACAGCACGCCAGAAATATCCGATGCTATTAGATTTAATTACGTCCGTACAAAGGACCAACTGGCGTTGGAAATTGATGAAGCTAACCGTTACATGGCAGAACAATTGCCAAATGATTGCTAATTCTATTTACGGGTGCCGCTGGAACTGTCACGCAAGTGTCGTCCCGCTCTACAAACTGTAATTTTGTTCTTACTTCGCCATCTTTAAACCTGAGCCACGCCTAATTATGGTATAGTGAGGTGCATTTCATAGTTTGCCCTGTACCGTCTGACACAGAACCAGCTTACCCAGAGCGCGCTGCACATACGCGACGTACCTGCAAGCCCCTGGTTTGCAAAGCTTCATGCGACGCCCCTAAGACACACAAGTTTTCTGATTTGCTAGTTAACGTTGCAGACTCAGTTTAGGAGTGGGTAGGGGAGTAAATAAGGAGTTCCACTACGGTGTTATTATTGAACCCTTCGTTGAGGGTAGCTGTAGGCCCTCGACGCTTCACACCACACTCCTTCTTGCGTAGACCAACATGAACGACACACTCATATTTGCCTGATTCATTTATATCCATTTCGATGGTGTGCTGTTCGCTTGTTCCCGAAGATAAACCGTGCTTTGCCATACAATTCGACGACAGTACAGCATCGTGGTCGAGTTTATTCTTGCCCGCCGTCGACATCCGTTTATTGCGTATGTAAATATAATAATGTGTATTACGGTTTGGCTCGTCTCTCTGACGCGGAATCGCTGTGGTATGCAAAACCTAGATGCACCTGTCAAACACATCTGGCACATTCAGCCTGTCACAATGCAGGATGGTAAAAGGAGAAAATACAACGCGTGGCGTGCGAATTTTAACAAGTGTTAGCCTAACCGGTCTGATTTGCATAGGAGCAGCGCTGTAGATCACATCAGCTCACTCGATAATGCCGCGTTCTTTAAACTTATCTAGGATATATAAGACCGTTTTGTTGGTTGCATAAGCTTCTCTGGCAGTATCATATCCACTGCTGTGTGCCAACTGTAGTGCTTTTCGCAGGGTTGCTTCCTGAGCAAAACTGTACTTTAGCATTCACTACTTACCTTAGCACTCTTCATGAACATTTCTAGGAGAACTTTATCATTAGTCTGCTTGACTTTTGCAAACAACGGCTGCAGTTCGTCGTCGTTGAATTCTGCTTCTTCCGGGGGGGGGTTGGTGTCCGGTGCTGCCGCTAACTGACCATCTATGGGAGTATCCTGATTTTCGAAGACGATCCTCTTCTTTTCACTACTATCTATGTTTACGCCGAACATCTTTGCGATGTCTTTGAGCACCGAAAGACTGCCCGCGAGCAATCCGTCTTCTTCCAGCATGTCGGACATGCCTGACACGTTATCTAGAATGCCACCGTTGACACCAAAAATACCGTGAGCGTCACCTAGAATCGCGCTGAAAGGGAACATATCATCAATAGTTGCATTGTTCCATCGATGCAAAACGTTCTCCGCTGTCACGTTAGGTGCCTTAGCTTTATACTCCTTTTCCTGGGGAAACACCCTACCGTAAGCGAGACGGTTTATCAGTTCTTCGGGCTTTTCGCAATCTTTATGGTCTACAGATAACATGTCTAATTCATCCTTGACCTGCGATATAAAAGATTGGAGTATTTTGTCATCTTTGATATTCCTATAAACAGCGAATATAGAATCTGCCTCGTCTCTATAAGAATCTATACGCTGACTCATTTCATTGCAGGGCCTAAATCAACGTCAAAAAAGGCCGTAAGTGTGTATATACTGTTCATGTTGGGCACGCATTCGAAAAATGCTAAAAACGCATACAAACACCTTGAATTATTTTATATAAACTATGTTTAACGTATAATAAATGTTACATCATACGAGTGTATGGGTTCTGAATTTTAATGCAAACGGACATGTTACTCCACTGTATTCTTAAAGAGCATAACAAGAGTGTGAGCGCACCAAAGATATGATATAAGATATGTTACGCAACAACGCTTACTTAGTAGGAGGCAGCTGGGCCAATATTCGCTCGCGGGATTCCTGTTCAGATGCAAGACGTATAATGTCTTCATCAGTGGTGTCATTACCAACGTCCACCTTCTCAGACGTGAGAGCACCCTTCAACTCCTGAATGAATTTTGTCTTCTCTCTCCCTCTTTTACTCCTGTATGTGGTCAATTTTTCTGCTAAAATGTCATTCAATAGCGTTTGAAACGTCGGACTAGACTTTCGCACTTCATCATCCACATATTCTTTGCCATAAACCTCAAGTTGCGCCACCCTTCTAACAACATCTTCCGGCGTATTGCAACCTTCAAGACTCACCCCTGCAGTGTTTAATCGATTCTTTAATTCTACAAAGGTTGTACTCTTCGACTTGAGAGAGTCACAAAGCGTGTCGTATATTTCATCTACGTTTTTTGCCTTATCTGAAACAGAAAACCGAGAATATCGTGCATTCCTAAGGCACCATGCGGGACTTTCAGCCTTGCATATATAACCCAAACTTTCCGATCGAATGTTATGTCTAGATACTGATGTACGGCAAGGGATGCGATGAACGATTACACCTTTAGAAGACAGATTATTTATGTAACCGTTGTGAAACGACGAACCTGAATATGTGGTTTTATTTATTCCTAAGGCGTTTAAAGCCGCACATAGTTTCGCTAGACAACCAAGCAATAATACCACTCTCAGAAACAAAGGTGATTCCATATTGGCGCCAACACGGCTTCCATTGCGCTATAAAGTGCTAACCGTAAAATTTATAAACAGTTGTGGCGACAGGCGCTGTGGTCATACAAGAGTCTATTGAAGGATTAAAAACCCTATTAGCGGGTGGCGCGAGATTCCATAGATGTATTTGAACTGGAACGTATTCTCTATATGCTTACGATATGGAATGTGTTCGCTTAATTGTAACGTGCACCTTTTTACAACATTGATGTCGTAACTATGGACCGAGCCATATCAAATACACACAAACTCGGGATGGTTTCATGTTGCTTGGTGATAAACTTCCTTATCTCCAGAGCTGCATATATAATATCAATTTTAGAGTCACTGTTAATACCCAAATAGCCTCCCAAGATCCCGTTTGTGATGGCTAGGCACTTCCCTCTCATCTTATATAACGATCTGCGTATTGAATATACGACGGCAATAGTCCATAAAATACAACATGTACTAAAAAACCATGCCACGTTTTTAGCACGTGTTACCATAATGCGAATGTATTCAAGATTATGTCCTCAACGAAACCTATCCATAGACAACGGCAAAACTGCAACATATCTTGCAACGCTCTTTCGAGACCTAAAGGGTCGGCGATGGCGGAAACATAAACTGGTGACATATCTCAACAATCAAAAACATTTTGTTATGCGTAAACAAACCCACATGACATCGGCTTCTCTTCCTCCGACTCTATTACATATCTCGCTCAACTGGATCATAAAGCTTAGGTTTTCAAGTGACGCATCTTGTATATCTGGGTACGATTGCTGTATTAATACGTAACCTATGACATTCCGAATCGCTATGTCACAATTCTTCGGGAATCTTGGCTGCAAAACGCTTACGTAATGCAAGAATGATGAGTACCTCGCTCAAGATGTCATGAAAACTGCGATATTCTATGCCGACCGATCCAGCTTCTTTAGATATTTTTTCCAGGCTGCATACGACTATGATGAACTGCTGTACTATTTAATGTAGTTTTTAACTGGTGCAGTGGAATCCACAAGACATACAGGCGAAGAGAATGTATGTGATTCGTTAAAAGGTAATGAGCACACACGTTGTTATTCCCATCACGCTCATTTGTATGTTGCATGATGCATATCTCGTTGTACGTAAAAGCCAACTTACACTGTATGCCGGATGAGATCCTGGAACAAAAAGCCTTGCGTTCCATTACCCATGGATGCAATTAGTGCTACTCCTTTCAGCCGGCATATATTGTTCACGTGAGTCTGATGTCAATTAATAACTCTATTAATACCACTCTTATGTAGAATTCAGTTGCACCACGCATCACAAGTAGTATAAGGTATGTCAGCGGGAAATGTTCTATCTATATAGCCACGGCGATCGATATGGAACCTACCATCTTCGGAATTGCGTAATCTTCGGCGGCGAACGATATTATTTCGAATTTCTCAATTATGGACTCGTCGATTTTGTACGAGTGTACGCCACTCAGATACTCATCTTTCACCAAGGAATCTGTTATGAAGTTCACCCTACGCTTATCCGCAACCATCTCACGTAACCTACAAGCCAACGACTCCGCATGGCTGTTCCCTAAATCCGATTCACGCAAAAGAAAACTATATTTGACATCGTCTTCGTTCACGTATAGGTTGTTTGCCAGTGTTACCCCTACACCAGAGAGAACCAAATTCTTTAGTGCCTCCTCTTGGATTCCATTCTTCCCCAGGAATAAAACGTGCGCATCCATCATTCTTTGTTGAGCTTCTATGCCCCAGAGTCTAATTTGCCTATCGTACAGTAGCGCATCCTGATTGGACAGCGCCGATCCGCAATCTGCTCTTTTCACGGTTTGCATTTCATCAACTGTATGGACACTGCAAAATATTGGCCATTAGATCTGTCGAATTATTCGTTGTGCAAGTCTGCCATCAAGTCGGACACTTAACTCATGTTGAATAAACACCTCTTAATACATTTGTGCACGGACTTACGAGTCTCAACTATCGACTATAACATAAAGAAGATTAACATTTGTGGCCGCTACCAATGTGTTCGCATATTACAAGCAATTGGTCAAAATCCAGATGACCGTTATCCACCGCGATTACCTAATCCTACAGGAACACGGGTCAAAACGGCAAAAGACCACAATTGTGGCCGTGGAAATACCCCGGGCCAGAGCGAACTACTCCTTCGTCTAAAATGTAATAGAACGCAGAAAAACGCCTATGTCTATAACCATTCGCTCGGCGCTTGCCATTATTAACGCGGACGAAACGAAGCGCCAACAATGTACGCAAAACGTGAGCTGATATGCACTAAAAACCGCACGCCAACACAGCTCCCGCAGCACACTAACGGACTGCCCGAAACCGATATCGCAGAAAAAATCGGTTAGTTGTACCTTATTATGGTGGCCATCTCTAAATAAAAGGAATATGCATACTACGTATAATGCCTCTATTACGTAATGCCAAAAGAGCGAAAATCGCGAGACCTGTCGCAGCGTGATAACCGCTATACCATTATTGCGAATGTCGTACCTGGCCGCAACTAGAACACAAAAACTATATTTTCCATGGATGTGTGTACTGAGTTATATACACGGGTACGTGTTCAATGAACGAGCGTCAAACGTTGTTCAAAGCGTTACTACTCCAACAAAAAGAGCCCCTACTGGACAATCCGATTGGATTTATTACTGTGGACGCAATAGTATAGTCATGAGACAAAAGTTGGTTGTAAGACCACAACGAACTTCTATGACCTTATCGTCGCCGACTCGTAGACCACACAAAGGTCCCACGAATCATGGGGCACGTGGCTTCCATCGTCCATTGGAGACAACCACTCGGTTAAATCAGGAGGATTTTAGGTGGGTCTACTCTGTCGGTCAAATATATGTCTGTGTTTGCCGTTTTACGTAACTCGTCGTACGTGATCTACTCATAGGAGGTGTTTACGCGTCTGCCATTTTGGTCCGTTGTGTGTTTGTCGTTTTGAAAACACAGTACTCAATAGAATTCATCTGTAGCTGGCTTGTGGTAATAATATAATCCATATTTGCATATGCTTCTCATTGTAAGGTGGGCGTGGCCTATTCCATCCTGGAAGTTACGTGGAATTTCGTAGTTACCGGGTGTTTATAATGTACACGAATCTTTGACACATCTAATATAACAAATAGGTCAAAATGTCTCACGGAGCTAGCCGATATAAGAAGGCGCACGCCAAGATGCGCTGGAAGGTTTGTCACTTGCCCTGCAATCATCATGTTCTCAGTGGAAGAAGAAGAGGACACGCCGTTTACAGCGGAAGAGAAGAAAGATGAGGCAACGTTCCCGATAAACAACCACCTCATAATTTTCCTTTGTTGCTTTGTTTGATGCAGCGGGGTACGACGCAATTGGGCGGATTGTAGTTTATGAAATCAGTTTTATGGCGAGCCCGCACTATTTTTGATGTTTGTAAGTCAGTGCGACATAGCAACTTGCGATTGTCGTTTTTTAATATTCGTGGTCGACTTGTGTGTTGTCACCGGAGTGTTACTCCTGCATCATCGAGGAGGTTCACGTGATCCAGTCGATTATCGCATGTGCGTCGTTCCGAACATTTTTTGTGGGCATGAACCTTGTCGGGAGAGAGTTTCTGCGGTAAAGCGCGAATGTGTAACTCTTTTAATCGTTGCTGTGCTGTCTTATATTGGGCCTTTCGCTGATAGGTTGCTCCGTGCGGCAAGTCTTTGGGGCCGGCACTCTGAGGTATTAGCTTCTTTTTGATTGAATGGGGTTTGCACAAACAAAACAGCGTTGCTACGTACCTTGTCTTGATCTTGTTATCATCGGTTGGGGTGGTCACCAGGAAGCGTGCGGTACACAAATTTCGAATGCCGGGAAGGGTATCTATACAACAGGGCGCGATGAAGGAAACTTGCCTCCCAGTGCACTCCAACAGTGTGGTTATTGTACAGCAAGAGTGGTCTAATTTTATATTTTTCGATCCTTTAAAATTGTGAAGTGCTGGATTAAACTGAACGGATCCATGTACAAAATGACGAATATTAGGTACAACAGCGCTGAAGGGTTCTGAAGCTTACGGACCATTCACGCGGAGAGTATGAGACTTTTCTAACACATATCAAATAAAAGCATCCATCACGATGCCACGGCACGTAGTTTATTAAGTGGCAACTATGGAAATAAAACCAATCGGTTAACCGTATGTTTAGCATTAAAATGGCGATTAAGTGTTTAGTATGGAAGGGAAAATGTCTCTATTGAACACTTCACAGGCAAAACTAATAGTCCGAAACTTAAAACTACCTTATTGTTTTGGTTTCAGATGAAATCTCGTAAAGGCAATTTGCCTGCTGGAGTCGTTATGTATAAGGCTTAAGAAGATGAGTGCCGACAGAATGTCACGGTACTAGAATTGTAAAGTCTAGCTTTGGTGGAAACGTGCAACTGCTGGTAAGACTATTGGATATGTGAAGGCCAACTCTTTACGGATATGGGCTCACCAGGACGTGACAGAGACGAAGGCAAAGCCATCACGATAATTGGGAGAGCATTCAAGGCCATCTTCAAAAGCATCTGCATATTTTAAGCAGTAGGATGATTCAATGAGTCGTGCGATTCGCCTGATTAATCGAGAAACCCTAATCGTACTTAAACACCATCCAACAGATGGTACATCACGTAACTGTGATAAGGCGAGATTATCAGAGTCCCCGTTGAATATCGATGGATTTGCATTGTTTACGTTGCCATTATTCGTATCTTGTCATGTGTAAGTAAAGCTTCTCGATTGTTTGAATATATAATGGGAGTTGTTTGCAATCCTCGAATCATCTATGAATAATGCCTCACGATGCGGCAATCGGCTCATCCGTTGTCAACCATTGCTAAATGTTTGTTGATCACATAAATACGTGGCGCGATGGAGGCTTTTTTCTAGGAGCTTCGTTTTTTTGGTTACCTTTTGCTTATAGAAGATCATAGTTATGCGATATGAGCAAGACGAACGAAAGTATAGCTCTTATGTTTGTCATAACCTATTCGCAGATGCATTTATCATAATCGACGAGGTTAGGCAGTCGGATAATTTCCGAATCTAAAGGCTGCTTATGTAGCTCCTTTGGGCGAACAAATATGCGTATCATGTCAAAGAATTTATATTGCTGATATCGTGCCATATGAGGTGCGCAGACGCTTCACGCGCACCACGTGAATTAATGGCAGGCGATGCGTAAGATGATAGACTTATTTCTGTCTGACACCAGAGTGAAGCCACATTATGTATTAATGGTAACGGGTAATACATACTATGCGGCACCATCATCTGTGAAATGGAATATTCCAAAGTACATGTATTGGCCTATCGATAGATAAAGAAAAGGTGGGATATAACCCAAAGAAACGGCAATTGCCGATCTAAGGTGGGTTTTGAGGACGGTGGAGCGGCGTCATCCAATGCCTCAAAATACCATGAATACCTAATTTCTGTTTATCGTTTTGTACAGCAGTTGTTCACACTGGGATATATCGATGCCGCAGTAGGTGTTCTAGGACGCGAAGCGTATTATGTAGCACTTTAAGAGAAGAATCTGGACAATGGTAATAAGCCAACCGATGTTAAACCGCCAAGAGTCACGTAATAGTTTGTATAATTATCTGTTAGTTTATCGAAACCTTTGAATGGCTTCTAGCGTTCTATCTCTTCGTTCGCTAACCGCGGACCCCGGCGGGAACGCGGATGCTCATCCATATTGAATGACCGTATCCACCATATCGTTTATGGGTGTGTGTGTTGGTTTTGTTTGTAGATATCTGTTTTTGTTTTGAAGGCAACGCCGTCTTCTGTGTTGTACGATAACTGGAGCATTATGAAGTCATGGGAATCTAACCAGAGAAAACTGTTATTTTATCCGTAGACATTGTTATTTGTACGGCGTCAGATGTAACGTACTAAAATGAGCGACTATAGTGATCCTAACAGCGAGATCACTTTGATCAAGGTACTATCATCCTTCGGTACGTAGCGTCAGTAATACTCAGGTCCCAAAATTTCTTGCCAACCATTGGCGGGAGAGAGAAAACCAATCATTTCTGGGTTACTGTAAGAAAAATGAGGAGGTATGTTTGTTCGTAATGCCGCAGCCACGCATAATATATGAAGATACCCATATGCGTTGTATTTTCATGCTAATGATATGCGGTGTCTATATGTAAGTGACTCTAATTATACTGTATTTTGATTTGTTCATATAATGAGTGTTATAGTCGAACCAAACCGCGTTGTAGTTCCTTTGCATTACCATAGGTAGTTGGTGCCCTTTTAACTGGATGCATCTGTATATTATCCTTCAGGGTATGATCGATGAATTTTTGGTGAAGTTTGAAGGCAGACATCGTCGTTTCTTGAGTCGCGCAAATTATCTGAGCTGTCCCATGGCAGTGCAAATCAGAGATACGAACACTCCTGTCGAAGCAATGGGGAAATTCAAAAGAAGCCTTACCCTCTACCCCAAATTAGACCCGCTCTACAAAAGCGTAAGCTAGTTGTCGAGTGTGCGTTATTTTTTAGGAGATCAAAGAACGCCATATCATAGCCAACGTTAATAAGGGTATCCTATGCGTTTGCGTATATGCTCACCACGTAATCAGCTAGAGGAACGGCACACGAAGAGAGGGACGAATTGAACAATGACAGACTTGCAACGGTTGGTAGAGGCTTTTGAGGGGAAATTGTTGGTACAGCTGTTTAAATACTACAATCCAGATGCGGAAGGTGTCTCTACCGTGGCCCACGATGCAGGGGCCGATTACGCAACCTCCAAGCAGGATACGCCCTACTCAAGATCGAAGATTAGAGGTAATTTATCTTACTTATCCATTGTGTTTGTGACTATTGGTGTTTGATAGTGAGCATTGTGTCCGGGTTCTAAATCAAGCCCGTATCACCAGTTTGCCTGCAGCAGAACATCGAACCTGCATTGACTAAAATGTTTATCATTTCTCAGGGCAAAAACGAGAAATCATGGATATGGATGAGCTGAAAATGAGTCTATGTAAAATATTCCAAACCGACGAAGGGAGAGAAGGGTTACAATTCAAACGAATATGTCAACTCATTGGCCAACCGACAAACAACGTCAAGATGGCAATCGACGAAATAAGCGAACAACGAAAAAGGTCTACGGATCATAAAATGGCTTACTTCTTGAGGAATCACTATCACCAGGGTCAGTTACCAATTATGTACATTACATGGCCTCGTCAGAAGAAATAAAATCCATCCTCAACAATCAGCCAAACCAAAACCAGCAGTAGGTCAAGCAATAACGCGGATGCAATTTTGTACTTTGTGTGTTGCGTGCATATCAGAAGTGCATTGGGGTTAAGGCCGCCTACCTGTGCGACGCGACGTCGCTAGGATGCCAATTTTTTAATACACCCTCAAATTGAGTACGAAATTGTGTCATTAAAATGGCTTCACATCAAGACTGGACGCCCGTTGTATGGGCAAAGAAGGAGTCTTACAAAGGTGCCCACAAGGAAGCCGCGTTGAACAAGGCAAGGCGGGCGGGGGAGGACATAGCTACCGAAAAGAAATGTAAGCGGGATGTCTCAAGCATCTATATTATATTTTCGTTCAGTCTTGGGTGGACAAAATAGGTCGAGCAAAGCCTACATACCAACGAAGTGTGTTTATGTGCGTGATCATCAATTTGTCGTAGCGCCGCAAAAATTGACAATGAAACTGAGAACTTCAGGATTGAACGTATTGAGTTCCATTTTAGGCAAGCATTACAAAAGGCAAGGCTGGCGAAGGGTCTCACCCAGCAATCCCTTGCACGCCTCATAAACGAACCTGAAGCGACCGTAAAAGAGTATGAAAACGGCTCTGTAAGTGCAGCTTGATGTATATTCAACATCACTCATCTGCATGTAGGCCATTCCTAACGGCTTCATTCTACAGAAACTCTCAAAGGCTCTTGGGACGCAGCTTCCGTCAGCAAAGGCGCCAAAATCTAAGAAAGTTGTTGAATAGCGGTGTAACTGATTCAGTTAATGCATTCACTTTTTCCTGTTCACAATAGTGTCAAGAGACCATTGCAAAACAAAAGCTAATTCTGCGCATTTGATGGAGCACATTCTAATCGCCTACCCTTGCTTCTTATGTCATTGATTTGGCTGTGAGATCTGTTAGGTAAACCCTTTACATTACCTCTGTATGTTGCACTTCAGATCTTGTGTATATACTTTGAATAAGTGTGGCAATTTTAGATCGTTGTATATATTCTTCACGGCCTCCACATTAGCCTTATTGTCTTTCCCAATGTTCTCTTTGATGCTTTGCAAATGAGATTTGTCGCCCACGTGGATTGCCTTTAGCACGTTATTAGGATGTTAAAATGCTTACTGTCGCAAGGAGCCACGTACACTTCTTTGTTTGTATATCGGTACCCTCCTTGCCACTGCAGCCTGGATCACTATAACAATCCAGATAGTCGTCTTGTGCCTTAGTGTCTATGTCGTCATATACGTTGATCAAACCTGGAACAAGTGTCCTAACAGTGACGAAACGGATTCCAGTTTGCTGTAGTTTATGTTGCCTTGGTCGATTCCTGATACAATCATCCCTATAGTCGGTGATGCAAAAAATTAAACATGTATATTTGTTTCGTTAATAATGTATTTCATATGAAGTGTGCCCTACTGCTGTGTCACAAATTGGTGGCATATGCTGTAATACACTCACATTCCCCGGTGCAGAAGCGCAGTAAGGCGGAAATAAACATGAAAACCTACCCAGTTTTATTGGCAGAAAAAATGTATAATATGACGTTTTATTCTTGCAAATACGATAATACAGCGATGTAGCTCCTGTAGGGGTGTCGAATAATGAGGCATCCATGGCGTCGTATGTGTCCATGTGTTGCCCAAGAATGGTAATCATCGAAACCTCGGTGAATAGATTCATGACTGTCACCAGATATTTACTGTCTTTCAGTTGATTAGCGATTATGCTGCACGGTGTTGTAGCCGGTAGTTATATACTCTGTTCAGGCACGAAGGACAAGGCTTACCGATGAACTAAGGTATTCAGAAACATGGTGTCGTTCACGGCATTTGAAATGCCAACCGTTGGAACCATGTACCTAACATGCGATTAATGCGTAAAAACGACATGTTACATATGGTAATCAATTTGACACTATCTGAAGTTATATATTAAATACCTCACAAAGATGACAATCCACTTAAACCAACCAGCAAACGTTTGATCTTCGCATAATACTCTTGTCCATAATGTCATCAGCTACCAGAAATGCTGTTTGTAGAAGTTCTACACACCATCCTGTGTGTAATATACATAAAAGTAGACATGGTTACCCAAGACAAGGGCTTGGTGCCAGTAATGCTCTGTCATCCCATCTCTCAATAAGGAATGCGTCGTTAATACAACCAATGTACCTCGTATGAGTTTTCCTCCTGTCAGGATCATTAAGCAAAAACAGAGATGGCGATGATGACATAACTTAAGAAGGAAACGTGTAAGATATGTACAAATTTCCTAACACATAAAACCTACCCTGCAAGTTGTACTGTATTGCATTGGAATAGTAAGCAATATCATCATCAGATATATCGTAAGATTTTATTTCGGCAGTAGCGATGTCAAGGAAAATGGGCAAAAAGCTTTTCAGGCGATCGTTGCAATACGAAACAAAATCGGGAGAAGACGAACACGCATTATAAGCAATCATTATTTACTTTAAGTAAATATAAAAATGGATGTGTAAGCAAACATCGACATTATGTTTGGCAAAAAGTGGTCCCGGGCGGGCTCGAACCGCCGACCTTACGGTTATTAGCCGTACGCTCTAACCGACTGAGCTACAGGACCTGCTGCTTGGGAGCGAAATACTATACTTAGGTCCATTATATAATCTTTTGTGAAGGTATTCTGCTGTGCTAATTATTCGAAACATAAGGTGGCAAACAACCATGGAATCATTTTCTTGATTTATAATACAACCATCACGATCACATTACTGGCGCACCTATTCATATATTATATTACCCAAAGGATTGATGTTCATATGGTTTACGAATGTACGTTTGTGGCTGCAATGACGAAACCCCGGAACTCGTTATACAGGTTGTAACTGTATAATTGTGTTGTATAATGCTCTATTCATTGTAAGTATGACGTATTTGGTGTTAAACACGAAAATGTGATACGTTTAATGGCTTTTGCACACTTCTATGTGTGACCATCTCTATTCATCAAATAACAACACATGCTTAAATTCTGTTCAATGATTTTATCATAACAACTTGCTGCTCTATTAAATGTAAATCGCTTATCAGGCTCCGATTTGCCGATACCCGTGTACAACGGGAAACCGCGTAACGCACTGAGTTCCAACTTACATTACCGTATGTTTGGGCTACATATTTACTCTACGCCTAAGTGTGATAGAATATGAGGCAGCAATGTTATTATGGAATTAAATTGGAGACTCAGGAAGGTGTTTGATCACTTCAGCGGGGCATTTTGCAATGTGGCGGCATTATATACAATTGGACTTTTGTTCGACGTACGTGATTTACAATTTCACGAAACGTATTCGGTGTAACGAAATAATTAACTGCGGCGCGTTCGAGATAATTATAAACTGGCATTGTAATGGAATACGTCTCGACAAAGCATTGTTTTCATAGCATAATTTTATGATTGCAGAGATATTTCTAGGACTTCTATTGAATAATATAGGGCGATTAGATGCGGTAAAATAAGCTGTTGCTGACGTTTGGAAAAGGTCGGTCGGAAAACTAGCACTTTTTAGTTGTCTGGCGCACAAAGCTTTTCTGTTGCGTTCTACGTATTAGGTATTGCAGTCAAATGTGTTTGTAGTTCGTGTATATATCTTTGCCGTCTGCAGGCGCAGTTGTGTTGGTGCTTTCGCTTATATCGCTCGTTTCAACCACCTATGACGGCAACTTTTATCTACATATACCGTAGATAAATCTTCGGACACCCAGCTATGGAGGATTGTTCTCCTTTTGCATAACTGCCGCTGCACCTTCTCAATAGTTTTTACGGCACGAGTTTAATTCGCAACACCAACGAGCTGCAAGCATTATAGTTGAAGGGTGTATTCGTAACCTCTGTAATACGGCAGTATTATGACACCGCTGTCTTTATGTTTTGTAAAACGATGTGGTGGAGTCGGTCTGTATCTATAATTGCTGCACGGAATGTCGGTTCTGTCGGCTAATTGCACCTCGTAGATAATTTTACTTGGTGAGGATATCTTATAATTAAGTTCATATCGCTGAGTGGAACTCGATATTCATTACAAACGCGGAATTGTAATTACTGGAGAGCCATCGCAAAGCTAATCATCCCTACATTCGTAGTTGGCGCGCCCGTCTCCCGTTACGGCACTTAAGAGCTTTTTAGGATCTTGTCAAACGTGCTTATAAGGTCACCGAGTATGTGTGATATTGTATTATTTATTTTATAGCGTAAATTAAATCTGTTAACCCCCTGCGCATTATGTAATGGTGTCGATTACTGCCGAATTCATGGCAAAAAGCCTCGCCTACGGCGTGCCTGAGCACACAAATAAGATATACAGCGCGTAGATACCGGTAGAATTAAATGGGTAGAGCAATAAATGGTATTAGAATTGTGTATTAAACTTTGTCATTCCGGGTTTCCCGGAGCCTCACCGGCGGGGTGTGCATTAGCGCACTCTCCTCAAACACGGATTGGACACGACATCTATATAGCTATATCTTTCGTGGGATGCCAATGTGCAGCAATATAACCTTAACGCATACAGCAAACGGGTTGTCGTGGGAAAATCTATTAGACACCAGAAGGTAGCTGTCGCGGTGTGCGAGCTTTCGCATTCCGCTATAAGGCTGAATGTTCGTGCACATGATTCTTTTTCGATCGAGGGGAGACGGTGCCGGACACTGTTGTAGATACTTTTCGACAAGAAGCTACAAGCAGGGCACGAAGGAAGTCATCCATCCTTACGTCTCACGTGAGTTGTTGCAGCTAAATATTTTTAACAACGTTAGATCCCGAACATCTTGGATTAACCTCTCGTTATGCACTTGCGGTGCCCCGAGGCCGGCAAGTATATATTCCTAAGAACTACTATAACGATCTGGTAAGGAATGACAATGCATTCTGTACCTTATCGTAATTATTATAAATTGGCGTAATCAAATCGTATAGACGGACGAAGCTACTCGTAGCGGTGACTACTTGGGTTCAGATTTCCCGTACAATCTCGCCGGCAAGGAGAAGGTCTGGAGAACGAGGAAATATAACGTTCTGGCGAACCCAGTCCCTAACAGTATTTCAAGTGTTGGATGTGTCGCATATTACCACAGGTAACATTAGTCATGCGTAACACCCCCTTTTATGAACAGGGAAAGTTATTTAAAAGAGTTTTTATAGAAATCTGATATTGTGAGCACCTTTTGCTATGTTCTAGTATTATGATTCCTTCTTGCTGATGGTTTGGTAGGTTGCAAGTTTGGTCGGCGCACTGGTTCGAAAACGGATTGCACAGGTCAAGGTGGTTTAAATGCTCTTATGGATTCCATCGAGCCAAAAGCGCCGCGGAGTTGTTTAGGAACAGGCTTGTTTTCTTCGGAAGAGTTGATAACAGAAAAACTAACGAACAAATACGCCTTGACTCAGAGAAACTCAGATCGTTGCGCACCCTACGGAGCAGACGATTCGATGTTAGCTCGAACAGAAATATATGAACACGCCATGTGCTGACCTTTCCGCTAGGCATCACCTGATGGGTGGTGAAGATAATGTAGAATCTAGACGAGGTTGCTACCTTTGTCCGCATGCTGATTACGGCCTCCAAAACATCTATTAAGTCGGTACTCTTGGAGAATGGTGACACAAGGTCCCTGACGTGATTTACTCGAATATCCGTATTCTTTTCGGTGAACTGCCGGAAGGTTCAATGAGGAATTGTTCCATTTGTTAGCGTTTGAATAATACCGTCTTAAACTTCGGGATCAGTTTTTCACAACACACGTCGAGTCTTGAATTCAGAGTACAATCGCATTCAACCTTTCCGTCGCTTGTAGTTACTACCACTCCAATGTTGTCACTTGGCAAATATGTTTTCATGTCGACGTCTGCGGTGAGCTCCATCTCACTACCCAAAGAATCTCGTACCAGTGTGGCGAAGCGCAACTTTGCCTCACCTATAGAGCTTTTAACGACCGTAGCATCCTCTTTTCTACATCTGACTAATACGTCATTGCAGGCCAAGGACATTAAACCCTTAATAATAAGGAGCACAATTATACGTCTGTACTCGTCGGCCGCACTTATTTGTTCCTTTATTTTTTGCAACGCTTCACTCTTTATGCCGTCGATTATGGAACATTTATGCCGCAATACGCGGTCATGTATTTCCCTAGATGCAGCGTTATATGTCCTTATTTTTTCAAGCTTCAAACTATTTATTTTTTTGGTCAACTTAGCTCTAATCTCATCCTTCTTTTGCTGGAACAGTGTCATTTTCTGGACATTGAAGTCCTCCACAGCAGTGGACTCTATCTCTTCCGCTTTGTCTTTGGCTTCATTTAGAATGAAGTTTACCATTTGCTTAATCTGGCGTTGGGCTTCCACATCATCCTGAAACACCATGTCATGGTGCATAATCACTGCCACGACCAGATAATATGTGTATGCTACGTTTCTCGTTTTAAAAGGAACGATATCGATGCACTTTAAAAGCATTTAGAACCCAAAATACATTACATGGAACACAAGTTGTATCAACGAACACGTGCAACACACTACGGAAAGGACATCATAAATAAACCTATTTATGTCAACTGTAAAGCTTTATATTGTACTCTGCGTGAATTGGTCATATAAAATAGTCGCTACCATAGAAACGGTGGCAGCTTTGGGCACTCGACTCACCATCTTTGAAGTTTTGAAACCGTTTATATCAGGTGGAAATTATTATAGTAAAATCGCATATAATGTGTGATACGAGTTGTATATTTGTGACGCGACTCGCTTAAGCCGTACGCAAATGTCACCGGAGAGGTGGGGAACAGCGCACATACTAAATACCTCGTTCCCACATCAAAATCATTGTAATCCATCGAACTACAAAATGGCGAAAGGATGTAAGTGTATGCTATTTAACTAGAGTTGGCGGTGAAGTGCTTTATTTACCTAACATTACTTGGTGGCTGTCTTTTCACGAACACACATCAACCCGTAGTAGCCTCAAATTTTTGTTCAGTTCGATTCTTAAACTTAATCAAGCCGATTATGCCAATACTCCCTGAGATACGGACCCCAACGAGGAAGGTGTGTAATGTGTGATGGTCTATTCTGCTAAGCGGCATACATTCCCGTGTAATTGGAAAACAATCGTTTGGATGTCTTCTTTTGTTGTGATTGTTATTGGTAATTCTTCTATAATGTTCATGAAATGTATGGATAGTCATATAAATTGTTCTGTTTTTGTATAAATAAACTTGCCTTGCTTCTGTCTTTAGTTTATAGCGCAAACTCTGACGTGGTGTTTGCGCGTATTGTTTTTAGGTGTATTTTGATGTTGTCTTGACATGCTATTGTAACAAGTAAATGTATTCCAAATGGTTATACATTTTGCGCGCTTGTTCATCTCACCTGCACCTTAGGTACCGTTCAAGGAGATGTTAATGTGGACTGGCATGTCATTGTTTGTATTTCTGGTTTGCTGTCAAATTCCAATCTATGGAGCGGTGACGAACAAGTCCTCAGATCCTTTCTATTGGATGAGAGTTATCCTTGCGTCAAACAGGGGAACTCTTATGGAATTGGGTATTTCTCCCATTGTGACATCTTCCATGGTGATGCAATTGCTTGCAGGTTCTAAGATTATAGATGTGGATCAATCATTGAAAGAAGATCGCGACCTCTACCAGGCTGCTGAAAAATGTTAGTCTTATGTTCTAGTGTTTCATCTATATCTGTTTATTTTAGCGATACACATGTTTTTGTAGTGTTCGGGTTGCTAGTAACGCTAGGCGAAGCCGTTGCCTATGTAGTCAGTGGTATGTATGGACCCGTGTCTGAGATAGGAGTTTTCAAGAGCACTATTATAATACTGCAACTCTTTATGGCTGGAGTAGTTGTTATATTGTTCGACGAGATGTTGCAAAAGGGATACGGTCTTGGTTCTGGGATCTCACTGTTCATTGCAACTAATATATGTGAGACTATTTTATGGAAAGCGTTTAGCCCAACGACCATTAGCACTGATAAGGGAACAGAATTTGAGGGCGCTTTGATATCCCTTTTCTATTGTTTTTTTACAAAGGGAAACAAGTTATCTGCCTTCCAAGATGCGTTTTATCGTTCACACGCTCCCAATGTTACAAATCTTTTGGCTACGGCTCTCATTTTCACCATCGTTATATACCTACAAGGTTTCAGGGTCGACTTGCCCATAAAACACCAAAATATGCGTGGACAGAGGAGTACATATCCTATAAAACTATTTTACACCTCGAACATCCCAATCATCCTGCAAACTGCGCTTGTATCCAACTTGTACTTTTTCTCCCAACTAATTTACAGAAGGTTCAAGAATAATTTGTTTGCCAATATTTTAGGTCAATGGCAAGAAACCGAGCATGGTTCGTCAGTTCCCGTAGGAGGCATCGCATACTATATTTCCCCGCCCATAAATTTCAAGGAAATCATAAACGACCCAGTTCATACATTGGTGTACATAACGTTCGTCCTGGTATCGTGTGCTGTATTCTCTAAGACGTGGATCGAAATTTCTGGTTCGTCGGCAAGAGACGTTGCCAGGCAACTAAGGGATCAGCGGATCGGAATGGTTGGGCACCGGGACTCTCCACCGTCACTGACAAAGGTTTTTGGGAGGTATATCCCAACAGCAGCCGCTTTTGGAGGCATGTGTATAGGAGCCCTAACCATATTAGCCGATTTCTTGGGGGCCCTCGGAAGTGGAACTGGTATTCTACTCGCCGTCACCATCATATATCAATACCATGAAATGATGGTGAAGGAACAAGAGAGGAGTGGCTCACTTATGTACGCTTGAACATGCAATGGTTAAGAATTTACACTTGATCATGTTGCCGTTAAGCAAAGTTGGTGTACGTTTTCACAATGGCCTGTGAATAAACAATTTATCATCAATAATTTGTATGCTGTGTGTGATATCCTTGAACATTTCCAATTGCGTATCACACTCAATGTCGGTATCATCTAGGGGGAAATTGTATGATACCAAAATGTCGCACTGGTACTCTGCGCCGTATGTATGCTCTTTTAACAAGTATGTGGCTAACCGCGTAAGCGTAATACGTAAAGGAAAACCGAAAGGCGCCGCATAACCTCTTGCGGCACTCTCCTGTCCTTTGTTACATCCATGGTTCCTACGAGTAAGACTGCTTTGCATTTTTCGACTCTGTGACAGTTTTAAATATCGCCGGGGTGTCCCCACCCTACTGAACCAGGTGCTTTCGATGTTTCGTGTGTAATTATAGTGCTGTGGGCAGCTTCGTTCCAACATGCCAACTCGTGGAACAGGTACCTGTGGCGTATAAATGTGCCCATACGTTGTAGATATAGCGTGCACAAATTCGGTTGCCCCTAATCTCTACTCGTGTGGTATGTTGAAATTTCAATGTCTATGTTATAGTCAAAAGTTACCTTGCTCGGGTTTCATCATCTTCCGTTTCTTCATACTCCAGTATTTCAAATGAAAGAAGGTAGTCAGATGTTTCTAAAGCAACTGGATTCGTGTGCTTTTCTACGCCGCTTCTATAGTGTATGAAGACTTCTTGATGGTCCGGAACGGGCAAAAGGTCACTGAATGAAGGTTGAGGTGGACATTTACCGCACAAAGCATTTTCGTATGTATTAGATTATTACGTTACTTTAGCCATCTGTACACTGCAATATATTAGATTGTATAACACAAAACGTAACCTAGCGAACGTTATGTAGACGCGTTACTGTGTGACTAACCTTAAATCCTGAAAACTTGGTGGGATTCTGCACGCTATAGAACCCCCGTATAGATGTTTTGTATGATTAATCATTCTGTGATTATTTTGATTGCCATATGGGACAAAAGAATACCGCAATCCAACACCATCCTTTTATAGGTCGTGGATCAACGATATATACGAAGACATCATATATCTGCGATTTTAATTGCCGATATATGTGTAATTAGTGTCTTTGCTTGTAAACATGAGTGTGTAATTGTCTGGAAGTAAATACCGGTAGATTGATGCGCCCACACGATGGGAGAGAATGATGTAAATAATTATGGTATGTTTCGTATCCATAAATCTCTAGATGGCACAGTAGTACTGCCAGGAAAAGGATCCGTGGGTGCTGCTCGCTTCGGGCAACATCGAGCGGCATCGGAAAACGAAATTTGGATCGCAGAATTGGCCATCAAATCGTCACGCCTATCGAGTGTCACACAGCATTTAGAGTCTTTGGAAAAAAGACATCGGTACTTGGTGACACATTACGCAGGTTTGTTTCAAGAGTAGCGTATTGATTGTTGCAGACCGTGAAACAAATCTGCGTAAGCAATTTCGCCATGTGACGCTGTGTACTGATTCACTTACGCAAGGTAACGTACAGTGTAAAACAAATATATTATAGTGTAGAATCAGAATCGGTCAAATACTGTAATGCGGAACTCCAGGTTACAGTCTCTGACCTGGGCGCTGGCCTAGAGGACGCTAAACGGGCCATCGATTCTTCCCATCGCAAAAAACAACGCTTATTTAATGTATACAGTCGTCGTTGTGGAGGTATGGCGTACACGTAGAAGCTTTTTAATTTGTCGTTAGATGCAAACAATATTTTTAGAGAAACAAAATGCAATTATTGGGCCAGCAATTTACAGTGCTTGAACACATTGCTCGGAATGACTTTATCTAGTGAAGGTGTGCTTCAATGATATTGAAATCATAGCATTTAGGGGGGACGCTGATTGTCACCTTCACCCATCTCGGCGTCTCAAAACGTATTCCGCTTGCCTTCGTTACGTTGAGGCCCAATAAAGACAGGTTCGAAGGTTTGTGAGCACAATGAAACAATTACTGGAGATCAGGTATCTCATGTGTGCCAATGATTAGGCAGCTCAACGCACTTATTAACCAAGTTAACGAGGGCGTAGCGTTCGGACTGTTTCTATGTAACATTCGTAAGGAATTCAAAACCTCGTTTCAATGACGGTGACCTCATTTATATGCGATGTGGGTGGGAAATCATTTCATGATAGCATTTCACACAACGGACTAAATGATCAGTTTGTCTCATTACGGCTGGCTTTTATCTTGGGTACACGGCGCATGGGATAACTTGCACTGTAAAGAACTATCACTACGCGTACAATATTAGGTCCCTTGTTGTACCACTCAGCAGAATCATTCAAATAGATTTTATGGAGTTACACGATCTACATACACCAAAACAGCACGGTAGGAGGGTACCCGTCCTACCTTAAAGACAGGTTATAATAACAGCAATCATACCGGTATAAAGGGGTCGCGAACCTCTTTCTTTGTTTTGGTTTTATTTAGTGCGCTACGTGGCTTAGGGCCGATTTTCGTGTTTACCAGGCAAGCGCCTTAGGCTGCTGGTGTCGGTTGCGGGATCCATGTCGTGTTGCCGAACGATACAGGTGGCATCCATCCTGTTTGGGTGAGAGGGTCATTCACAGAGTCATAATCTTCTCTGGGTTTTATGTTCCTCAACACTAGCTTTTGTGTTTCTTGGGCCACTACCCGTTGTATGTGGGCTTCCATGCGATCCGATGTACCCAGGTCCCGCCTATACTCGGTGTGTTGTTTCGCCACTATGCCCTTCCACGTCATAACGTAGGGGATTGAGGTGGTCCTCGTTTGCTGGTTGAATTAGAAAGTGAAGAACTAAAACCATCAGCTACCGAATCCAATGTGACATACTGGTAGATTAATTATGGTGATGGCCGGAGGTTCACAGAATCACGTAACCATAATCTGGCAAATGTGACGGCATGGTGGAGTGTTACGCCTAGATGGCTGTGAGAAAGTGTTTGTGGACATCAACCAATTTAAGCTGTGTAGCGGTGGTACGACTCATGCGTAACAATGTACGTATTGAGAAGCTGTAAAGCTTAAAAGAGGCCAACAAAATCCCACACTGCGCCTCATACGTAACGGAGTGTATTGTGCCTCAAGGCAAACGCAAGATTCGCGGCGACGTCCAGCAGATCAGGAACCGTGATGACAACAGTGACATCCGTTCGGCTGCGAAGGGCTGCGGCGAATTGTGAAACGGATTATATACGCCACGCGTATCCTTATTTAACATGTGGCGTCTTTGAAGTCATGTGCCTTCCACGTGCGTGTTGGTTGTCACCGGTAGAAGGCTGATGCCCAACATACCTTCCAGGAGATCCATCGCCGAGGGAGATATGTACGCATGGTGCCAATTTGAGTATAGAGTTTAATGTTTAACTACAACATGAAGTGGTTCCTATCCGTGGTTATCCTGATCCTCAGCGGAATCAATGTTTATGCGGTGACGCCGGCAGCAGCCGTAGGCGCCCCGAGGTGGCGGGGGTGGAGTCACCGAAACCGCGGCTACCGTGGGAACTAGCAACGTTACCACACCCATATGACGGTATTGTGACAATTGCTGTGACCGTGTGCTTCGTAACTCCGTATCTCTGGTAGCCGTCTCCCAGCCACCAGCCGTGCCGCTGCCGCGGGTCCCGGAAGGGGTCAGGGGCCGTCCGGGTACCAGGGCCCCGAGGCTCACACAGTAGCCAGACCATATCAGTAGGTGTGCCTGGGTACATTTCCCGCGGTTAGCGGTGTTGGTAGTCTAGGTCCCCCGAGGCGCCTCCTCCAGCGGCGGGCGTCACAGGGCGGCAGGGGGAACACAGGGTCACTGAGGTAACGCTTCCAGGCGACTTCGGCTGACAACATGGTCACGTTACGTCGTCTGGTTACTTCCCTGAAGGTGCCGTACCCGGTTTCTCATATGGCGTCACCCGTCCCGTGGATGTCACGGCGGTGGTGGCGGTGGGAGGCTGGCCGACTGACTACAGGGGGTGGAGGGTTGTACCTGCCAAAGTAGCGTTAGGCGGCGTAACTTACACTGTAGATGACCCGCCGACTCCCGGAACTGCCGTTCCCTGCCTCAGCCATATGGCCACTGGGGGCTCGGTTGCTCTGCAAGGCCGCGGCGGTGGTGGCAGTGCTCGGAGTGAAGCAGAGTGGAATGTATAACCAGGGCGTACCCAGGCAGCAGTTGAGTCTAACATATCCTCTGACGGCGTCTGCCGAAACCGTGATGCTACGTCACCTGCAGATTGTCACCCTCCCATCACCCCTCCCGCCGGCAGCAGCCGCAGCCACGGGCGCCCCGAGGTGGCGGGGGTGGAGTCACCGAAAAAGCGGCTACCGCAGGAACTGGCAATGTTACCACACCCATATGACGGTATTGTGACACTGGCTGTGACCGTGTGCTGTGTAACTCAGTATCCTTGGTAGCCGTCCTCCGCCCTGCATCGGTGCCGCTGCCGCGGGTCCCGGGAGGGTGGGATGGCCGTCCGGGTACCAGGGCCCCGAGGCTCATACAGTGGTCAGACCAGGTTAGTGGGTGTGCCTGGGTACGTTTCCCGCGGTTAGCGGTGTTGGTAGTCTAGGTCCCCCGAGGCGCCTCCTCCGGCAGCAGCCCGTCACAGGGCGGCAGCGGGGACACGGGGTCACTGAGGTAACGCTTCCAGGCGACTTCTGCTGATGATGTAGTCACGTTACGTCACCTTATGACTGTCCTGAATGTGCCTTATTAGGTCGCTCAAATGACGTCACCCGTCCCCTGCCGTCGCAGTAGCGGTGGTGGTGGCGGGAGGCTGGCCGACTGAGTACGGGAGGTGGAGGCTTGTGCCCGCTAAAGTTGCCTCAGATACCGTAACGTACACTGTAGATGACCCGCCGACTCCCGGAACTGCCATTCCCTGCCTCAGCCTCACGGCCACTGGAGGCTCGGTTGCCGGGCTGCCGCGGCGGTGGTGGCAGTGCTCGGAGTGAAGCAGAGTGGAATGTATAACCAGGGCGTACCCAGGCAGCAGTTGCGTCTGGCACGTCATCTGCCTGCACCTGCCGATACTGTGATGCTACGTCACCTGCAGATTGTAGCCCTCCCAGCACCCCTCCCACAGGCAGCAGCCACGGGCGCCCCGAGGTGGCGGGGTGGAGTCACCGAAATCGCGGCTAGGGTGGTAACCACCAACGTTACCACACCCGTATGACGGTGTTGTGACACTGGCTTTGACCGTGTGCTTCGTAACTCCGTATCCCTGGTAGCCGTCTCCCAGCCACCAGCCGTGCCGCTGCCGCGGGTCCCGGGAGGGTGGGATGGCCGTCCGGGTACCTGGGCCCCGAGGCTCATACAGTATCCAGACCACGTTGGTGGGTGTGCCTGGGTACGTTTCCCGCGGTTAGCGGTGTTGGTAGTCTAGGTCCCCCGAGGCGCCTCCTCCAGCGGCGGGCGTCACAGGGCGGCAGGGGGAACACAGGGTCACTGAGGTAACGCTTCCAGGCGACTTCGGCTGACAACATCGTCACGTTACGTCGTCTGGTGACTTCCCTGAATGTGCCGTACCCGGTTGCTCATATGGCGTCACCCGTCCCCTGCCGTCACGGCGGTGGTGGCGGGGCTAGTACAGCCCTAGAGTAAAATGTGGAACCAGGGCGTACCCAGGCAGCAGTTGCGTCTAACATATCTTCTGACGGCGTCTGCCGAAACCGTGATGCTACGTCACCTGCAGATTGTCACCCTCCCAGCACCCCTCCCACAGGCAGCAGCCACGGGCGCCCCGAGGTGGCGGGGTGGAGTCACCGAAATCGCGGCTAGGGTGGGAACCACCAACGTTACTACACCCGTAGGACGGTGTTGTGACACTGGCTGTGACCGTGTGCTTCGTAACTCCGTATCTCTGGTAGCCGTCTCCCAGCCACCAGCCGTGCCGCTGCCGCGGGTCCCGGGAGGGTGAGGGAGCCGTCCGGGTACCGAAGCCCCGAGG